CTAAAATGTTTTTAATAATTTTATGACGTAAACTACTATTTGTTGTCATATTTATGTTCGTTCGTTTTACTATAAATAGACTGTTAAAAATAGTTTGCGTCGAATTGACTTGACGCGACTATTTATAGTTACGTTATCTACGTAAAACATTGTTACATCACAAGATTAGAAAAGTGACGCAGTGCGTGATACTTCAAGATACTAAAGTGAAAATCAGCATGCAAATCATATTTTTAATTTTAGACAAACTCTGCATGTCGAAAGAAAATCAAAATATGCTTGTTTAGTTATGATCGACATGAGCATGGGATGAGTCAAAAGCCGGTTTAGGAATTTCGTGCGTTTCATCTAACTAAATGGCCCGTTCTAAGCGTTCTCCATTATTCGGATTAGTAAGGGCGTGTAGAATGTTTATTGCAAAACAAAAAACCATCGTCCTCACTCTGTACCTAATGTCGATTAAATATTTTCCAATCGTGCATTTTTGCAATCATACTATCATTCAAGATTTTTAGGCCGCGAGAATTTTGTCGGAGGTAAAAACTCACGTTGTCGTGGTTTTTGGTAAGTCACGTATAGCAATGATAGAATATATACCATTAATAATAAACTATAATGATAAAATACATTAAATGCAAATCAAGGAAGATGCATAGACTTTCAAATTGCGTCAAAAGCCCCAATTGCAATTACTCAGAATAAAATATGATTGTCTGCACCTGCAGTAAACAAAGCAACGTAGTATATCAAGTCAAACGTGATTTACGTCGCATGGCGAACAAGAATATACGTTTCATTAAACTCATTCGATTGCATTTTTTTCTAATTTGCTCGATGTAGAACAATTGGGCCCTATATTTATACAGAAAGATTTTCAGACTATGAAGACCGGGAGATAACAGAAAAACGAACCACACCTAATTTGCTCAAACGCAAATTAGTTATGATTCATTAAATTAAAATATACAATTCTATTCATCGCTTGAAGACAATTATTGAAACTGTGAAAATTATATAGGTGTAACAAAAATTTCATATATATAATAAGAACGCGAATTTGTAACTTTTGATTCATTAACATTAATATGAATGAACATATATTTGAGAGAATAACTATTTATAATTGCACTTTACCCGAGCAGAATTTTAGGGCCATTCTTCAATGACATTGTCCGAGAATTGCGCATACAATTTACCCCAAACAATAAACAGACCATTGAAATCAACATATTTCTAATCCAGTAAATAAAATTATAAATTTCAATTAAGCATGCAATGAAAACGATTCTGTTCCGATTGGTGAATTTGGACAATTTTATTCTATTTGATGAGGCATTTCAGCATAAACTAAAACCATACGATTTTCACCGCAATTGCACGGTAGCAAATGGGATGAATAGAAACTATTATATATATTGTATTCATCAATCCAGGTGTGTTCCTCATTTCCTTTGTATGGTTATCTTTAAATTACCTAAATATGGTTATCTCTAAATTACCTCATTTCAAGCGTGGCCGGTTCAAACGTAAGTAGTCATTTTTGTCTTGAATGGCTGCTAAAATAGGAGTTTTTCTCACCTATTTCTCACCTAGACTAGAGCCATACCGCGAATTTATGAATACTGATTTTTAACAATAAACAATAAAAATATGTAGCAACAATTGTTATGCACAATAGGTGCGATAAACAGTATTTAAATGTACCATAATTCTGACTTATTCAAATGATCGGAATTCTTTGAATGTGCGTGTGATATACTGTAAACTAAAGCAATCGACTTTACCAGCAATTGAGTAGAATATGGGCGTATGGATGTTTGAACAATTTACTTTGTTAAAAATTCGAATTAAATGATGATTAAAAATTGCGTTATTTAGAATTCATCTACTCGGTAAAGCTGTTTTTCAATCGCGATTCATATGATATATAACATTTGCATTTCTTATAGATTCGTTCAATACAGTTGTCTTTGGGGTAATTCGAGGTATCACATTTTCACCGAAATCAACAAATTTTTTATAATTCGATATTTATCTTAAAAAATGGTCGCAATGACACTGACATTTTTCAATGAAACAAGATGATATGAATCTTTCTGGGTTATGTTGTCATGGTCTTCTGGTCCAAGTTATACCGGGCTGGGTGCAACCAGTCATTGGTTTGCTGGGAATAAAATATAAATATGAGATCCGTGCGAAGAGATTAGAACGTCAGGGACGTAGTCCAACACGGGGAATATACTTACTACGTATTAATTGCAAAGCAATGTAAATAATGACCCATATCTTTTATAAAGTTTGGAACGATCTCTAATTTAACACTCACACGCGGGAACTCGATTCCTGATAACATCAAATTCGGCTAGTTGCATTGCAAATACAAAATGAAAAATGTTCGTGAATATCTTCCTGATATTTTATCATTAGACTTTCAAGCCAAGTCGAATTTACATGATGAGCGTTTCGATACGGAAACATGTTACCCGCTCCCATTCTTACGAATCCCATCAAATAGTATCTTGCCATACTCTGTTCACGGTATAAAGAATATTAGCATCCGGTTAAAACATTGTCATGTCGCGAAAACAATAGAAGGGGCATCATGTATCTTTATTACAACTTAAGACCGATCGACATCGTCATCGAAGATGCAACTAACTTCCTACCGGTGTTGGCAACAAGCACTCTCGCTATTATTGTGTTTACTAGATCATTAATGAATTTTGTCGTGTAACGACGCATGGAATTTGAAACGCGTCATCAGGTTGTTCCTGCTATTGTCGCTGGTTGTGATTTTTGGCGGGGAATATGACTGATTTCAATTGCTACAAAATATTTCACAACAGATCTGCCGAATCGAAATATGCATAGAATATGCAGATTATCCACGCCGTTTAGTCACATTCTCAGGGATATGTACATTCCTTAGCTTTGTATATATATGTATCTTGTTTTAGGAAAGACAAAGACGCTTCGCAACGAGGAAACACTAGAACAAACTGGTTTCTACCGCACGCCTCGTGATGATTTGCTTTCTTATAGCTCAAAAAAATCGCACATTCGTTAATTTTTTGTAGGTATAAGCTAAGATGAAAAATGGATATTTATTACAAATTTTTTTTTTTTTTTGAAATTTGGCATCTTCAGTATTACCCTCTTTAAATATTAAATTTGCTAAAAACCACTGCTAAAATAGGCCCACGCATTCACAGAATCACTGCATATTTATAAAAACTTTCATTTCTCGGAGATGTCAGATTGAAGATTATCGCGGAAAATCCGCAACCGGTACCAGTCGATTGTCCATATCATATACTTCCTTCCCTTCCATGAAACAATGGTAGTCGGAAAAAATTTCACGTCCGCTTTTGACTCTTCCCGTGAACGCGAAATAACATAAAAGGATGAACGTACAAGATTGAAACTATTTTTGAGACAAGACGCGGCAAAGTTAATATATTTAGATAAGTTTACGTATATTAATTAAAATTAGAGAAAATCTTATGACTACGATATTCTGCGTATGACACCGAAACAACGTATTTTAGCCCAAATAGGGAAATTGAAACATATTTTTAGATAGTGCACGATTTCTAATCATAGTTTTATGTGCGTAATAATTTAATACAGGAAAGAAATAACTGATGGGATGCTAAGCCTGTGCTATTCATTCCATGTCTTCCCAAGAACGTCACAATAATTTCTTTGTGCAAGAAAGGCGCTATGTTGTGCGTTGACTCAAAAGTATCCATCCAACATGCGTAACTGGATACATAACAAAATATCTTGTACCTTTGAGCTGCAGTTATTTATGTATTACATTGAATGACTCTATTTTGCGTGATTACGTCCCCCTGAAGAACCCGTGCGTCTTGACGCAAACGTCCAACAGCGCCCCGATTGTGACGCATAAGTTCGAAACATGCATGGTTGGTTGTTGTAGAAGCTTATGTGAGTCATAACATACATTGTTCTATCTTCGTCTTGGATCGGATTAAAACTGGACAACTCTGAGACAGTTAGTGACAGTGTTAGGTCGCAGCTTCAGGCAGGCATTGAACAGAGGTGTGAAATCGTCTCTCTGTGGTGCATGCGCTATTCGACAATTTTCTATTAGAGGATAAACCTTTCGAACGGAATTTTTTTATTATATTGTTCTATATATACTTGAATTGTTTCTTGAATGACTAACCTTAGAACTGGGTTGTACGCTGCTGGGAATTTTTTCAGATATTTTTGCCCGGTCATTCAAAAAATGTTCTAAGGTTATTTCTTAAAATATAGAAATGATGAAAACAATACCGGGATTTAGCAGTACTCTACGGCTTGAAGCAACATTGATTGATGGTGTTTTCCTATTTGTCACCAGAATTTTTTTCAAATTCAGGAGGTAACAAAAATCGCTAGCGAGAATTCTGCATTGGATGTAGTATATTATGTGGTTCGCAGTGCAGAAGATGTTGAGTTAATCGAAGGCGAGTTTCAGTTAGGTTAGGATAATATATTATATTACTTATGTATCACTTCGTTTGTCACAAAATGCAAAGAGGTGTGAAATAAAATTCGGAATAATGCAACATGTAATGCGATCGCGTAATTCATTCCAATTAACCGGTGCTATACCAGTCATGGAAGTGCTTTGCAATTGCCGTATCAAGAAGTAATTCGAGCCATTGAAACATTTTACAGACCCGGGTATTCACAAGGTAGCATGCCCATTGTTTGATTATTCCACCAATTTAACATATATATATTTACGAAGCAATTGTCTTTGAATAATCAGAAAAGAATAAGATCCAAGATCTATGCTTGATGTTCTCAGTAAGTAAAATAGTCGATTCATTGCGTGCAGTTATGAAATCCGAACGCGCGTGTTTCCCGCATTTTATAACTGAACTGTGCGACATTGCGTACCGTCGTGTACGTGTGGCAAGTGGCAACCAGCATTTAGAACAAGATGGCTCTTAGTTAATAAACTTGTTATTTTATACATATTTTGCAGATTATTTCACTTCTAATTATTAGATTTAAAGCGTGAATATTACATATACAAATATTTCAACGTTTAAAGTAATTTCGAAATGAAAATGGAACAATGGACATCGCCTAACGGACAAGTTTCCAGGTTAGTTTAATGACGATCAATAACTTCTATATATTACAGTGAGAATGAAATTAACTTCTTGATATATGAAATGGGTTGTGTACATTTTTTATTTTTCCGTATTGTCTCCGTATTCTCAGATAATTAACTTTTCTCGAATGTTCAGGTTTTTTAAAAACGTGATAATATAAAATTATTAATTTTTTCCAAAATGTAGTTATTTTAATACTAGTATGATTTGACAAAAAAATTGGACGAAAATTTTTCGTTATGTGCTTCGACAACAAGTTTACTGTTTTTGGCAGTACCAACATCTATTTCAATATATAAATAAAACTGGGTAAACGTTTTTATTGTGGAATCCAAGGTATCATTGAACAATTTTTTTTTAGTGTTTCAAGTTCCGTCATCAACCCTTGCATATCACTCTCAAATCCCATAGCGGGGAACAACACACACGATGCTGAAAAACGACTGCAAAAAATGGAATGCACTTCAACGTCCATCAGCTTACGCCCGATTCCGGCACTTTTGGACAACCCCGTATCAAGTTGGCACCCCGTGAAAACTCAGTCATATTCTAACAATAAAATTGATTTAGATGAGTTGTTTAGTGCTAACTCTTCCAACAGTTGTTTGCCAAAACCACGCAATAACCAATCAGAAAAATCGACATGGTGGGATGAAGATCAACATCAACGATTGAACAACATTAGTAACAACAACAACACAGGATCAAAAATTAGAGATTCCGTACGATCCGAAAATCATTGGACCCCAGCAAGAAGAACAAGTCATAAAATCCACCAAGATGATGGTTTTCCAGCAAATTGGTCAATGAGAGATTCCCGATCTACTGAATATAGCACTGAAAATGACGTTCCCTTTGGAACATGGTACGAAGGTGGCGATTATGAAGCTGACATTCTGCGAGCGGCAGCTTCCATGGCTTCCGTTGGAAATGAAAGAACCGAATCTACCATTTTTCGAGAGTACGGTACAAATATCACTGCTGTTACAATGCCGGACGAGGAGTTTACTTCTAGTCCGAACCGTGACCAAAACCTTACCTATTCTAACCTCAGTGTTCCAAGCGCAGGCAAGCGACGACTACCTCCAATATCTCTCTTAGCAAACAAACCTGAAGCATCTGTGTCTAGCTCGTCTATGTCTCCTGTCTCGTGCTCAAGTTATTCACCAGGTAACCCCCTTCCAAACGCAGACCACTCAGGTTGTGAGCAATATTCACAAAACAACCAATCTTACTACGATATATCTGACCCCACATACCAGGTACAAAGCAATTTTAATTGTTTCAATAATTCGTACGAAATGGCGGAAAATAATGACTTTATACCGCCAGAAGCTCATAATTTGGCAAGTACACAGCAAACCTTTGACAGCAATGTGAATCACAACTCGGAACCAATTCACAGACTGAAGGCGACGAGGCATAAAATGACACAAAGAAGATTACTGAACACTTTGTATCAAAAGAAGGCCACGAATAGGTATGATATTTACACAAAAATTGAATAGCATAAACTAAATATCGTTTTCATATCTCCTATGGGATATGTCAAAATTGTATACCAGTATATTTAGTAGTTATTAAAATAAAGATCGAGGTCATATTTTTGATTTGTATAAAATAATTTTACAGCTTTTGCCTAAGACTGGAATGGCTGAGAAACACGTGATAACAATGATTCCTTTCCCACATATTAACTTGAAAATTTTTAATTCCGAGGAAAATATGTTTCATCGTCCATTACTATAATGCAGCATATAGGCCTACTTAACATTCCCTGGCCGATTTTTAAAGCACGTGACTGATTTAACGGATTATGTTACTAAAATGGTATTCAATTTTTTGTTATTTTTCACAGCCTAGCCTCGGATTCGTGTAAGCTCGAATCTAGAAAACGTAAATCAACAGAAGTCCATTCCACCCCTGCTGCTAGCAAAATAGAACCAGAACAAGACACCGAAGAATTTCGAACAAAGAAGAGATTAGAGAGCAACGAACGAGAAAGGATGCGCATGCACCAGCTCAACGATGCGTTTCAGGGTTTGCGTGACATTTGCCCACATGTAAAAAACGGCCGCAAATTGTCAAAAATTGAAACCCTAACTTTGGCTCGAAACTACATCATTTCACTCACAGAAATGCTTGTCAGTGTTGAAGAGAACTCAAAGCAAAAAGGAGAGAGGTCAACGCAGGGTATAGCGTTGAATTCAAATAAAGATATGTTCGATATCTCCATGAAGCATGAAAACAGCTCACTGTCCCCGGCATCTGCAAGTGGAGTTGCGTCCGAACCAGTAAGACCCCAGTTGCGGCGATCAAATTCAACACCATCTAAGCAAGATAAAGGAAACAAAAAAGTAACGCAGATGCATCAATCGATTTCAGATTTGGTCGAGACTTCGTTGGGCACCTCCATCGAACACATGACAGCAGACTGTTCTCAAACATCTAGTGAGAATCACTACCTATATGGCTCTAACAATACTATTATCAGCCACGATTTTGAATCTATGTTTGAATTGAATGACAGCCGTGAAATATTTTCCACGTAAGAAAAGACTGATTATTCTAACTAAAGATTTGCCGGTATACTGAGACTTTGATCGTTGCCAATTCTAGGTTTTTTGTCTTTGTGTCAATATTTTATACAAACGTTTATAATTATATTTCCATAACATTTGATCCGTTCCGGTTAGCCGGTTTTATGTAGCAGCGAAAAAATGCAATATCAGTCAAAGTCAGTCTTTCTCTACCGACAGCATCAGAAAGGCAAATTTCTCGCCAATTCAAACATATTAACTAAATAACTAGTTTTCCAATGAGATGTTTTGCACCTTAGCTTTGAACAGGGGCTTGGATACTGCCACGAAGACAGATGCAATGCTTCTTAAAAAACGAAGCATTTTGTTTCAAATATTTATTATATCATGAGTGAAGAGGTGGACAATGGATTCAAACCCGTCAGGTATAAGCTGGGGCAACAAGCTTATATGGCAACCCCTTTTTTCGGTCCAATTTACTTATTTTATCATATCTATTTTATTTAGTGAACAATCATGTTAGGTGCAATCTAGCACAATATGCGTACTTTAAGTGTTGAATTTAATTGAATCTAGCAAATATTTTCAATTTGATCGTTGTTGCCAAACCGCGATTGTGCCTAATTTTTTTTCTGGGGCAGCAATAGTATGCTATATTATATGTCTTTTATTAAATCTCATGCAAAGAAATACATTTCAATAAAATCGTTCCATTGCATACTAGTGTGTAATAATTGCAGTTTTTTGTGGAATCCGGTTGCGTATTGTCAGAATAGGTTTCCCCTCATGATAAACTTTGTCTATTTAAAAAACGAATACGATCTGACTAGCGACACTAATCAATGAAGTATTTTTCCGCATAAAACGGTCATGATTTTAGATTGAAGCAGAGCATGATACTATAAATTTTAATGTAAGTATAGCGTAACGCAAAGAAGAGTTTCTCTTAATTATTCCGTGTAGTATGATGAACACTAGATATTATCACAGGCGACTGTCCCTTCCGCATTCCCTTTAACAGCACAGAGCAAAACAGAATTGAATGGCATTTCATCGCCATGTTTCATGAAAGTGCCAGTAAAAAACAGAGCTACGGACACGAGGTACCGGCATGGCACCGGTTAGGTTTAAGAGCACCAAATTTTATTAAAATCGACGGAAAATGTGAAGTAAGCGCTCACGCCTGGCCGACGAAAAGTGTGCTTCTTTTTAAAATTAAATAAACAGAAACTTTTTGGGCGAACATCGGGTCCTATACCTCAGAAGAAGTTTAAATGAATGAAGATAATAGCGACTTCCTTCATCTTTGAATACTGATAATTTAAAATCACTGCGGAAAGAAATTTGCACTTTATTGGGATTGTGATTTCTCACCTCGCAAAGTTTTCCAGTGCCGCACATTTGTGTTTTAGACCCGTATGTTTTTTTTTGCAGACATCCCGTCTTCAATATTGATAATTGTCAACTCGTTTTATTGCTTTTACGAGACCAATACACATACATACATACATTTAGTGACGTGAAGCAATTCAAAAAATGCGAGAAGCGTGCGAGATTGGTATTCAGCAAGCTCGAGGCAAAGTCAGTTTGGGCGCTGTTAAAGACAGTTTGAAAATCAGCAAAGAGCACCGATCATACGATGGAAAGCTAATCAATAAGAAGCTTCGTCACACCATATATCTGGAGTGCTGGTGGGCTTGTCACCTCACTGGCATTCTTGGGTTGATATTTGATAATCTTCAAGGTTCTTCATAGTTTCCACACTAGATGGCGTAAATAATGTGTAATGTGTGCAGGGAACGTCTTAGCAACTTTCCTCTCATCGGCATGAATACGTAATTCATATCCTAACGTATAAGGTGGATACTACTCTCTTATATAACGCAATAGTCGCATCACGTTTCACGCGTGAAATTAAATAACTCTGGTGAGATACAAATATTTGAGGCAAGTTTCTCTGCGTGTTTACCAACCAAACCCTATAATGGGTGGTAGCATGTACGATTTATGACTGTAATACGTCCATGTTATGTCACCGTAACAAAGGCAAATATTCAGTAAGATAATTATATTATGCAATCAGAAATTTCTAGGAATGTTATTTTTGTGGAGATTTTATACAAACTTCCAATAAGGCAGCGCAAACCGCAGCACGCTATCGGGCGATGAAGGAACTTATATACTTTTCTTACGACGAACAAAAATAATGTAACGAATACTACTTATCGGACATATTACATCCGTGAAAATTTTTTCAACGTTTATAAGGGTGAGGAGTTTGTATAAAATTTTTTACACAAGGTAACCAGGATGCTTATGTGCTGTTACAATTCAATTAATCATATAATAACCTGGCATTATTCAATGATATTGAACTCTTGGCTTTATTAGGCTTTTCATATTTTAAAAATGGACAACAGGCGGAGGTTTAAAATAATAAATCATTGAAACTTAACAATTTTTTTACTGAATTTAAATATATCGCGAATCTTAAAAAACAGACATTTTGCTTAAAATATTTTGTATACAAATATATATAATTATATATAACAGTGGTTTCTCAACCTTATTGGCGAAGCGGAGTCGAAACCACAATGAAATAATCAAGCGGTCCGAGAAATCTATAGATATAAAAGCAAATCTAATAATGCCAAAACATAAGATTTTGAATTGTAACAAGTTTAATAATAGTGGCAAACCTAATCCGTATTTGCTTATATTTATATAATGATAGACCAGTGTTCCCCAAACTTTTTTCTAGCATCGCCCCCCCCCCCCCCCCTCCACACCACGTTTTTGGCGAGCCTGGTGAAACGCCATTCGTCATTAAATAAATAAACTCTCTTGTCAAGTGCTGTACAAGCGAGGACAGAAAACACACGTTACTCCAACAGATGCCAAGACTCGAGTGTATTGTCGTAAGTATAACATACGAAATTAACAAAATACAAAACTGAAAACACATTTTTACTGGGGAAGGGAAGTCGCGGGGAACCATGATTGGTTATCGTGCAGCGACACCCGAGGTTCACAATCTAACTTTATTTTTTTTAAAGAAGTTTTTTTTCACACAATTACAAATCACGCAATCAAGAACGCGCGCACAACAATAACAGAAGAAAGCATTATAATCATTACAGTACCAATCTGGCAATCAGCTTCATTTTATCCAGAAGCAGTCTTGTGTTTCTTCGACTATGTCAAATGTCTTGCAAGCGCGGGTCGCGGCACTCAAGTGTAAAGCTGTGAATGGCAATAAAACTTTTTACCCGCTGCCACATGTGAGGATATTCAATCTGAATCAATTCAGAACAATTAGGCTGATACAAGACACTGAATTTTGTTTCGGGTTCAAAACCGCTCTTCAATCCTCCGGAATTCAATTTCCGTAAATATTACTGAATTGGTCAATTGTCCATTCCGGAACCTCAAATTAAAATACAGGCACGAACTTCCATGCTCTTATGTAATTCTTGAATATGCTTGCTCCACATCAATCAATTAGATATGCCTTTTTTTACTGGTATTGAATTGTTGCAAGCATGAGATCGTAATCTCCGCCCCCCGGACCCGCCTGAGGCGGAGATACTTCAGATGGACTCACCACTTTGGGGGAGGGGGATTCTTCAGTTGGTCTTAGTTGGGGTGGAGATTCTTTAGTTGATCTCGTTTCCCAACTGAAGAATATCCCCCTCCCCCTATAATACCAGTTGATCCTTCATTTGACATGGACTAATTATTCTCCAGTTGATCCCAAGTTTGCAGGAATCTAACAACAGTATCGTAAACGAATAAAATCGTGTAAAGCTGTTAGTTCCCCTTAAAAAGCCATTTTTCTCCGTATGGAGTAGCCTAGTAAGCGCTCAAATACATTATTATTCTCATTGGCTAAAATGGGCGAGTGTTTAGCGCACGGACCTTTATTTTATTTACTGCCTTCATCACTATCGTCAGATAACAAGATGACCGCTAATATTCTTGGCAATGAATGTTTGCGATGAATTACTGCACAGTGAATCGTCAGCAAATTGAGTTTGATTACTTAAAGAAACAAGAGAGCTATGCTCAAATATATGGACACGTAGCGCCACCCAATGGCAATAATTTTGATGACGTCATAGCAAAAAAAAAGTAATAGCCTTCTGGAGAAAAATTTTATCTTCAACCACTGAAAATTTCAAAGCAATTGGTCCAGTATTCGAAGAGAAAAGCGACTTTTTAAAAACGTGTCAAAGAACAAGAACAAGAACAACAACAACATAATATTGAAACGATCGTTATGTCCACTTCGTGTCCAATAATGAAGCCACGGCAGGGGCGCAATTCGTGTTGTAGTGGCTTTATTTCCTGGCAATATGGACCCACCCGTTGAAGACTAAATTTTGTATTCCTGATTAAACTACATAGCACAGGGTGGTCCAAACCCAGGCCCGGGGGCCACATGTGGCCCGCCACTTCATTATCTGTGGCCCGCGTCACATTCGGAGAGTAATCAAAAAATCGCATTTCGTGTTGTTTCGTCATAAAATTAATTATTCAGAAAAATCTTTTGACATATTGTCATCAAATAGTTTTATGGCTAGCTGGGGAAACCAGCAAAGTTGAATGATGTGATTGGCAGTCTAAATTGTTATCTGGTTTTCTAACTTTTTGGTCGGGTATATATGCTAACAATATAGGCATCATAGAAAACTAAAAATCGAATGCGGATTCTATTAGCCTAGAATTGGCTATGCCTGATAACTATGTGATTGCACAATAAAAGTGTTTGTTTTGCACTGTTTACCTATTCTTGGCATTATTGTCGCCCGCGAACATTGCAAAAATAATTTCGTGGCCCGCGGAGTCGACAACCTTCGACCACCCTGACATAGCATATCACCTCGGTGGTGTGGCGCATCGTGCGTTAAGAGTACGCTCGCCACCGGACCGTTGATTACTTTGCGTGGGGGCGCATCACATGCGGGATCGTTATGTATGAGAGGATTGCTGGAATTCTCGCGCCACAGTGTGGTTGACGCAATCGCTGATCGGTTACGGCTTTTTCCACCACCAAGTTCATGTTTCCGAAAAACAAATAACTGGCTAACTAATCCCACACCCATCATGGACTGGTAACCGGACGAGAGGCCATGACTCGCCATATGATTAAGCCGTATTATCGGCTTTCCTTCAAATATGTAAATCCTATATCAGCAGCAATTTCATCAACTCGTCTCGGTACTGTATTATTGGACACGTAGTGGACATAACGATCGTTTCAAAATTTTGTTGTAATTGTTATTATTTGTCTCCATCATTTAAAAAAAATCGCCTTTCTCTTTGACTACTGGACCAATTCATTTGAAATTTATAGTGAGTAAAGATTGATTATTTTGCCAGAAAGCTATTACTTTTATTCATTTCTAAATTTCGCACGAAATCTGATATTTCGTCTAAAATTTCGCTGTATTATTTTATCCATGGGAACACTGGCTGTCCGGTTTGATTCCGTAAATTATTTCCACGCGAAACTCGGAATTTTTTGTGGGTACCGGTGGCGTCAAAGGTAAATAATGCTTCGCTCTGGTTAACCTGTCCATATATTTGAGCACAGCTCTCTTGTTGCTAAATGGAATAGAATGAAATAACTACAGAATGCGCCTTTCACTATAAAACAGTATCCAGAACTTACTTTACTGATGTTGGGTTAATTCGTCGCCCATGGTAAGCGGCTTGCCATTTTTGCCATCATCAAAGACAAATCGTTTTTCTAGGATAAAATCGAAAGCATATTACTCAATGCTTTTTTAAATTGGCCCAAAGTTAGAAAACGTTTTATAACACAAAAAACGCATCAGTTACAAAACGTAATTTAGGACTGGGATAAGTTCATTTGTGTAACATCTTATGTACCCATATTGCTAACATTCTCGCTTCCAACAACGAATCACCCTGGACAGCATGGAAGGCTATGCCCAATGAAGCGTCAATAAAAGCAAGCCGCGCGCTGGATCGTATTATTACGATTCAATAGATTGAGAAAATGAACCTCCTGAAGTATGCGCACCAAGATGGCGCACAACCTGAACTCAGATTGTGTACCAGGTTAATGTTCAGGTTGTGCGACATTTTGTTGCGCATACTTTAAGGCGTACCAAGAAAATCATATAATATTTTACGCTAACATAGAAATCACAAGTAAACAACGTCAGACCAAAACATGAAACTGGGATGGATAAAAATGTCAAATATTATTATATTTCCTTTACCTGCCCGATTTGTTGTCACCCCCCCAAAACTGACATCTAGCGTCCCCAATTCGCAGCCAGCGAATGGAAATTTGCAGAACCGCGGTTGCAAATCGCTGTCGTAGAATAATCGTTATTGATTTCAGACTCGCTGAAATTTTGAACGTGTAATTTTCGTACCGTGCAATTCCCTCAACTGTTCTGCTGTAACTTCGCGTGATTCAGTTTTGAGCGAAATCCAACTAATTATTATGGAAACTATCTCTAAAACTATCAAAGCGATGTTTTAGTTCGGTGATACATAATTCTCCTAGAAGTGTGACCCTTCGCAAAATATAATTTCAGATGAAAAATGAGAGGCTTGTCTGCGATGATATACCTGCAAACAAATTGAATATTTCATATTAGAATGGATCGCAAAATGTCTGAAAATGTATATTTTCCACAGCGAACAGTTAAGCAACATTCATTATCATGAATGATCAAGATAATGTAATTCAGTAGTATGGTTTCGAGGTTCCATTACTGCAAAAACAGTAGCACACTTCGTTGCCTTTGTAGGTTCTGAAACAATGCTAATTTCACTCTTGAAATTTTCTGAGTGATGTCAGAAAAACATTTTCGAAAATTTCCAACTGTTACTTAGCCTTACTCTATTATAGAAGCGTTTTAAGCCACATACAAACAAAAGAACACATCTTTTAAAATAATAAATTTATATTCATTAGAATTAAAAAAGTGCTTCTTTAGATGAGAAATATTGTGCAGATAACTGAGATAAGTATAACCACCAAATAGCCTCATGAAACTGGTATATTCCCTGTTAAATATTAACTAAAAATATGAATTTACTGAAAACCCTAACCGTTTCAACATTGTGACATCATAAAAGCACTTTGGTATGACGAGATGAATTCCACACAGATCTACTTCTTTCATATTTAACTCTCAATTAGTGATTTGGAAGAGGCACCGGTTTACCACTTATAGGATTAATCGTACATTTCATACTATAAACAGAAATTATGCATTCAAAATTACATATATAAGATCAAAAATAAAAAGTACTAGATACTTGAAACACAAGAGCACAGTGGTTAAAAGTTGAAGCATCTTCAAAAATGATGATAAAATAAAACCCATACCTACAGCAAACGGTAGAAGAAAATTCCAAATTGCTACCGGTACTTTATTATTATCAACATTACTTTGAATAAAGAATAATGAATTTGTTAACAATATTTATAAATAAAATAATTTGTTATAAGCAGAGTAACCATATCGGATTTAAATCGGATAAAAACATTTCTGGTATATACACGAAATACAATATGACCGCAGGGAAGTCTATGTCCGAATAAAATAATATTCTAGAATTCTACCTTGTAATTTTGCAAATTCATATGACAGTGAAATGACATATTTCATAAAAAAACAATATTTTTTGAATATCTGATTTTTCAGTAACGATATCTCGAAATGGCATTAATTTTAGCCTTTGTTTGACATTAATTGAATATTTCGAAAATAGTGCCCACAAATTGGGTCAATACCCACCAAACTGATTCATTTTCAGCCTGAAATGACTTTTGAGTTGTATAAATCGCTATCACCCTATATGGCTTTAAATGGAACATCGAAGCAGGAATAAGAAAAAATATTTTAAATTTATTTAAATACAGAACAAAAAGAAAACAATTCGGCTTCATTATCCATATAAAAGAAAAGATGCTGAAGCAAAAGTTAACCCACTATATCAAGCTTCTACAATGAATAATATACCGTAGCTAAAAGTAATCAACAAATACAATAATACTAGGAATTCAAATGCAATGTCATCAAGTCAGTGACAGTAGTCAAATGTAATGTGCGAAACAGTCCCCTCACAACAGTAGGAGATGTGTTTGAACATTTCAATGCTAAAACTAGATAAATATGTATATACCTTGTTATCATATGGTCATATGAGCATATATGTAAGCAGCTGCTTATTTTAGAGTCCCAGAGTCAACAATAACAAAACAACCCGATGTCTTCCAGAAAAATGTAAGTTTGTGACTGTGTGAGCATGTTGATGTTTAAATTTGTGTTTTCCAACTCACGGCTGAGCAATTTTTGAAAATAAATTGGTAATTCAGTGTTTTAAAATAAAAAACTTTCTTGAATTTGCATTGTTTTTTGTCAAGATATTAATTTATATATTATAAACCCATATTAATTAAGCATATAAAAACATAATCAATTGCATTTTTATAACAAGAATAAAATAAAAGAACACACAGCAATGAAACAGTACCATGTCATTGTCATTTTCAGTCATGCAGCCTAATGCAGGAATGTTCATGTATCATAAACCGATAGCATACAAAACAAAGATAGGTAACATTGCTTCAAAAACGAAGAGCTTCATAACTCAATAGAAAATACTATAACATGATATCGTGCTCTCGATCAAGTTTGATTACTGAAATTGAAAGCAAACAGGGTGGGTTCACTTCACACAATAACAGCTAAAGCTTGTTATAGATACAGTTGTATTGTAATGTAACATTCCCAAACTTTGGAATCCGCCTTTTACAAAAGCAAAATGACTTTCTTGAACCATATTGATACAGCTCTTATTACTTGGTCAAAACTAAATATAACCAGATAGATTTGTTACGATGAGTTGTGAGAAGGACTTCCATGGCCAGGTTGTGTCACTCGAACATCAGTTAAGATTTCACCATCAGATGTATTACCAAGGTTTTCACAATTTGGCTAAATACAATAACAAATTGAATTGAAACTATTGTACACTGCAGCCAATATGTTTTTTAAATCATTGACCATTCGTTTAAAAAATGATTAAGTGTAATAAACTTGATAATTAGATATACCGGTAGATTTAATTAATGAGCTTCCTTTATGCTTTAATCCCCAAGTGTCAATAACACCGGTCAGCAAAGCTTGGTCGATAAAGACTTATGAAAGCTTTTCTCATTACAGTAAACCCTTATTATATTTATTTGACTTAGAGGTGATGGATTTGTGAGATTTTGCACATGTGAGGCACACTGCGATAGGTATCTGCACTACAAAGATGGGAAGTCGCAGTAATTCTGGCGAGGGGGTTAAAAACGTTGTATACAAATATCGAAATAAATATTTTCTCTCATCTCATGCAGAATTTTATGATAGAGATTTATATAATATCTATATATTGTGACTAATCTTAATTCCATAACATCCTTGCATATACCAAAACTGCAATTAGTGAGTGTACAATCCTACCTAGAGCTTATTAATCATGTTAGTGCCTCAGGTTATTGAAAATTTAGTTCAAATCCCAAGTCCATCACCCCAGTTTAAATTCTCAACCTGAAAGATTCCAGCCAACCCATTAACAAAGTGACTCATTACATCAACAACTGCCTGACAAGAGCTGCGTTTGAAGCAAGGGTGTTGAAAACTCTATAAATATATATATTACCTCTGGCTTCTTCGTAGAATCCTTCAGTGCAGATGCTAACTCTTTTCTTGCATGTCGCACAACAAATGTCATCAGTGCAAATCCAATAGACAACTAAAAATTATGATATTGTGTATTGAGTATGACTGTTGTCGATCAAAAAAACAGTGGAAACGAATTACCATAAATCATACCCCAAATTAATTATAAAACCCATAATAAGTTGAAATTAACTTGATGAAATACAGTTTGGGACATCCCTGACCATCCCACTATAAAACAACAGAACCCAGAAAGTTATTTGTAGTGTATAAAATAGGTCTTAAATTGACTGCCAAAAACATGAGAGCCTATTTTGTGATGTAAAGAATATTTAAAAATGAAAATAAATAATTAATTTTAATAATTTAAGAAGTTTATCAAAAATATTCCCACTTTAAAAACAACCTTTTGCTCTGCTATAATACAATTACCTGTATTAAGAACACAACATATCCTCCAATAGAACCACCACGACTTAGAACATCTTCAGCAGATCGGAATGTAGATCCAATATAACAATTCAAAACTTGAGTTGGAAACAAACCAATATTTGAGGCCGCAACATAATGTCGAGTTTTGATATTTGACATCTTAATTGAAATAATATTTTAATATGAATACTATAAACAAGGGAAGGTAACAGGCAATGATGACACATTTGAGGAAATATGTAAAATCGTGAAGGAAGTTGCAATCAGGCGGAAAATAAGTATGAATTTCATGTTTTGTGAAGTATTAGTCACTCCAACAATTTATAAAGGCCGAAAAAGGTTTGGTGTAAATAAGCAATATATTATAGTCAAGTAGAAAAAACATTTGTATTACTGTTGAAATAATAATACAACTTATACAAGTGATAAAATACGGAACAATTTGTTGATGTTTGATATAATCTTGATCGATAATAATTTGTTTTATGTTTACCACCAGCATAGAAACATGATATGACTAGCAAATGTCCACACCACCATGACACTACTAATAAACAAAAGAATATAATTATGCTTCTGTAAAAACGCTGGTTAATTAAAGTACAAAATCTGATCAAAATAAGATATATCTTCAAAATGCTCAGTTTCAATAGTAGTAATATAATGAGATTTTAACAAATTTAATACCGTTTATGTACCAATTCACATTCTTTATCTCTTATAGATAAACATTCAATCCAGAATCAGTTACAAAGTATTTTAGCAACTGGAACACCTTTTAAATATCTCAATTGGGATACCAGTAGGTAAGAGTTACACTCTTAGCCTAATAATGTACACTAAAGATTTTATCTATTTCTTGATGGCTATTATCTAATTAACGATAAAGCTAACAATACATTTAACCATTCCAGAGAAACATCTTTCACAAGAATAATAAAGAAACTTACTGAAAAAATTCCATTCTGCAGACCAAATGGTATTGGTGTCAATCGAGTCAATGCAATAACTTTTAAACCAGCCGGGCCATCAAGAACTTTTAGTATCCCTTCCAGATGGTCAGCATTAGATTGTCGTTTTATTAATTTCATTATACAGTTGGCACAAAATCTTTGGGAAATACGATGGGTTAAAGACAATCCGATAGTCACTGATGCCATTACGACAAACACACCAGCTATAATTCCAAACCTGTAGCCAGCAGCCAAGTTCAGAATAACGTAACCCCAAACAAGTGGTAGGGAGGCTATAATAAATAATAAAACAAAGATAACGCATGCCAGCTCCTGATCCATTTCTTCAAACGATGTCAGTAGCTTTGAGAGGTAGTCATCATAATAGGTCCAGAAGAGGTAAAACACAAGCAGAAATGGGCACATACAGAGAACAGTGTTGAAAAACCATTGAGATCTGACTAAGTTACAAATGCAGTTGCCAGAACCGTCAACATTGGAAGATACACCGGTGCATATACAACAGTTACATCCACAAGATGTGCAAAATTTATTTGAGTTTGCTACATTGGAAACACATTTACTTGGCAAAATGAACTGGGCACATGGAAAAAATGGATAACATAAAGAACCTAGGATGCATGACAGTATTGACCACTTTTCTTGGTATCCTTCATTCTGTTGTTTGTACAAATTTTCATTTGAATTCAAATTCTCGTTTTCAGTATTGAAAACAGTATGATTGACCTCATTTCCTTCTTTCCATTGAGGTTCCAATGAATATTCTTTTTGTCGTATTCGTGGTTTCAATACACTGAGAACGGCTGTTCCAGCACCTTTAAGTTGGTAAAGATACGATTCAGTTGCAGAAAATATTCGCTTCACACGATCAGTGGCAGCATGGTAATATCCCGCCATCTGCTTTTTAGAAGTATCACAAAGATAAGGCACGAAGATTGTAAAATATCATAATATATTCGATAAATGTTTTTTTATACTGTATGAGTGATGAATAAAAATACAAACAAAGGTATTGAAAATATGGCATTGAAAAGTCTCACATACGAAAATATAATAGTTTAGTACTGTAGTAGATCCCAGTATAATGACATTTTATAATTAGATAAATTGGCATGATGTATAGCGGTAGCGGCGAATGATCAAGTATTAAGCGTTATCCAAGATTAATCGACTACAAAACTATTTGCAAAAAGTTTAAATACTGGTAACACATACCGGTACAGACATACCGATAACAGCATAAAGCACTCACTCAGCATGGCAACAAAGTTTTTAAATTTAGATAAATACTTATAGAATCCCTGCAATACAGCAATATGACCAGAAAAAGAAGTGAAGTCAAAATAATAATCCAGGTTACTCCTTTCAGAATAATTACGGTAAATGGGCAAATTTTATTATCTGTTTACTAATGCTGTAATGTTATTTATTATCTGACAACAAACTAATAGTGTAGATATTATAGGATTACATAAATTACACCGTACAGCGTATGCAACTATGACTGTATCTGTATGATTACATTTAAGTTATTCCTCCGTCAAAATATAAGTCTGTAAGTCAGCTACAGTACTGCCTGACTGCTGTAGCCTGCTAAAAACTTATTTTCAATTACGTTACCAGTAGCAGTAACCAGAAACCGTATACAAGATACAGAGCTAAATTACCTACCGTACTTCTGCAACTGCCGATACCTGTGTTTTCTAGTGGGCAGACCGCTCTGCAGGCTCTGTCAGTTGACAGCTCAAGTTTAGGTCCATTCTGTCACACTTTATAGTACACGCGTATACTATTAGATCACTCAGACGCGAACCCACTGTTTTAAACTTGTTCACCTCGGCGTTTGTGAGAAGTGTCACCAGGGTCGCAACGATTTTTTTGTTTACATCCGTGAAATTGGCTAAATGCAATATATCAAATGTGACATCACAACTAAAATTTTGTAAGCCGCTCAGAGACGCAGTGGTCTCAACATTTCATGGCTCGTGGCCCCCTTCCGGAGGCTTTTTACATTCGTGGCCCCCCTGTTCATCATTCCAAAAATCGGACGTGTTGGATTGTACTATGTATTTGCGACCTTTTATAGAATGCAAAAACACAACACAGGCAAGAAAGTCAAAGCTTTTTATTGAACAATCAATGGGAATCTTTCCAGCGTAGTATCAGTGGATTCATCGAGTTGGAGGCTGGCTTGAAGCTTACTTTGCTTGATTTCGGAGCAAACTTGTTGGCATACAACGGCTGCCATGTCATCAACACGTCGACGGATTGTACTATTGGAAAGAGGAACTTGCTGCATATTTCTTTGGGACCTATCAGCAGTTCCACCATTTTCTCCGCACATGGCTTGATAAGATCCTCGGCAATAGTGTGCGGCTTTTGCACTTTGCGATACGATATGCCACTTCATAGCTGCATTCAAGAGCAGGATTTTCCTCCGGCAGAAACCCGAAATTTGTCAATGTTGCTTCCTTGTCGAATCTGACTCGCTTGGCAGCCAATGCACCAATATCAACGTCTTTCACATGGGGATGATTTTTGTCACGGTGGTTGTGGAGTTTGGATGGACGTAATGATTCATTGCTCATTACATACGAGCAATACATGCATTGAGCACATTCTCTGTCATCTCGATTTACTTTGGTAAAGCCAAAGCCAACGTAGCTGTCGTTCCATTTTCGTATTTTGGGCATTAGGAATTTACATATAGGCTTCTGCGTTTATAATACGATACCGACGGTTAACTCGCAGCCTATTGAAACTGCCCGTCCGCAGGTTATACGGCCTGCCAGAGAACTATTCCGATTAGTGAATTCCATTATGATCAAACAATCCGCGCACGAGAAAGTGAATACACCTTGTGACCGGAAATAACCTATTCTGGTAATGAAACTGAGGTGAGCGGGGAATATTTATTTAAATGGAATGTATGCAAACGAAGTCGCTTTATAACCAATTATTAGCCTTGTGTCGTGGCCCCCTTAAGGGGCCACCGGCCCCCGGTTGAGAACCACTGATATAGAGGGTCAGAGGTTTCACTCAAAGTGACTTTTTATAGTCTCTTTGGTTTCACTGAGACACATTCTCCGACGTAGTTGTAGGCCTTAGCTTGTTGGAAACAAAAAGGGCCTAGATCAATGGTTCCTAAATTTGTTGAGTCGCGCCCCTCTTTGGAAATCTTACAAACTTAGCGCCCGCTATTTTGCTTTAAAAAAGGGCCAAATTATATTTCTGATGGGCGGGGTCCTTTTTGTTTATATGCCATGTTGCAGCAGTGAAAGAGAAGATTTGTTCGTCTCTTTACTTTGTAAAATTCAGTCTATCGTCGAAAACTCTTCTATATCCAATATTGTAATCATTGGAGATTTCCATGCTAGCAATTCAAAGATTTTTGGTCGTTTATTGGAAGATTTTTGCTTAGAAAATGGACACATTTTATCTGATATGGGACTTATGCAGCCTGGTTACTACATACATAAGTGATGCCCTTGCAACAGCCAATTGGTTAGTTAGATTATTGCATCACAAGTGTGAATATGCACAATCATATTGAATCTATAGATGTTATTCAATGTTTCACACATTCCTTTCGTTTATGATTCAAAAAGTGTCTCGAGTTTTTAAAACCTAAGTTCTATAAAACTCCTTTGGGGCTATGCAATGTCGTAATAGCAATTGTTGTTCTCACCGTGAAAGCACGGATAAATTTAACCATGATATATGTTTTGATAAAGATTTTGTGTTATCTTTTTTGAATTCTGATTTTGACAACTGTTTTAGTGATTATAACTCACTGCCAATGCAGATAAAAGTATTATTTATTTTTTCTTAAATCATGTTGCTCCCCTGGTCCTGATGAGATAAGCAAGCAGCAATTGGTATATTCTCATTCAAATTTGTCAGTGCTTTTATGTTTGCACATTAACATCCGTATGAATCATAGTTATATACCTGCATCTTCTCTTTTCAAGCTCTATTCAGCCTATAATTAAGAACAAAAATGGTGACATTTGTGGTGAAAGTAACTATACAGGCTCATTGCACCGCTGTTTTATTCAAGATTTTTGACCTTCAATACCTGATATCAACCGGGTCGGGCCTTTATTAGATCCTTCAATTGTTGGGTACATTGGGATATTACATGTGCCCCTTTCAATTACTTTCAACATTTTGCTTTGCATATTTATGATGAACAAATTTAATTCATATTAGCTGTTATTTTGCCGATATTGCGTGATTTATCTGTGAATTTGATTCATATTAGCTGTTAGTTTTGCTGATATTGCGGTGTTTCAATATGATATTACTATATAAACTGTGCTCCATTCGTATTTCCCGAGGAAGAACTATTCAATGCCACAGAAAAAATAGAGAAGCATGAACGACGATCCAGACTGGACAACCTAGAATTTTACGGTATTGCTCCTAAAGTTAATGAGGACACTGACCATTATGAAAATAGGCAAAATGATTAATGTTGACATAAAACCTTTCCTGTGGACTCCAAATGGAAAATTGTTGATTAAAAAGGATAAAGACACCAACACTTTCCCCATTGATGATGAAGAAGATTTAAATAAAATAAGATAAGTCGAATCGAACCTTTATAACTTTTTTTAAAAATTACATCCTTTATTCTCCATAAACCACTCAAATCGCTCTGTTACTTGTTTGTTTAATACCCGTATGATTTGAAACCCACTTGGCACTTGCAGTGTGACTTATGCCATAAGTTGTCCCATATGCCATGTATTTTACCTCCCTACATCAGACTCTGTGATGGTGCATGAGATCTCCTGTGCAAAAATTCTAATTATTCAACTTCATTGGTCCAAGAGCTAACTTCTAACCCCAACTTGCAATGGGATTTAGCGAGATTTCATCCACGTTTTGCTTCAATCCCATGTTGGCATATTGAAATATCGGATATCTACAAAGTATCATCTAGTTTTCTACCCTCAGATCTCACTGTTCTACATCTCAATATAAGATCCCTGGGTAAATATGTGGATAACCTTGTTGAATTAATTACTAAATTTTATTCCCTGCCTAAAATTATTGCGTTGAGCGAAACCAGGATAAGGAGGGATGCCACCGTTAATTACGTTGACATCCCTGGCTACACCTTTATCCATGCGCCATCCCCAACTCAAGCGGGTGGTGTGGGTTTCTATATTAAAAATGGCATTAATTATCAAATAACGCAATATTTTGACTTAGTATTCAAAAACTGTGAGGACATGTGAATCGAGCTGAAATGCTCTGTAAAAAACCCAAAGCCTTGTTATCGGTGTTATCTATAAGCATCCCGAGCGTAACATCCCATCCTTCACCGAAGCGATGTCTTCTCTATTCGAAAAGCTGGCATTGTCTAAAAAGCAATTCATAATTCTGGGTGACTCTAATATAAACCTCCTCAACACCCTCGATATCCCCACTTCCAAATACTGAGATATGCTCATGTCCAATTTTGTACTCCCAATCATCATTAGACGCACAAGAGTTACTTCATCCTCCCACACGTTAATAGATCACATTTACACCAACACCATAAAATCTTGCTCATCATCATTTATTATACTTTGTGATCTCACTGATCATTTTCCTATTATGTGTAATTGTGTACCCTATCTTCAAGTCCAAACAAAAACACGCATGAAGCGTTATATGGCAAATTTTTCTGCTGACACATTCAGATTGGAAGTCAAGGTGATGTGTAACAATTATACCAGTGCTACTTTTTCCAAAGAAGATTTTAATAGCTCATTTGATCTCTTTCTTAGCCATTTTAAGTGGATAATGGACAAACACGCACCATTACGCCCACTTACACGTAGAGAAAATAAATTATATTCTAAGCCATGGATTACCAGGGGAATTCAGAAGTCCATCAAACACAAAAAATAATATGTTCAGAAAAATGTTTCTGAGTGGCAACGCATCACAGCGTCACCACTTCAATAAATACAAAAATATCTTGACACACTTGCTGAGGAGATCGAAACAAAAGTACTACCATAATATTCTAGTCAACAACAGAGGCGATATCAAGCGCACATGGCAAACCATCAATGAGATTATCAAAATTAAGACAAGAGAGGACACAGCCATCTCAGAATTAAAACTGGAAAATAGTAGTACTGTGAGTATATGATGCCTTCACAATCCCGGCATTTGTTTGGTATGACTGGCCGGTCTGTTACAAAGCGTATGGTCTGGTCCATGCGCTGCTGCTTCACATGTTCCCAAATTCCCCCAAAATTACCTTTATCGCGGTTCATTTTATCTCCGTGCTTGGACTGAAGATTTCGCTCAAACAAACTTGGTTCCATGACATTCAAAAGGGTTTTCTTGCAGACCACGTACTCCAGTAAACGTTCTACATTAAGTTCGATCTTACGGGTCGACATCGATAGCAGCATTGATGTATTTGGAGGTATACTTCCGCTTTGACTTGCTTAAATATTAAGTTAAAAAAATTACTGATAAATTAGACTTAAAACTTAGGATTATGGCGATCAGCCGATCAGCGAAAACATGCTCGTTTCGTTTTAGGTGGGTAGGAGCGGGCGATGTCTGAAAACAAGGGCCGGTAGCCCAATAAATGCCGTACAGCGAATGCATAGGATTTACATATTTATCCCGGGGGAGAGGAAAGCCGATATAACGGCATATCCATATGGCGAACCACGGCCTCTCTTCCGGTTACCATTCCAAGTCGGGTATGGGATCAGTTATACTGTATTGTTTGTTTTCTGAAGCATAAACTTGGTGGCATACACATACAGTATGGAAGATAAAGCGTTGGCGGCAGTATGTTCCCCATCTTTTCTCTTTAGGGGGGGGGGGGGGGGTGTTTCAAAATTTAGGGGGTGGTAAATAATTTGCTATTAGAGATAAAACTAGGCTATTTGTATTCTTAAAAAAATGGTATGTATTTAAGAAACGATGTTCATGAGGGGCCCCCCAAGTTGATTGACGGCGAGCCAAAATCCACAGCAGAATGAATTTGTAGGGCCAGAAAAGGGGAGCGAGGAAAAGTACGGGACGACACGGCTGGGGTTCAGGGCGCGCTTAAGCGCCCTGAGAAAATTTTGAGAAATAGGCACCAAAATAGGCTCTAAGCTTGATTTTAGATACACCTAGCATCGCAGTTTGTTATGTAATAAAATCAATATTTATAATATTTAGCTGATAGAATTCTCGGGGAATAGATAACAAGCACGGCTTTCAACCGTAAATATATACTACTACGTTTCAACAAGTAATTTGCAACTGATAGTGACTAATGAAGTTACTTGCTCATCTGGCATTGTATGAATGGCTACTTATGGCTTGTTTTGTTACACATTTCTAATTTTTTTGAACATGATTGTTTGACTTTTGTATGAATTAAATTTTGAAATACGCTCGCCAACTGATCGTAATGTCGCATAATGTTGTATTCCTTCAGAACTGAAATATTTTGTAAGAAGACAAATCGCTGAAGTTTGATTCTTTTCAATAAAGAAATAAAAACGCTGTCATTCATCTAAAAAACGTCTGTTTTCAGTGCCTAGTTTTCGTTTTGTGACATCTTTAAGCTTTCTTAATATATGGCTGATATCTAAAATACTGCAGTGTGTAATCATAATACCCATACCTATACATAAGATACCGGAATAACTCAGTTGTTACGAAATAAACGTGCTTAAACTGTGATAATGATGTAACAATAGACGGTATCTAAAACTCAAAAGGTACCACATGAAGGGTTAAACTATTTCACTCAAGTTCGGCGGGCCATTTTAAATCGTCACGCAGGCCGTAATTGGCCTCCAGACTGCGGTTTAGAACCCCTCAGTGTGGAATCGCACCTCAAAATTAGGGGGGGGGGGGTGTTTGAAATTTTAGGGGGGGTGTTCACCCCCTATAGGAGGGGGTTTGGGGAAATCACTGGTTGGCGGCGTATTTTAGCCAACCCAAAAGTTAATTGTTGTTTTAAATTCAAAGCTGATCGCGTACCACATGTTTTTTTTTTTTTTTTTTTTTTTTTTTTCTTTTATTAATAAAAACATCACTTTTTATCCACACGATATAACACATAAAAACAATTGCACTTTAAGAAAATGAGTTCATGATAACTTTCCACTTCTTAATGTTCTTAACCCTTTCCGTGCGGTGGGCACGTATACGTACCCACGACAAAACTCGCTAGTTTGCGGCGGGTACGTTGATGTACTCCACTGTTTTATTTAGCAATCGGTCGCAAACTGTTGGTCTAGTTTTTCCGGGTTTTAGTTTATTGATAAGAAGCCTTCTTCGAGATTAACATAAGCGACGGTAAATCTCGCTTTCGTTTACCATGGGAGTTTTATTTGCGGCGGAACGAGGGAGTGTTTTTGATTTATGCAAATTTCGGTGTTTTTTGGGTGGTAATAGAAGACATATTATCCCTTCCATCTACCAAAGTATTTTGAGTTAGATAACGAAATTGCTACAGTAATATTATGCTATTGTTTGCCAACCAAGAAGCGGTAACAGTAAAGGATTTAGCGAATATTTCTATTTTTTATCACGGCTTGAAGTTTCAACACCAAGAAAAAAATGTCTTTTTTCTATCCTGTTTGTGACTCAGACCACCCCTTTTGAAAAAAAAAAAAAATTTTCAATCGCCAATTGCAAGCTCTTTAAATAAGCTTTCCAACGAGCCGTCAGTGGGCAGCAGAGGATCATTACTTTTTCGTTAGTCGATCGATTAGTTGTGGGGGTACAAATGCATAAAGTCGGCGTAGCAAATACGATTATTTAATAAAAAATAAAAATCGCATGGAAAGGGTTAACGTACCACATGTTGAGAAGCACTGAGTTAGCTCGTTGCGCTGAGTTCGCCACTCGCCAACCGTCTGACCGTTAGAAGTTCTGCATTGACAGCGTACTGTACGTTACTGTAGTCCGTGCGCGCGTTTCAGCGTTCGGGATAATTTCCCGAATATTATTATTATATGGAATTATTATATCTGATGGAATTATCTTGATATTACTGGTATATATGTTTGTTCACTTACGGTACACAATATATCTTTATTTATATTGCATTTATTTATTATTTACATATTGAATAATCCTGGATTATATGGAATATTATATCTGATGGAATTATCTTGATATTACTGGTATATATGTTTGTTCACTTACGGTACACAATATATCTTTATTTATATTGCATTTATTTATTATTTACATATTGAATAATCCACATTGTGGATCCATTTAAAAAAAAAAAAAAAAAAAAAAAATTTCGCGAATAGGTTAGGCCTAGGGTTTGACTGTGCTAGACCTGGCTGCAGACAGCTTGTCGTGCAAAAATGATACCGGTAATCTAGTCCACTTTTCAACATTTGGAAACTTCCCGCCTCCAGAAACCCTATTTAGAATGTTGGCTTTCTACAGTGCGGCACCTGTATGCCTTTGTATACGACGTAGCTTGCTCGATTTTCATTTTGGCATCCCTATTACTGTATTACGTCACTCTGACATTAGTGACATACCGTAATTTTGAATGACCTAGTTAGATGGAGGTTAGAAAGAAATATGCCAAAATTTTGTGCCACTCCTACTAGAAGTATTAAACTAGGCTATACTAGATTCACCGAATTTTCCTTTCTATTTCAATACTGTATTTCAAATATTGGAACCAAATTTTTGATGTAATTGCATTCATCACTGATAGGGATAGGTTAGTACTTTGCTGTGCACATGCAGACATGCTTTTCTTCTATATCCTGACATCATATACACAGATTAGAGCTAAGATCTCAAGCCCGAAATTTGGGCCGGGTCGGGCTCTCTATCGCTGACTTTTTTTTTAAATAAATATATGTTTATAAAAAATATAAACTAAAACTATGTGTGTATACTCATCAACAAGACACATACAGACATACTGTACTAAACTCTTGCAATGACAATTCAAAGAACTAAATAAAATATGAAATTTGCTCCGGGCTCGGGCCTGCAAATCCAGTTAATTAGTCGAGCTGGGTAGGGTTTAATACTACGGGCCTGGGTTGGGTCGGAATTTTTGGGCCCGATCTTACCTCTAACGCTGATACGCCATTAAATTTTGTCCAGATGGAATCAATGTAGATCGATTTTTCGATCATTTAAAACTAATTATATGTAGTAGGATATTCAACAACTTACTTCTTGGTTTGGTACAAACATTAAAAAAGTTGAATGGGATGTGTGTGGGCCAAGATTGTTGGCCTATATGAAGCAGTATTCCGATGCTCTGGAGAACAAGCTGTCACGCAATCACCAGTGGATGGAGACTTGGAAAATAAAAGCCTCATGGCAGATAAAAACACTGAAATAGATAATGGAATCAGTGATAAAAATTCTTTTGGCAATGATGATGATGTTGGGAATGATCAAACCCTCGACAAACAACAAAGCATCATTCAACATACATTGGATCTCCGAAAAAGGAATGTTTCGCATGAAAATTGTACTGAACCTTCAAATTGTAATGGTGCTTTGCATGATAATGGTATTCACGAATCTAAAAAGCTTGACGTTGACAACAGCGATTTGGTTCAGGTGATCGAAAGTAAAGATGTTGATCAATGCCATGATGATTTTGAAGATTTGTTAAGCAGATGTCCATCCACTGTAGTACTGAAGGTATAAGTATAGAAATTAATATCATATAAATATATTAGTACCCTATATATATCTGATGAATCAGTAGCAAAATAATGTATTTCTAAATTGAAGATCTAGCTATTATAATATGCATTTCAACAGTGTCAACTTTTTTTTTTTTTCAAAATGCATTTGGGATCTCTATAAGCATAAATTTGAAAAACTGTAGAACAGTCTTTATTCATATTAATTTATCACTATTTATTGTTTCAGATTCTTGGCTATCTTTCGTACAAAGATTTAGTCCACAGTGTGAGTCCAGTATGTAAATCATGGCATAATATGGCGTTTGATCCATCTCTTTGGTGTGTAATTGACTTTCGTAGATATAAGGTAAGTCCAATTTGGGTTTGCAGAAAGGAGTGTGTGTTGTACTAGATTTAATTGGATGGAGTTTGGATATGATCTCGCTTCAATGGATTGAAAAGAAATATCAATGCAATTTGGAATCCTTCATTTTAATTTAAAATACCGTATATGCTCGTTTTACTGCCCGTTTTTGATTAAGGGCCCGTTTGAATAGCCGCCGTGTGAACAGAACATAAAAATAAATAAGGGCCGGTGCGTGAATACCCGCCCGATGTAAAAGCTGATTTTTCAGTGGTAGAGAACAATGAGAAATAAAAAGCTTTTGTCACAATGCTGTTGAATTTTAAGGCCCGGTAGATAACACTCACGCCTTTGGCGTCCAAGTACATAATAGATAGCATTGATTACGTAACACCATGTTTCTCAAACTGGGCGTCGCGACGTCCAAGTGCCTCATTTCAATATTGATAGGGCATCGCAAAACTTTTCTTCTTTTGCGGATCTGTACCTGCGGTGCATAGAAAAAGTCAAAATTTTCGCTATTCTCGTTTAAATCATACTTGAGAACTGGAAATAACAATATATCAATTATTGTAATGATCGAAAATAACAAGCGCCCATGCTTGAATAAGGGCCCGGTTAGTGAGTTGGTTGGAAAAAATATGGGCCCGGGCTACAAAACGAGCAAATACGATATCTGAAATGTAAGAAATATGGCTTGGAAAGATTCTCGATATCGATTTTTTTGAATGTATCCAATATAAATTATTATTATATTATATCTTAGTTTTACCAGTATGATGATATCAAATGCAACATAATTTTGTCAAAAAATTGGATCAGTTTAGAATAACAATGAAAGTGCTTCAGTTATTGATATTCCGTAAATTTTTTTAGATCAATGATGTCGTTCTAAACAAACTTGTTGAACTATGCAGTTTTATAAAATACATTTTATTGCCTGATGAAAAAAATGAAGACCTAACTGAAGCTGGAATGAAAGCATTAGCTGTTGGTTGTCCAAATTTAACAACATTTTACGCACCAAGGTAGATTTTTCAATAAATACAAACCATGGTCTGACCATTTATTGTTGTTACATATAGGAAAATATAGATACTTTAGACTTGCAGTCGCTCACATTTTTTGAAGACTCAAATAGAATGGCATAAACATGTAGGCTATAAATAATTTTGACAAAATGAGAATTCCAGATATTTGACAAAAGTAATAATTACAAACTTAAAAATATGGTGTAGATTAGTTCACTTTGTGTAGACGAATTGACTAATTTTGGTTGTTATTCTTATATATATGATACAGTATTTAAATATGATACAGAATATTGCACTTGTATTTGAGAATTGTCCAATGGCCATTAGTATATTGAATAGAAATAAGTTTGAGGTAGATTAGATTGAATTACTGTGTGGGTTTGGCTGAACTTCATTTCATGTTGGTAATGAGCTAATTGAATTACTTTTTGCATGTTTTTGCCAGCTTTATGGATATTATTTCTCTCATTACAGATGATAAATTTAATTATTATTTTTACAGAGTAGGTTCAAAATTATCTGATGATGTTTTCATTGCTTTTGCTGAAAATTGTCCTCGTTTAAAAAAATTGTTCTGGAATGTTTGGAGATCACAGACAAAACAGTTCTCAGTGTAAGTTTATTTTTGTACTATTGGATGTGATTAGCAACCAAATAATGTAGATAAATAAAAAAATCATTATCTGGAATTAAACGCTTTATTAGCGTGCAAAACTGTGCATAATTCTCCACACTGATATATATCCCTATACTTTTCATCGTAGATTCCTGAGTATGAACAAAAAATATACCCTAGGACAGTGGCTCTCAAACTTTTTAAGCCGCCCCCCCCCCTTTTCATAAACTGTCAAGTCTCACGCCCCACCTCAAAAATAATTAACTACAAATAACTGATTGTAAGGCGAAACTGTGTTTTATTAAAAAAAACGCGTTAAAATACGATGATGGAACGTGAATATCTAAAATAAGACAGGAAAGATTACATCTAACGAATATTTTTATATTTGATTAGCTTTCAAAAAATTGTCCACGCCCCCAACTTGTGGGTGACGCCCCACCATTTGAGAACCACTGCCCTAGGATATCCATGTCATTATTATTTTGAGCGTTTCGAAATAATGACCCAGAGTCCCACATATCAAAATTATGTTATCTTACATTTCACACTAGATTTCAACATGTGACGGATGCAAAATTTATCGATTACGAGACTAAGTTGTTGTAGATATTCTTTTGACACTATATTTTCAGTTGCAAAATATTGTTAAAATTTTCTTTATGTACAACAGATAGCTCACAATCTACATGATCTTGAACATTTAAGTGTAAGTCAAATATCAAATATATCAAATGAAGCTGTTGCAGAAGTTATAAAATGTTGTAGAAAATTAAAATTGTTGAAAATCAGCCATAATAAACAGGTGAGAAGATATGTTATACATTTTGATCATATACAATTTTTCCTTTTTTTTTTGAATCTCAATACAGGCAACTTGTTGAAAGTGAAAATACATCTATACCAGTGATCGGCAACCTGTGGCTCCGTAGCCGCATGTGACTCTTTTTTCATGAAGCACTGGCTTTCACAGATCAAAGTGATTACAGCAGTTTTTTGTTAAAAGCAGTAGAGATTCAATGGAAAAAATAAGGTCTGAAGCCAAATACTAATCACTAATTACATACCACAATGGTTCCCAATGTATACATCATGAGCGGTAAAAAATGGGTTGCTTTTGGTATATCAAGAGATTCAAGACAAACTTTTACTTTTCATTTTACAGGTTATTATCATTTCAACGTAGACTGAACTATTGCAGCATTTGTATTTCATTTGGTTTCTTCTTAGTAACAACCGGATTATTGCATCACGAATGGTTTTCCGGGAGTTTTACTAGCCACTCTCCGAGTAGGGTTGAATTTGATTGAAAGGATGCCAAATGGCTCTTTCCATGCTAAAGGTTGCTGACTCGTGATCTATGCAGTAGCATAGAATAATTTATTTTCCATCTGAAGAGCAAACTCTCAAAAAATAGGGGTTTTCCTTGCATATGCTTCCGTCTTCCCAAGATAATAAACCTCTATAATTCTATTTTTCAGATAACTGAGAAATGTTTGGTCACTATTCCTGAGAGTAGTTTGTCAATACAGACATTGGACTTTTTGATGTGTAATTTCAATCCCAATGGTATCGCAATTCTCGGTGAATTATTAAATCTTGAAGATATTAATTTAAGTAAATGTGAAGATTTAACAACAGATGATCTGATGCCAATCATGGAAGGATGCAAAAATTTAAAGGCGATCAGTCTGAATCTAAATAAAAAGTTTGATGATAAGTGAGTTGATAAATTTTCATGTGTTTATATTATCAATAAGAGTCCAATTTGAAACCTCTAGCTCAGTGATTCTCAAACTTTTTAAGCTGCGCCCCCATTTTAGAGTTTGTCGAGCTGCGGCCCACCTCAAAAATAACTCTCTAACAATAAGCTACAAATAACAGACAGTAGGGCGAAAGTATGTTTTATTCGAAAAACATGTTGAATGATAGTAGGTCGAAAGTATGTTTCATTCAAAAAACACGATGAAAATATGTGTATGGAAGGTAAATATCCAAAATAAAGAAATGTAAATATCCGAAATAAGGCAGGCCAGATCAAATCTAACAAATATTTTGATTTTTAATTAGTTTCGTGCCCCCCTCAAAAAAAATGTCTACACCCTTCTTGTGGGGCGCGCCCCACCGTTTGAGAACCACCGCTCTTGTTATTTGAGCAGAAACAGGTTCAGATCATTTTATTTTCCTATATCATTGACTAGATAACACCGCTCTTGTTATTTGAGCAGAAACAGGTTCAGATCATTTTATTTTCCTATATCATTGACTAGATAAAAATTTCGTTTGTTTGAGGTTCCAAAAATAAATCATATTTTGAAACATTTCTAAAATAGACTGCTTATTCCCAATTTTACTACAGTATGTTCAAAACAAGGTATTTGGATTTTACTCCCTCTGGTAACAATGTTGATGCTAATCGCTGCAAATATCTTGTCTTCTTTTGTGTAGATATATATTGTGAAAAATAGTTTTAAAAAATTTTGTTGCAGCTTTATCGATATCATTCTCACGAAATTACCAAGTATGGAAAAATTTTATCTTGTTTCAACTACGATAACAGATGAAGGTTGGTCGATCGTTATATATTTTTAATAGTGATACTTCTCAACCAGGACTGTGCAGATGGTGTTTGGCATTTTTTTCATTGGTATTGAAACCGGAGTCTTTATCCTCAAATTCCCTCGATTTCAATTCTAAAAATCAATTTCACTTTTTACACTGCAGATTCTATAGTAGGGGTGGGCAAGGTTTTGGACCAGGGGCCAAAAATTTTGCCCACCTAGACTGACGGGCCATGTAAGTGTGACGTAAAAAGTTACATTTTATGATTTTATTTACAGTGTTACAAAAAAATAGTGGAAAACAATAAGCCTCGTGCTAAAACTAAATTTAATCGCAATCTCTACAAGTTCCTTGAGCTATTTTTCAGCTAAATCATCAAAATTTGGTTTTAGTTTGATTGTGGCATCATCAGGCGGGCCAGATTAAATTACCCAACGGGCCGGAATTGGCCCTCGGGCCGTAGCTTGCCCATGTCAGTTCTATAGTGTAACCTCACAAAACATCATTTTCCAATTTGATATTTACCGTAGATATCTCTAGTGACTGGGAATAAATAGTATCCTAGGATTCTTGATTTACTTGCTCTATTTCACAAATTTAGGATATTCAACCAAAAATATTTTTTCCCATATTACTCGAAAAGCTGATTTATGATTGCAAGATATCGCTGAACACTTATATCTAATATTATGGTAAATTGATTTATAAATTCAGCAACTTCCTTTTACAGCGTTGGTCATCATGGGGAAAAAGGGAAAAAAAATATCCGTGATCGATATTGGATATACTAAAGTTACGGGTTTCGGTGCTCGCTATGTCTCAGAAAATTGTGCATGTTTAGAATATTTGGGATTAATAAGATGCGATTCGGTAAGGACAAATTTCATATTTAGTAAGGATTTTCTCTGATCAGATTTTAGTTTGAATTTTTTTGTATTGTTTATCTTGTAAACATATAGATCAGGGTGATCCAAACCCAGGCTGCGGCCCGCAGCTTCATAATCCGGGGCCTGCATCACATTTGGTGTTATTCGGTTTAGTGAGTTTTTCGGTGGTTTTCTCATGTTTTAGCGTGGTAAATGACAAATACTGTTAAATGTGTTTGCACAATAAAAGGGGTTTGTTTTGTGTGGCACTGTTTACCTATTCTTGACACCATTTTGGCCCGCGAACAATGCAAAAATAATTTTGTGGCACCCGGAGCCGTCAACCTTGGACACCCTGATATAGATGATGTTAGATAAAAGCTGATAGTAAACGATTTCCCCCTCTTGAACTCAGACGATGGGCAGTATATGATTAGTGAAAAATGGGAGACACTTTTCAATACTGTTTTTAATTTCAGGTTCCTGAAGAGGAAGTCGAGAAACTTGTTGTGGAATACCCACATATTATGTATTCCACTTTTATTCAAGACACCAAACGGATGTTTGCAAAAATTGAAAGGGATGGTAGATTAGATTAATTATATTGTGATTCTTACTGTAATTTGCTTCCCATTGTTTTGTAATATATGCTTTTCCATTTCCTTTTGTGTACCAGCCAAATTTTAATATTAATTTGTAGTGTTTATTTTAATGTGTATATAATGTATGTTTTTGATTAGTCCGATATTTCCTATAAATTTATTCATGTGATTATAATAATAAATCATGTGCTTGTGATGCTTTTCGGGATGTAAGATCGCCAATTTTCCAAGTCTGGGCATCTTCCATTCAACGTGCTAAACCAGAGGGCACCAAATTACAATCCCTTGGCCGGTGCGATAAGGAAGAGCGGAGATAAGTCTGTCCACTACACAAGCGATAAGAAATGGCCATATGATTATCGAATGTCCTCGTGGCGTTCTGGGGTCGACAGAATTTGCGGACCGATACGTATTTAATCACGCTCACCAAAACGAGCGGCGATTCCAACAAAACTAGCCCTGAGAGAACGCAGTCCGAGGGACTTTCAGTATTTCGAAAAACAAAACCTGACAAAGTATGGTATAGCGTAAGGCTGAAAGCTGTCCTGCAAACGGAAATTTTTGAAACATGTGGCCTTCCTCGTTTAGTGAAGTTATACGCTAACACTCGACTCTCAAATATTTTTTTGGCTGTCCTGATGAATTAGCAAATTGAGAAAAGAGAACAAAAACCAGCAAACGTAAATAGTAAAAACATGCCCCAGGCACTGATCTTTAAATCCTGCGACAATCATTACGCGAAGGATAAAACCGCTGGCTGGGGGAAGAAGTGTGATACTGCGTCGGCATCGCTCGCGTTCTTGTGAATTATGGGACTTGCATGTTGTTCACTTCTCGTCCTGTTGGCAATGATTCCTTTTTTGGAAGAATTTCTTGATAAACTTCATTCATCTATGGATAGAAGTCACCATAATCTATGTTAGTATATCAAAAAAATAAATAAAAAGGTTAAATTTTAACAATATACAAAATGGACCAAAGGTGAGGGAACGGGTAATAAAATATACCCATTTTATTGACGAAGATAAATGTTTATATGCGGAGTTATTAAATTTCGAGCTCATTCTACATATATACTTATCTTTGTATATGGCTCGGCGGTGTGGCGCATCGTGCGATACTGCACCTCTGATTACACTGCGTGGGTTCGCAAGTTCGAATTCTATGCGGGTTCAATTATGTGCGAGAGGATTGCTTAGGGTGACCATACGTCCTCCTTTTGGAGGATTTGTCCTCACTTTTCGTTAAAAATTTTATGTCCTCCGAGGACGCTCTAAAAAGTCAAAATGTCCTCCTTTTTTTAAGGAGTCAAATATTTAAAATTCTTTTATGACATAATCAACATTTTATGATGGGTTAAGAAAATTTTAGAGTAAGTAGAAAGTTGTCATAACCAATACACATATGACAAGCAAGGCATTGAGATACCATATAGGTTCATAAATACCCTAATAAACCCCAAATACAAAATGGGTTCAAAATATCTTCGGTTGTTATGGGTCTACACGTGTCTCACAATAAATTCTGTTACGTAAAGAATATGATCGTCAAAACAGCTGTTTTGACTAATTCAGTGAAGCGTCACGGGCCGTAGGTTGCCGACCCCTGCGCTAAGTCATATGGTAGACTATGTCAATTCCGGCAAAAATCCATGAAAAAACGCTCTAATCCGCATTCGAATGCAGTTTGAGAAACAACTGAGATACCGACATTTTTGAGGTATCATATCATCTCCAAAGAGCAATTATAATACAGCGAAAGATTAATGCTGCCAGTGCCTTGGTGAAACAACAATGACTATTTCCGCGCTGCATATTGGTATCTAAGGTTACACCACAAAGATCATTTTTTATAACCATGCACAAAATTAGTTTCTTTATTGTGAGTTCTAATTGCGCTCCTATTTTCAGCCGTTGAATGGGGGTTTAAAGGGAGCTTGTACAATAGCTTCCGGGGTTTGGCAGACTCACAAATGTTAAGAACCACTGCTCAGTGTTAAATGCATACTTGTTCATCACCTAAAAATCGTGTCATTGCATCTTGTATTTAGCAATTTGGTGGAGTTTCGATTTTAGCAGAAAATTACGTCAGTAGACACAGTAAATTAAGCCGAAAAGAAAAATATTTTTTTTCTACCCATCTACTGAAGCAAAAGTATTCATGCTTTAGATTTGATAGCGAAGCGGAGTGCATTACTTGTGGCTACAGTTGCTCGTTGCCAGGATTACCCGACCTTTGACCCCCGAAAAATTCTTTCTATACTTTACCATTGCAAAATTTTCGGGACTATTTTGGGAGTAATTTTGCGAGTGGCGCCTGTAAGATGGAGTATGTGCTTCAAACCATCATTTTATTCATCGCGTACGTCGTACAACAATAGGTTTTTTAAAAGTACCGGTAAATAATTTTAGCCTAGTCTATCACAGCTATTTCTACACTAATTTTTTATCATTGCAATTAAATTAAAACTCCTAGGAAGACACCTAGACAATAGTGATCATTGAATTATCTGATTTATATTTAAGTTTCCGAAACACAACAGAAAACTAACGAATAGAGGTAATGTTTACGACCACGCTTGAAAATCTGTCTGAGCAACGACACAGCGGCGGCAACGACACAACGACAGGCGCGGCGGTGTGGCTCAACGGGCTAAGCGTTAGGAATACGCTCGCCACCGCACCTCTAGTTACTCTGCGTGGGTTCGCAGGTTCGAATCCCATGCAGGGATGGTTATGTGCGAGAGGATTGCTGGACTCCTCGCCGTCGTTGGGTGGTTCACGTAACCGCTGGTCGGTTACGGCTTCCTCCACCACCAAGTCCATGCTTCCGAAAACAAACAATACAGTAAAACTAATCCCATACCCGACTTGGAATGGTAACCGGACGAGAGGCCGTGGTTCGCCATATGGATAAGCCGTCTTATCGGCTTTCCCCTCCCCCGGGATAAATATGTATATCCTATCCTATCCTTTTGCATCTTGCTGATTGGCCAATGTCACGAAGTAAACAAGGAAGACGATGCTAGCGGAAAGGTCCATATTGCCGTCACATCGTCTATCGTCACTTAGATTTTTAATTGTGGAGAATTTAGTACATACATAATGTATATATCTCAGGCACGGTGTAATATTGTTCCACCAAACGATGTGTCCTCCTTTTAGGGGTTGGAAATATGGTCACCCTAGGATTGCTAGATTCCTTGCCGCTGTAGGGTGGTTGACGTAACCACTGGTTACGTCTTCCTCCACCTTCAAGTCTATGCATCTGAACACAAATAACTATGGCTAACTAATTCCATACCCGACATGGACTGGTAACCGGACGAGAAGCCGCGGTTCCTTATATAATTTAGCCGTATTATCGGCTTTCCTCTTTCTCGGGGTAAATATGCAAATTATATCCTATGTATGCACTCTAAGAAATGTTCGGTAAATTTTACCGTCATTTTAGGGGTAAAAAATTAAAAAATGAGGTCGGTAAACTGATTCACCGACAAATGTCGGTAATAATCACCGACATTGGAGGCGTGGCGTTAGTCAATGTTGCGCGCGCACATTGGTTAAGGATAGCAGCCTATCAGAAGCTATATTTCAAACGCGTAATTAATCACGCGCGTTTTTTTGTTGTTGCTTCACTCCTTAATTTGTTCGTTTGATTTGACATTTGACGAATTCCAGACTTTTGGACTTCGATATTTGGTCGGCCGACAGTTATATCTTGGTCGCTTTTGTTATTACTGCAGTACTGCGTTGGCAGTATTTCTGTAAGGCAATGCATCTTAGATTCAATAATGTCAGTGTAGGTGTCGTGTTGTTTAATGCTGGTTATTAATGTATTGTTCAGTGTGATTATAGCAGTATGGGACAGTCGGGAAGTAGGGTAAGATCTACCGTACCAATAACTGAATTAATATATATATATATATATATTTGAATACATACTGGCTATAACAGTACAGCAGTATACGGTACTGGTATAAGGTTGATTGGACTAGCTTACATCAGTAAATCCGCAGATCCATGTTACGCCTGGCGATATTTAACACAGCCAGAGCTTGATTCGTATTTCCGAATCTGAATTTTTATTGTCAGTAGGCTGGCAAATGTTAAAATGGCAATACAATATCTGAATATGCCCTCTTCACAGCTCTAGACTTTGAAATGTTAGCATCTAGTTACTGAATCAAGATAAACCGTCAAATTATCAACAGCTTTATGATGATCGCAAACTCGGACTACGTGCAGGCTGGACTACAGGAAACACATGAACAGGCAGACAGGGAGAGAGGTGACGTTGCTCTACACCCCAAAACCGCGGCTTGAAGAATATGGCATTAAAATAAACAGGTATCAATTAATTATATACTCATATAATTATATACTGATTCAGTGATTGAAAATCATCTACAGACAGACAGATTTGTATTTGATTATGATATTTTTAAATTATTGATTCTAGGACTAATTCAGAACAGTTTCATTTTAAAAAAGAGCAATTTAGGCAATTCACATTTATCTGACATAAAAACACTAGATTTCCTTTTAACTTATGACACTATGAATAGAAAATTTATTAAAACAATATTTATCTATCTTATTCTGTATATTTACTAGAACCAATTCTGTAAATATAGTTGAATTTCTCTTTCGAATAAGACCGAATTTGAACATAGTCTATTACATATAATGAAGTTAGGGAATGAATACATTTCTATTTAACAGTGTTTTCTCTTTAGAAACTGAAGAATCTGATTATGCAGGCATGAACAAATTGTCTGCCCCAACCCTGAACTGTGAAAAATTCAATGTCTAAGTCTTCATTATATTTGAGATTCTTACTAACATGTTATTTCAAGGAAGAAGTATTTGAGGTTAGTTATAATGTTAATTTTAAATTGTTAGAAGAGAACCTTTCTCATCTGCTCTGACAATAAAATATTAGGAGTGTAATTTTTATCATTTAGGGACTTTTAATTTTATTCCATTTAAATACTATTTCAGGTACCACTTCCATCTGATCTACAAAAGTTTGGTAATACTGGAAAAGTCTGTATCGATTGATTGCCCACAGATTTTTGTCCCTGAACTCCAAGAGGAAAAGAAAAATATGAAAGTTTATAGAAAGGTGGGATAGGTGAAAGATGTAATGAATGCTAGTACATGCAATTAAATAATTTCAGATATTTCCAACTTGCAAAAGAATTTGATTGATTGATTGAATACTACAAAATGTTAAATCTTATTCGAAAATTAAGTAATATTTTTAAATTTTGGAGTTGTTTGGGTAAAACTCTTTGTACATTCCATTTCAGATAACTTGAAGATATGGAGAATAAAATACCACGAGTTCGTAAAAGCAGATGGATAATGCAATACAATCAGCATGGGCAACACTAACCCGGAAAGACTCCCCCTCTGCCATAGAATATTCTCTCACAGAGGCTGTCTATAGAGACTTGTTTAAAGTGACTATGTGAACGGATACCCTGCGAGCATAAACTTCTTCAACGAGAAGTTTCTGTCTACCTCGCATTTCTAACTTTTCACTATACAATTTCTCATTTTTCCAAGTTTTATAATTCATTTCACGTTGACTTTTATTTTTTTGAATAAACCTTGTTTCATACAATAATCTGTGATTTTTACTGATCATATCCTGTAAAATGTAATGCCAGGATATTTACGGTAATTTTTACCGAGTTCTGAATGTAAATTCACCTAATTTGTAATGTAAATTCACAGGCTAGCGTCGGTTAATATTACTACGCATTGCCGGTGAAAATTACCGGAAAGAAATTGTAAGGATTAATAGGGAAATCCTGTAAAATTCGCAGGTGATCAACAGCAATTTTACCGAAAATTCTTGTGATATTTACCTCAAAATCGCATTAAAATGTCACAACTACATTCCAGTAATATGTAATGCCAGGCGATTGCCGGTAAATATTTCTTAGAGTGTGTATATACAATAACAAACACAATAGTACGTACGTGTGCATCGTAGCTTGACTTGTAATGTTTTAAATGAGACAGAAATCGCATCGCCATTGAACACCACTTATCGGCCTCTGTTATGTGTTCGCCTATGAATAATCTAGCCCCGACGTTCCAGGATTTGATAGTCAACCAAAGACACTCAAGTTCAGGATAGAATTTCTGAAAATTAACAAACTGATAATAGACGAACATTTTTCTGCAGTAACACAATCAGAAAATTGGGAAAAAGTGAATAGTGGCGGGCCATGTAAGTGTGACGTAAAAAAGTTACATTTTATGAACAATATTTACAGTGTTACAAAAGCAAAAGTGGAAAACAATAAGTCTCCTGCCAAAACCAAATTTAATCGCAATCTCAACAAATTCTTTGAGCTATTTTTAACTAAAACATAAAAATTTGGTTTCAGTTCGGTCGTGGGCAGCATCAGGCGGGCCGTACTGGATCACACAGCGGGTCGGATTTGGTCCGCGGGACGTAGTTAGCCCATGTCAGTTCTAGACGCTACAAGTGATTGTAGATGTAATGAATTCATGATATATGCAGAAAAACAGAGAAAAAATGTAATAGAAAAGTGAGCGACTCCTTGTGATGTAAACACAATCTCAAAAATGAGTTCCTGTTTACTGTTGGAGTTGCTGTAGTGTTGGACTAAAATATTCTCATTGTCTGCACCAATGATCATAGACATAATAGTGGCGTTGACAATTTTAGCTTGCCTTTAATTTTCCATCAACGAGTTCCAAGGCACTTCTGAAATAACTCAACGCTTCTTCTTTACTAGATGGATCAATTCTACTTCCATCTTGAAGAGCAAGATCAATTAGGCTTCTATATAGAGTGCTACAAAATAAAAATAAAAACATTGGATTTCATCTGCGTGGCATATTAATTCATCAATAAATATTCAATTAAAAAATGTCATTTGAACCATATTTACGAAAGTTTACTGAGATGCTACATGTGACATTTTGAACAGATAACAATTCATTGGAATCGAAATGTCATTTCTTCTTCATTTATTTGAGTACACACATCCCAACGTTAAACTAGTTACAGCATGGCCATATGTGACGTCGACTGTTGGCTGTTCCTCGCATATAAATATAAAACCTGTATCGGTCCTGCTCGATGATACGCAGTTCAATGCGTTATGAATATCTGTCATCGAACTTCAGTTTACATTGTAAAGGTTCGAATTTCGTTTGGGACGATTACGTGCAAGAGGATTGCCAGCCACAGTTTGCTCAGGATACGGTTCCGCTAGTCAACTGCGACTTTCTTCATCATCTATGCATCTGGAACAATTAACTATAATATTGTAATGTTTTGGTAGCGATTATTTTAACCTAAGAATAATTCTACTATCTACCTATATTTGATTGCCTCCTGTCTTTGATATTGGTCATCGTCGCCCTCCTGCGAGTCGAGTTTCTTGATAGCTATTTTCAAAGCTCTTTTGCTCAGATTAATATGATTGGCAGGCTGTTGCACAGCCAAAGCTAAACAAAGAATTTATATGTGATGCATAATAACCACCGAAAATTACTATACTGCACTGCTAAAGGCTGATTTATCAATTTTCAATTTTTTTCGTCATGTTATGCCTCACCAAGAAAATTGTTCTTCCTACTGCAGTAATAATCAGGTATTGATCGAATATAATATTGCATTTGATTCGATCATTTCAGTCGTGCCCTTTCGTGGTAAAAAGTCATTCTAAAAATGCCAAGAAGATGCCCGAAAACTTGCCTGCTATTGTTTCGAATGTCTTCACAGTTGCTTGTGGAAGCAAAATAATACTTTCAAACAAGCGTTCCAATTCAGTCAAATCTGTTGCTTTCGGATTGTTACTTGTCATCTTTTCACGTCTGAATAACTTGGAAAATGCTTCAAATTCGTACAAAGCTCTCAACACGGTCTCCTTTTCGTCTCTTTGAGAAGTCGTACCGTCGAACTTTTGCAGTTGGTTACAAATGTTTTTATGCTCTGTCACTTTGTTTAAAGCAAATCGAAGGTGATGTTCCTGGAAAGAGAGATTATTGGCACAAAATGTACATGAACATAATATGACATTTGGTTCGTATTTGTACGGTCAGGTCTGCATAAATCCAAGGGTTGGATTACTATCGGTTTATCACCCAAAGTACATTTCCTACAAGTGGCAATTTCTGACAAAGAATAAGCAATGTATTAATAACCCATATCTAGGCTTGTACGTAATTTACGGATTCACGGAATTACGTAATTATTTCGAGTTACGGAAGGGAAGTTACGATTTACGTAAAGTCGTAATTATTGGTCGAGCGCTTTCGTGATGAAACGATCTCTTTTCAAAGCAGTCAATTCCATTGATTGTAAAAAATGAAAATGAAATAAGTAGAAGAAGTTAGAGTTTCGGTATTCGCAGCCGTTTTTCTCTCCCTTGCCAATACGACGCCGTGATAATTAATGTCGCGCTTATCAAACAGCAATATGACGAAGGAAAAGAAATTGCGTAATGAACCAACGCAACTTCGTCTTTTCGGCATCGGTAAAGCGATTGAGACGGCAGAGAAACAACAAAACGACGAGATTTTCCGCGGACCGGTAAAAATCCCGCGGACCGGCGGTTGGGAACCACCGTTCTAGAATACTTAAATCGAATCTAGAATCTTATTCTATTTTTATAGTTACACGTATTTCAATAGTGGAAATTCCCCACCACAATGCATGGTTAAAATTTAAAAAAAGCTAGATTGTAGTCTAAATGTATAGCTATCTTTGTACAGTATTTAATCGGAAATTATATTTCACCAAGGGAACGAGATTTAAGAATTTCACGATCATCTTTTTGTCTTTAACAGTTCTCATATTCTCAATTTAACTACTATCAAATATAATCAAGTATGAGCTAGTGTGTTTATTCTGTGCGTGATCCATTTTCTATTACGAAATCTTTCTGTTACACTGGTTATATCGTTATATGTCCGGACCTGGCCTTGCTCAATATGTTTTTCACAATGCCTCGCAAAATTTCGGCCAAATATGATTTCGGCCAACTGTCTTTACCAAACGCGGCAACCTTTTTTTGATTTTATCGTCGACTCGAATACCACAGGCACTCGACCAAACTTGTGTGAATCTTGGCCGATAGGATCGTCGACTTTGGTTAGAAAAATAAGTTAATTTTTTGTGCAAAATAAATGTCACAAAATGCATTGTTTTGCGATATAACTTTGTATTTTCAAAGAAGGAATGTCATATAAGTACGGCATTTAAATTATGCGCAAATAATGGTATAACATTTAGGCAGCGAAATGATTTAATGGCAAATGAAGGATGGTGATCGGAATGTCGTCAATAAGTCGACATCAATAATTATTATAAAATGCTAACTAGGTAGACGGTAGTAAAGTCGAATAATGTAAAAAAGGTGCAATAACAAGTCTTCGTAGCGAGGCAAGCGCAAGTATAATCAAACGCGAGAATACGCTCATCGTTGATTATTAAATTAGAATGCCGAAACTTTTATTTAATACAAAAGTACCATTTAAAAAAAGTCAACTATCGTTTCATAGAGATCCGTATACCAGTGTCGGTAATGATAAAATTGATCGCATAAAATTGGGACGGTTAATTTGCAAAGGTGACAAAGGAAAATCAAAGCTAACACTAAAGATAAAAATCAGTATAAAATTAATTTGAATTCACTCCCTGATAGTTGTCTTTAACATCTGTCGCCGGCGTGTAATACTGCCAGGATTATGAAAACCAAACTTCGATGTCGCATTCAGAAAAGAAGTGGATAGGTTTTTATGATAGGTTTAAATGTGTGAAAAAATATCACAATTACGGGGTCATTACGTAATCGATTTGGCCGTAATTGCGGAATTGATTTTTGTCAATTACGTGCAAGCCTATATAGAACCATATTCTTACTGTATACCTCTGTAGTAGTCTGTACTGTATAGTGTGTCCGTAAGAATCTATCATATATATAAAATGCTGTAAATCTGACCATATCTGTTTTATTGTTGGAATTTCTTCCAGCTTCTAATGCAGCAGCACAACTCATCAATAGACACGTCTTCTGTCGTGTGAGAATTGCCTTGTCAGTTGTCAACAAACATAAAAACTGCAAAAAGAGATACGTTTAACTGTATGAATAGTCATAGTACCTGGGTTAGACGAAATCAAATTTTCTGACAATTAATGGTTTAAAATCAATTAGGATTTTTCTGTAGGTTATCATTATATTACTATATATATGCAAACTTAGACTAGAATACTTTTCTTGGGCAATGCATACCTATGAAGTTTTGGATACACTACTGCCTACATGCAGAAATATATTTTGAACTTGGTTTACATATGTGATGAATAAATTATACTTGCCTTATAGCACAGATGAAATAGTTTTTGCATTAATTGAGAATACGATTTACTTTCCAGCGCCATATTCCAACCTTAAAATATTTGATTCGTGTAAATCTTCAAGTTGATCATGTATATTTTGCAGAAAATGAGACGTTAAATTATGCAATCACTATTTTAGTATCCAGATTTTTTCCATACATCGATTGGTATCATTTATTTTAAGTATTAAATTAACAAATTGGACCTTTATATGCTAATTGTGATTCGTATAATATAACTCTTCAGAAGGAATAACAAAATAATTTTAGTAAGCGTTGCGTGCCATGATCAAGTCATGTCAGTCCCGCCATGAAAAATGTTTAAGTTTGAGCGAGGACTTCTCGCCACTTTGGAGGTATGAATGCAAGTTATACCTATATACTCACTAGTTAAGTATGGTAGTATGAACGATCGACACATAAAAATCAAGAAGAACACCAAGATATATGCAAAATTAAGAATGTTCATTCTTACATATTTTCATGAACCATTCAGCCTCGTCCTGTATTAATTCTCTCGTAACTTCTGCCGCATCATTCTGTGATGATACAGACATTTGTCTTCTACTTTTTATCTCGAATTCGTTCAAGGATCGTTCGGAAATATCTTCTAAAATCTAACGGATGAAAGAAAATTAATTGGAATTTTTTCAAACAGATTTCGAATTACACTCGTCGATACCTTCAAAGCTCGTTCTACACTGGTAGTTGCCTTATTTAAGATATTCATTGTTGTTGAATTTTTTACATCAGATTGATCTTCGCTTATATCAGTGCTTTCTTCCATCTGTTGAAGATGCAGTCTTACCAGGCATCTGGAAATTTATACATGATGCAGAGTAGAAATGATAAATTGATGGTACTTAATCGGAGAATTGAGAATGGCCCCATAGTATTTTCTCATAGAAAAGCAGTGTTGAACTTCGTCTAACGAACAGTTTGAAGAATCGTGTGAAACTTTAGCTTCAAAATTTCTAAATCTTACTGTTTTTTTCGACGTTTTGAGGAATTACAAAAATGTTTCATATAGATTTAATTTAAGCCGTATAAAATGGAGATTGTGTATCAACTCCGAGTGAGTTGTAATGATGTAAAATAAACCAATGTTTCATTTCTGAAATATGGACTAAAGTTGTTTTCGAACATATATATAGTGCAACGATACATTAACTTGCTATATATAAAAATTCCGATAATCGGAATATCGTTTTGATCTATGTTGCAGCACATCTACGTGTTCGATGTATTATTTTTAATACGAAAACCTGACCTTTGTGAAAGTAATTTTGCTGTTCTATCATCAGTTGTGTCTGAGACATGTTGCAAGGCTGTCATAGCAACAGAACGTTCGTTTTTTTCAAAAGCAAGTTGCGCAGCAAGACAAACTAATCCATGAATAGTCGATGATGAATCCCCGACAGAAGATTCCTCATCATCAATCTGCATATCATCATCACGTGAATAATTTTTTTTGAAGTTACCGACCAGTCGCTCGATTGATTCTATCGCTGAAAATAAATATGAGATTATAACTCGCTGTGAAAATAAAAGTCTTTTTTCACAACTATTAGTCGGTATTTTTTAATTATATACAATTTTTGGTACTCCCGTCGTATGCGTACCACGTTAGGGTTAGTCCATAATTTTATTCCACTTTTCCTTATAGTATTTCTATTACGAGTTCGAGACTGTCTATATTGGCCAAGTGAATATACCCTCTGCCAATAGGTTTCAGTCACTTTACACAACTTGATGTATAATAGGCAAACAAAATTAGTTATTTCCATATTGGTACACTTATTTGGTACTCTTTTATGTCCTTATTCAGAACTGCATGCTTTAAATGCATAATTTTTCTCACCCTCATATTGAAAGTTAATTAAACCCAGAATATTCGATGGATAATGTGATAGAATGTAAGATTGTTTACAGACCTAAACGGGGCTCACATCAAACCTAAAACTTTACAATATCGTTATGTAGCAATAGCGAATCGGGAAGATAATTACAAAACTATTAGAGTACATGTTTTTTGTTATGAGAATAACTATTCCGTCAAAATATTGGCCACAGCATTACCTTTGGTGTTATTGCCTTCAGCAACAGCAATCTTGAACAAGGCGAAATCGGTTCTAGGATTTTCGTTGCTCAACTTGGCAGCCTCTTCTGTGGCCTGCTTAGCCTGACATTTCATGAAAGAAAAGAATAGTAAAGTGGTAATCTTTATGTACTGTGCTACAACACATTCCTAAACACAGTTGCAAGGTGTCGTTAATTTTCCGAATTTGACTCTATATTAGACAAAGACCAATGGCTTTCCAGTGGATATAAAAGAAGAAAGTAGCAGGGCTGGCTTAAGGTTTTCATCGGCCGTAGATGTCTCTATTCATTCGATTCATTGCAACCAACACAAAATGAAATAAAAATAAAAAATGCATACGAATTATTTTCCGCAACATTCAATGGCATGTTTTCTGACATTTAGACAAATCAAAGCTCTTAATAACACCATCGGTCTATCAAAACTCTGAAATCGACCTGTCATTGATTCACTTATACAGTATGAGTTTGGCAAAAATCACCCAAGTGTATTTTAGATACTAGATTGGCATCGGTTTGCTTATTTATACAGGTCGACTTGGGGCTACTGGGGCCAAAGTCAGATTCGATATTTCGATCAAAATGACAAGTAATGAATGATTAAAGTAAAACAACCTCGCGAAATCTTCCCAGAGTAATAAGACATGATGATCGATTGCGTTGTATTCTAGCAATGTTTTCCTTCATTTCAAAATCATCAGAATCTGTCGCGTTCGATTTCAACGAAAGATCATACCAAGCTAGAGTATTTGTTATATCGTCTGAAAATAGGAAATATATCTAATTGAAATCTTGGTTTACACAAGTTATGTATTGTTTGTAATTTTTTTGCAATCTGTATGTCTTGTACCTATTTCCAGTATTGTAAGAAAATAAACTACTGATTAAAACTTAATAAACTTAATGAAAACGATACCAACTTTTTTCTTGAAATTTTTCAGCCTGTTCCCACATTAAAAGATGAATGCTTTTCATAGATTCCCGGTCCATTGATTGCATTACTTCTACGTCTGTTAAAAAGAACAGTAAAGTAATTTTTATTTTGTATTAATATTAGGACAGATATCTACATTTCAATGAAGTCAGGTTGTAATATTTTGCTTTTATTGGGACCAATGGAATCAGAGGGTCATCAAGCTAATATGAATAGGATTATTCTATATGGATAAATATCCGTGTTTGACTGGTTTAGATTCTAAGTTTCATAAATCTACATTCTATTTGGAACATTCTAAATCAAGTCATAAATCAGTACATAAAAGGGCGCTCCAGAAGTGTGAGTACCAATATGGAGGTAACTAATTTTGTTCGCCTACTTTACATCAGGTTGTGTAAAGGGACTGAAACCTATATTCACTTGGCTAACACAGACAGTCCCCGAACTCGTAGTAGAACTAAAATAAGGAAAATCAGATAGTTTCACATTGATAGTGTTTTCGTGGAAAAGTATTATTTTCGATTATCGGCTGCTAAAGTAAGGTTGCTCACTTTTTAAAAACGACTCAGCGAAGACCAGAGCTTCCTGCCCATCTAGTTTTTGCAACTTGCATTGAAAATGTTGCGCATGTATCCTTGCTACATGGGAAGAGCCAGAATATCTTTTCAATAGTTCTTTTATTCCATTTTCACATAACATAAATCTGTCAATATATCATCAAAATGAAAGCAAAGTATTGGATAAATTATTTTATTGATTCTCAATTTTAACGACAAAAAGATAGTGCACGAAACAATGCGCATCCAAATTTTTTGAATATTGATCCAAAAATAGCCGTGACCAGTTTTTCCAATATATATAAATTTTTACTAGATCATTATGGCGTTTTACATGCATTACTATTCCGCCTTTTCTCGGTTTACTTGCAAATAGTCTATTTTTTTCTATACATTGTATTGGGAAATATACATTAAACTTCTATACATTGTAATATAGAAATGGCGGGAATACGCGCGCGAAATATAAAACGAACAACTGTCTGAATTTTATTAGTCTTGAATTCTATTTGATGAATCATTTGATTCAAAAATGTTGAAAATACTAAATACTAAAAACGATATGTTAAACGAAATATCGTTCAAATTCAAATTGCGAATTTAAAATATCATGGCATCCTTCATTTTCAAATTTCAGAAAACCAATCGCATCGGTATTCCAATGATTTCCTACAATGATACCATACCTGCTATTCGTGTTCAGATTCCTGCATGCACTCAATCCCAATTCGACTGATAGATCCTGTGGCGCAATAATTCAAGTAAAACTTCATTAATCTGAGCATCAGGAGTGGACGAATTCCGTGCTAAAACTTTCAATCTATAATGATGTATGGTATTATACATGGATTTAAAATACTTCTGAATTTTTTTCAGCATTTTACAGTGAAGGAACATGCCAATAAATCGTAAAATACGAATGGAAGCATTTAGACAAAATCAAGCTTCTGCCAAACATTGTGTACTATTTTGGTATAAATTGTCTTGAAATGGAATCAACTGACTTTTTAAATCCAATTCAAGAGTCTTGCGGCACCCAACACAAATGTATTTCTGTAACGTTTCGTTCGACCAAAGTCAGACTTCCTCAGAAGCCTGACTTTGGTCGGACGAAACGTTACAGAAATACATTTGTGTTAGTGTGCGGCAGGGCTCTCGAATCGGATAGAATAGTCATGTTTATTCCTAAGAATCCTGCTACAGCATCCTTGCAGTATACGCATACGGATCCACTAGCATAAAGGCATAGAGGAAGAATAGGGACTTAGCCTCGCGCAACCCAACTCAAAGTTGACTTATTAAAGCTCCGAAATTTATTTCATATCATCTGCAAATGCAATAATTTACTTTTAAGTGTTGTTGTTTACGAATAATATATATATTTCTTAAATTTAGAATTTAGTTATGAAAGTCTTCAGATATTTGGTAAACATAACACGAGTTAATGAAGTTTTTGATAAATACGAAAATATTCAATTAAGGTTCGTTCCGGAACATAATATTTACAAAACACTCAATCATGAATATTATTTTTTGGAGCGGAGAACAATGTGTGTAACAACATACACACGTTTCTGTTATTTGATTACTAACGTAAACTTATGTATGTGTTTATGTTATATTTTGTTTTGATTTTAAGGATAATATATGGCATAAAATGCCTATGCTAATATGTATCCTACTTATCACTTCTTGTATTTTCGCTGATCCTGTGGGTATGGCATAAAGCATCACAATGTCTTAACTCTTTGAACTCTGAATCCCCAGAACGATGCTACTCTCTCACCCTGACCTCCCACGGCGTCGCATCGATTCGACGCGTTAAAAAATTGTAATATCCCTAATTTTAATCAAAATAACTTGTTAAACCATTAGATATCAGATGGTCTGTAATATATCATATAAAAGCTTATCTAGTCTTTTATTTTTAACTGGCATTATTTTTCACGAGATGTTTTGATGAGATGTGTAAGTCTATTTGTAGCCCCATCTACTATTTTTTTGTATTTTGGTAATATTTAATACATTTCTTAGAAATGTATCATGCAATATAAGTACAATTTTGAAAAGTATACAAATTACCTTTCGGAGGATATACGTATGACTTTCTTAACATACGCATAACTCATTTTATTGCAGAATTTGTACTATCGCATTCAAATGGTTTGCGAACAAAATTTATCAACTATTTGACGCCAAGTTTGCGTAAGGACGCAAAGGGCGACGACGACTTGTCGTGATAACGTTCATGCGACGTATCGTGCGTAACTCTTTGTGTGAGGTATATGCGCAATTGCACATCTGGTCGTTCACAGCTTGAGTGCAGATTGTGGCTTCATTGCATTAGTATCATATCCTCGCCGCAGATAAAACCGTTTCAGACGAAATTTTGATCGAACATAGTAAAATTGCTAGAATATAAAGGCCATTTTATATACGTTTACTATTTGGATATGGGACGAAATGAATGGCCAAAACGAAATATTTGATCCTCATGAATTTATGAGGTTCCGCCGGAAAATCAAGGCTAATTATTCACCGTTGGATATCATGAAGATGAATAAAAAAAAACTGATAACGGGTACACGGAAGACATGGTGGCACCAGTAGCTCACCTGGTCAGTGTTTTACATTTTGCAGCCTCATTAGATTTTCGAAATTACTGCATATACGCTACATTCCTGATATCGCTATATTTACAATGGATTTTAAACGAAAGCTTTGTCCAGATGAAATATTGGATGGTATTCATCTATCAGAAGAAGAAAATATGGCAAAATAAAACTCAGCAATGGCGCTAAGCATCCATCGATATGTTCCATCATTCTGTTTTTAAAAATCCTTAATTTGGCTATTCGTATTTTTCATATCTTTATGCAATTAAAACGGCAATAACACTGCGTATTGTGTGTTTTAGTCGAACCGAGGTAATGCGTAAATTTCCCCGTGTAACGTTTACAAGTCGTAAGTCGCTTCACGAGTACGAACTCAAGTAAATGACGTTACGAGCATGCGAGGAAAAGTGTTTCTCGTATGAAACGTAAACGTGCTACGTGCCAACGTAATTGCTTAACGTCGCTGCGTAACGGCGTAAATGTGTTAGGTCGTTATTTACGTCACCTTGACGTCGCCTCGATCTTGCGACAAACAAAATCACGAATAAAAATGCTTCTAAAATTGAATGGTGCAACATAAGTTCAATCTAATGGTATCACTGGAAAGGCTATCTTCAAATTCTACAAATTTTGTCGATAATGTACTAGGTTTAATGGAAAACAAATTGAAGTTTTGTCAATTAGATTTGAGCAATTTTCAGAAGTTTTTTATGCTTTTTAATTTTGCCAATTTTCATAAGATGATCACAATATTTTATCTCAATTTTAAAATTATACTTAGTCCTGTAGATTATCTTTCACACGATGTAAAACTTGTCTAAATATAATAAATGGTTCGCGAGATATGAGGTTTCAAAGTTGCATACCTCTTACGGGATGCGAAAGCCGCTAAACCGGCTTTCAGCGTCAGAAGACTTTCTCGGGAAAGCCGGTTTAGCGGCTTTCAGGGTTCAAAGAGTTAATGTTTAAACCCCAACAGGGCTCATTCAGATTGTGGTTTTTAGGTGATATTTTATGTCACAAGATGAGATTTCTTGTCCTATTTTTAAGTCGCATGTTCAAATCTCATATTTGAGATTACGGCAACTTTTCTCAATAAAACCCTATTTTGTACTCCTCGATGTCTTACTAAATAAATGATATGGTTTGATACTAAACAATATTTGCATATTCGAGTACGGAATAGAACGAAAGTCACAAATTATTAAGATATAAAACAAGCTAAATAGCAAATATAAAAACATATGAATCACTGATGGGATTATATGATATTCAACGATCGTTTATTAATTTGTCAGCGTTATTGCGCGTTTTCATATTGTGCAATTAATAATAAAAGAGACTGAAGCGCTTATGCTTATTGTAAAAAATAAATTGCCTTTTCTATGGTGTTATCGGCGTATATGATTTACGGTTGAAACTAGGAATATGTTTATTTCGTGCCTTTTTTCTACATGAAAAATTTAATCAATACTAGCTTCTCTGTTAGGGTCTGAAATAAAAGGAATATTTCTCCATACCTCCCTCGCTTATTATGACGGATACAAAGACAACTCGACGGTTTAGTAAATAATACGTATATGACTTCGTCAAATCGTCACGAGTTTATTGTATAGAGAAGTGTGTGTTATTTGTGGAGAACAATACATTCGTCCTATGACGAAATAAAGTACAAAACTTCCATGCATTGTGGCTCATAATACGAACAAGACAAAATATAATGATTTTTTACGTAACAATTGAGGATATTTGAAACGGGGTAGTTAAACCACAACCGAGTTATTTAACTGTAAAAGCGAATTTACATACATGTCGCTTTAAAACTAAACATTGAAGAACCTATCCAGACCCAATAATGTCAGGGTATTACAGAAAAAATCGAGCATTCAACTCAAGTTACTGCAAACAAATAACACTGAGTGTATGCTAACTTTTATTTATTAAAACATGAAATATATATTATGATGTGAATGATTGGAAATATTTATACAGGTCGTCAGAAGTGCAAATAATAAATAAATAAAAATAGGTAAGCTTTATTTAATGTACATTCATATTTTTCAAAAAGAAAACAAGAAAAATTGGAATAAAACATTAAAATCCGTCCGTCGTCTTTGATTGGATGAATGTCTTGAAATACTTGTAAATATTTGATTCGAAATGCTGAATGCTAATTAAAGCTGTAGTTACAACTCATCTCAAACTTGATCGAAGATAAGCAGCTGAATCATTAAAAACCAAATATCCAAATGCAATCGTACATCTCAAATTTCTATACCGAATGTAACTGTTAACTGCAAACAGCCATGGTTGGACAATACCAAGTGAATTGTTTATAACTGCTTCGTCGTTCTTTATTTCATTCTCTCAGCATTCTTATGCGCATATTCTTAACAATGTGTTAGTAAGTCGGAGATGCGTCGCCGACTCCGCCAAAAATTGACTTGGGACTCGAAAATCCGTTTCTTAACCTATCTTCGTGTTCTTGTTCCTTTACAATATCTTCATGGGAAACAGTGACCGTTTCAGTTAAAAATTTGAATTTCGGTAACAAATGAACAACTTTTGCTTGCTGTTCTGCATTCTTGTTTTTCGATCTCCTTGCAAGCGCAGGTGTAGAATGGGTACTTGACGGCAATTCTTTTTTTGTTTTTCGCGATGAAGAAGCACTGACAGCTCTTCGTCGGTAGTTGCCTTTATGTTGCAAACTCTCCAGATCGAACTTTAAATTCTTCATTTCTTTGCGAATTCTTCTAGGAGAATTGTTTGGATGTTGGTCTTGGTGCTCTGGTTCATTTTGTTCGGGCTCCTTTATTGTTGGTATATCATCTTGTGAAATTGCTGAATTGCTTTTTTTCTCTCCATCAGTGAGTTTGACGATTTCTGAAAACACTGCGGCAAACGCGGGAGATCCTTCCGGAAGACGATCCAGTATTTCTCCGATACTTTCCATGGAATCGGTTTTCTGAGGCAAAGGAGGGAATTGGCCGCCATCGCTCAAAAATCTGGAGATATGTGTGTTGTGTGGCATAGCAGGAAGAGAAGTGCTCACTGTCGGAATAGCAGAAGGTGGATAAGATGACGGAGAGTTTTCTTGAGATTCGGAAGTTTCAAGAATGTTTTGATGAGTCCGCGTGAGTGTAGACAACTGTTAACGACAAAATTATATAATATAGTATGCAAGTTATTGCACAACTAATAATAGTAAGTAATACCTAATTTCAAGTGGATTTATAGTTAAATTCCGGTATGTTTAAAGTCGAAAAGAAGATAATTCCTGATCGGTCTCCCGCTAATTATCTTTCAAAGTAATATTCCAGAAATAACAATTGATGCCATCCTTTGCATCTTTCAAATTTATATTAATTAATTCATTCATATTCATTAATTGTGTTTACCTTTGCGTTTGGAATTCCAATTGGTGAACTTGTCCTTCGTTCCGAAGTTGTTCGATCGATCATCGGATCCATGGCGTCGTGTGATAGAACCATTTGGTTTACTGGGCGACAAGAAAATTTTTGAGTTACTGTGTTGACCGTTTTACGTGCGACGTCGCTGACGAGTATCGTAGCAGAGATTGACCACTTTTGAGTTGTTTTGATCTGGACGTTACCAGTTATACATACAAAAACGCAGAAACGAGAAAGAAGTTCCTGATATCATAACAAAACATCTTTTGTACACCACTTTCTTCGTCACAGAAACGCCTACATTTGTACGCTTATCGCTAGCGGACGGAGATACACTGTTATCCGCGTCATTGTACCCTGCCCCACCTTCAAAATACCTGACGCACACTCCAGATCATATTGCTCGTGTTTACGACACTCAATACCATATCGCGACATGGTTTGGAGTATTGAAATATTTGTCTTCGGTATTTCCTATTTTCTACGTTTTTGTTAGTTTAACGGTGGCATGAATCCTCTTTAGAACTTCATTTGAAATAAAAACTAACTTGCTAACAGATGACCAAAAGGAGATAATAGCCTTGGCAAACGCTATGTCACGATTTTCCATGTTTCGTGCGTCATATATACTATTATAGACCATTGGCCGATTTTACACTTGAATTTACAATGATACTTCATTGTGTCGAATTGAATCACAAGAAATACACCTCTTTCTTTGCTGGTTTTTCATATCCGCACCGGCCAACGACATCCAAACATGACGGCTTATAATGTAGAATAGCATCTTGTTTTGAAAGTACTTAGCAATGGCGCTGAACGGATTCGAACTATTATTTGATTAAGCTATACAAAAGTGCTCAGGCAAAGATACCATTACATTTCAACGTGACGTGAGTTTGTAATTGTTAATTTTAATAGTATCACTTAATCTAACTTACATAGTGAAAATTTCCCAAATTACATTTATTAGTTTTTGGCTTCAGTGGAAAACAATTACCCTTTTGCCATATTTTCCTACTTTCTAGAGATAGTAAGTCATAGGGCCAGAGATTAAATGATACTAGCAAGACGAAGATGGCGTATACCGAAAAGGGTCGAGCAGCTTATCTCCATAGAATAGATTCTATAAAATATTTGATGCAGAAGAGCGGAAAATGACACAGCGCCACAATAAAATTAAAAGCTCTTAATATACCGTGTTTATGTTTGCTTAGAACCAATAGAATTTTTGACGCTCCAGAAGTATGTGTATCAATATGGAGGTAACTAATTTTGTTTGCCTAGCCCTACTTCATCAAGTTGTGTAAAGGGAATGAAACCCATGGGCGGGGGGTATAATCACTTGGCTAACACAAACAGTACTCGAACTCGTAATAGAACTAAAATAAGTAAAATCGGAATAAAATTATGCCCTTACCCCAACCTGGTACACATACTACGGAAATACCGAATTTTTTCAGTTATGAAATCTGATCATAACCAAGAAAATAAGATAAAAACAAAAAGAAGTTAGATCCGGAGTAAGCTGGATATCTTTAAAAAAGTACAAAATTCCAATTTAAACTATAATTTAAATACTTCGATTCGGAAAGAGTCACAACTCGTCGTTATGGTTGCTGCGTTGCCTGTAAAGAAATTCGATTCCAGAATATGCCAAAGAATTTACGTCAAACGCTACAAGTGACGTCAATGTGTATTGTGAAAAATAATTAACGCTGGTTGTCGTCACTATTAAAACAAAAGTACTGTTTTATATTATGTTTTTTTTTTATATTGAAAAGAGTCAACAACTCACTTTCAAACAGGTGTATTCCAATAACAGTTCGCTTCCTCTCCTTTGTTTTACGTAAACTAATTGTAGGCTATATGGCATTCCTTTATTGGACACGTAGTGGACATATGGATCGTTTTGTTATTATGTTGCTGTTGTTCTTGTTTATTTATGTTTTAGGCCTTTCGTTTATATACGCTCTATGCATGACTTCAACTCACATATAGTGACGATTGGTCGATTGGTCTGTTTTTGTGCACTGATTTTTATATGTAGGAAAATAATATTTCTTTAGGTGTAGTGATTGGGAGGGGGTTAAACCAGAAGGCGTACCGATTAGACCAGTGTTTCCTAACCCATGGATCGAGACCCAAAATTGGGTCGCCTAAAAATTATCCGTGGGTCGCAAGATTTTACAAAATTTATTTTTCAAAAAATTTGGGTCGATTGAAAAAAAGGTTGGAAACCACTGGATAAGACCGTTTATTTTTTTACTTTTTATTATTTTAAAATAATCTTGAAAACCATTTTACCATTCAATTTTTTACAAACAGCAAGTCAGGTGTCATGAATGAACAATCACCTATTGTTATGATGTGGTCGCTGAAAGGTATATTATGGTTTATGACACCTCTTTGAAAGTTGTCAATGTAATTGTTTGACAAATCTTTAGAAACCAATTATACTATGAAAACATTCATTGGAAATGGTCATTTTATAAAATTAGCAGAATATTATAGATCTTTACAAACTATTGTTTGCTTTTATGTCTTTTTATTTTCTCGTTGTAATACAGACGAGATCTAGTCAGAATATTTGTATTTACTAAAGTAAACAAAACGTGTCCAATGAACGTATCAACTGAGAAAGCTTGACATTATAGGCCAAAACTATTATTCTATTGAAGCATTATTAAACTTTGTTTTCAATGCCCGTGCGCTAACTGACCTATTCAATCACCTATGGGAATGGTCATGTCGAATTTTGTCGCGTCTGAGAAAAGTCTTTTATAATAGGTAAACAAGCCATACTTTTCATCTATCACGATTTGTGAAATTTGCATTACCATAAGTCTGCATTCTCAGTCATGTTTATAAGTTGGTATAAGTAAAAACCCTTTAATTGAAGAAAATTGTTTTTCTTCGTATTTAATTGTTTTAGAAATAACAAGCTCGATGAACAATGCCTGTCAGTCAATAAAAGCAAATGATCGTCTTGGCAAAAGCAAACTTGAGAAAAAACAGATTTTACTGAGTGCCCATAACACGATTACACAAAACACTAGTCCAACTATTGTAAATCATATTACCTTATATGTAATCCGGACGGATGACTGACATATCCATTTGCAAGCTCCGATGCATTTAACGCTTTTTTATCGCCATCCTCTGTTCGCAACTCGGAATACACGTGTGCCAGAAGTCGCAATACTTTCGCCTGTTAGAAAACGCAACTCGCTAAATAAATAGCATTGTAATGCCTATTGAACACATAATGTGGGAGCTTCAAACGTGCTCTTCGCTCTGAATTTAATTTCAATTTGATTTTCTACAAAAGGGTCATAATTATTATGAATTTCTTTTTGACTTGCAGATAAGACAAACCGTTTCAAGCGTCATGTGACTGAACGAGGGGCGTGGTTATATGATCAAGTCGCTTTCGTCACGTTCCTGCTGCTTTGCTGAAGCTGTAATGTTTAGAATTTTATCTGCAATTGAAAAACGAACCAGAACCAAGCCCTAAGCATGGATATTTGAATCCAAACAAACAACAACACATGCGCTATGTTTATATGGGGGTCAATAGTATCTATATATCGATTAAAAGAAACATATCAGAAAACGTTCGTATGTTCCTACCTCCGCGCAGTTTAATAATCACTCACCAGAACTGAATGTCTTATATTTTTCTTGTTTTTCCCAGCTTCAAAGCTCTTGCTCAACCAGCGTACAGCGTCATCGAATCTTTGTTCATTGGCAGCTCGTACACCAAAGTTATATGTCAAAGCACACAACTTTTCCCATTCGTTCTGAAATTTTCCTTCACGGTCTCCCATGTTACCAGATAATATAGGTAAATTAGTAGCTTTTTCGATGTATTTGAAAGAATCGTCTTGAATTCCACGTACATTTGCCTTAATTATGAAAAAAATAGAAATAAATATGCAGTGTTAATTGTTGAAATGAATTCATATCCTGCACACTGGTGAACAAAAGGCTCAAAACTACCCTTGTGATATTGAATTACATTTATCTTTTCAGCAAAGTTAAATTTTTGCTCATACTCACTGAAGCCATGTTTCAAGAATCTAACTTTTTCGTTTAAAGACACATTTTTGAGGACATAACCAATTTAAAATTTAGACCAATTTTGTTGCCTGTTTCCGGAAATGAAGATTTACAATTTAATTTAATTGTTATTATTGAAGGATATCTTGCCAGTATGTGTATGATTTTCGTTCATGCAAATCACTCAAAATAACGATATTTAACGACGAATGAACTCACTATTTCGCTCATCAAACAATAAACTGTGAATAAATCCTGCTGAAGGCTCATTTTGTCCTCGATGTACCAATCTGTGGGACCTGAATATTATTATAACAATTTCGGTATTATTTTATTTTGCTTGAAAATAATATACCGATAAGATTGAAAGTCTCGCAAATCATTATGAACTTCGAGAGCACGATGGGCGAAAGCCAACATCTGTTAGGAATGGATACTCAGATATACATAGCAATCCTAATGCTCATGGCTGTTCCTTATATGCAACTAATCCAAGTATTAGAAACTTTCTTGAAATTTACGCCAGGAAAAATTACTTGTGCTAAGATCTTAGAAATGTTTTGCACTTATACGGTTGCTATTAGAATCCTTATTCATGTAAACTCAAATCATTTACATCTGTTGATAGCGTTAACTACATAATGTACGAAAATAGTGGAGTCGAAAATTTGGAGCTGCATATTACCAACTGGTAGAGTGTTTGACAGGTGTGTTTCATGACACAAAATCGGGGTGATAACTACTAACAGACCATCCAGAATCCTATTTTGATAATGCTGTATTCTATGTTTGAATGAAGCTAAATCAATTGTGGAATTGCGTGTTTTACGAATCCAAGGTGTCTCGTTTAAATTATGCTTACACCAAAGTGGTTTTGTACTGATACAATTGACAATAATGAAGTAGATCAATAAAAGTCGACCATTTGTTACTATATTGGGACCTCCTGAAGTATGCGCACCAAGATGGCGCGCAACCTGAACTCAGGTTGTGTACCAGGTTAAGGTTCAGGTTATGCGACATCTCGGTGCGCATACTTCAGGAGTACCCTGTATTACATTTACTATATAACTGTATTCAAGATTATTTCTGATTAAAATATAAACAGACATTCAGCATACCTTCTTTGGATATTGTATCTATCAACAAATCTATATTTTTCTTTGTGTCTGTCAAAACATCTGATGACTTATCAAGATCTCCAACATCCATCCATGCTTTGCCTACTTTCATCCCCATCTGTTAAATAAAGTAAACTGGTCTTTCATTTTCACTCATGTCATCATATTTTCTTCGCCAGCCTTGTTTGACACAGGATTTTAAGATATATACATATATGTAGTCAATGTAGTGTGAGTGCGTTAATACCTGATCATTCGGGTCTCGGAGGATCGTTTAGAACTTTAGATTGAGTCCCATCGCTCCCTACTAGGCAATCATCGTAACCATCAGATCAAATTCTGACGTTACGAGTCTACGACGTATACGATATTCCTGAATATCTGTAACTGCGATGATTGTTTAAGATAAAATTTGCTAACCTACGACCAAAACTACCATTAAGCAGTTATTTCACATAATGAAATCCCGTCCTGAGAATTCGAATATTTCCCCCCTTTTCTAAAAAACACACTCACCATTATACCGCGCCTGATTTCATTTTTATCTCCACCATTTATCTTTCCGCATGATAGCAAATCGTAACACATTTGACGAAGTATCGCATTGTTTTTGTCGCTAAGAAGTCTGCCGGCATGTTTAGCAACCGTGGTATTCCACATTTTAACAGCAGCTTGGGTAACCTGAGGTAAAAAATTATAATTTATTGCTTTCTTTTTCGACTTTCTACGCTAAGAGACGTGTATTACGAGTTGAAGCCAGTTTGTTTTTGAGCAGCTGTTCATCGCTTTATCTCTATTCATCTTTTGCAGCATAAATCGCCTTAAATAGCTTCATACTACCGAATCTTTACAAAATTAATCAATTTATAATTAAATTCTCGTGTTTACTTTAATGGAAAAGTCGATTCGCATACATTATAATAACTAACTTAGCGTTAAAATTGCGAAAAATACCACTTTTATTTTCATTGGCCATCAGGTAAGAGCACCACCACTCTAGCTAAAGCCGTATGCTTTATCTCAAAGGGTGATTGTAACATTTGTAAGGAATTATAAGTGAAGTCATGCAATAGCATTACTAAGGCGACGGCCGGGCTATATTCTAGCCATGTCTATACACCGTACCTTTTCAAAGCTTCCATATTTCTTAAAATCATCAGCATTTGTTGCCGAAACCATTCGTTTCATCCATTCGGAATTAACTGTTGACGTTATTTTTTCTACATCGGATAATAGTCTATCATCCCCATAGTTTTGCTGTTCAACAGAAAGCCTTAGCCCTGAAATATTTTTTGCACTAATTATCAGTTAAATATCATATGCAAGTCAAGACTAACGCGATCGTCGTGTCGAGTTTTACTACTGTCGTAAAATTAAATCCTAGATACATCAAACATTGATTGCAAAATTTCTCCTGCGGTGTATCCGTTTTGAGCAATTAACTAACACGCCGCCCGCTCAAGACAATGTCAAATTTACTTGATAAAAAGTATATTCTTTACGTTTGATAGTTGAAGCAACTGCTTTTTTATCCCTAGCTATTGTATTCAGAACAGAATGTTTCAATTTTTTATATCATAATAGAAATACAACTTCACATGGTACTTGCCTTCGATTGAAGCAACAAACGATGAACAATTCATTTCAGGTCTTTTCGTCCAGGTGTATCTGACTTTACAATGTATATAAAGGAGAACTGATTATTCAAAAACTGATTCACTTGTGGTCCACTGAGTTACATCAAGCTTTAGCTATTTTCCCTGCTTTTTAAACCTGAATTAAGCCAATACCCGTAGCCCACGGATATACCGTGTATGTGAACATTGCGCAGACGTCATTGTGTAATATATTAGAAAAGTTATTGTTACGTAACACAAATTTTACATGTTGGAGCGGTGATGTAATGAATAACTAGCAATTGATGTTACCCCGACTCTTGATCAAAGAAGATTTTTTCCACACTTTACTTACAGCAAAATATTTGAAGGCTATTTTAAGTATATCTCAGAATTTGTAGATGTTTGAGATTAGATTCATGGCGAAACCTTCTAAAAAACATTTAGGTTCGAGCCTTTGTGACGCCATCAACTAATCTCGACGCAGACGGTGGCAACGGTATAGGTGGAGTATTTGTTTGATTTGAAACTCGTTTACCTAAGTTAAAAGTAACCGTACCCGTTAAGTATAGGCCTACTGGGATTGTATTATAGTATTTATTGCGGATGAAGGAAGACCGATAAGTCCACAAGTTTGTAAACCCCGTTACCCCCATTCAGTCCTTATGTATATGTGCTGTAGTGTATAAACCAGCGTTTTTCGAGCCAAGGCACACTTTTTTCATTGAGAAAACCCCGCCCCGCGGCACACCACCAGCTGAAATGTGGGGAAAAGACCTAGTATTCACAATATAAGAGTTATATTTTTAATATGAGCTTTTTTAACATTGAAGAAAGATGTTGAATTGGACATCTTGAATAGTAATGAAATAAAAACAAAGACAAAACGGCTAATCACCACCTGCTGCTGCAACCTTTTGATATAGAGCAGTACCGGTACTACATGATTACTCTGCCGGGTTCTAGACCGCATAGACACACAAATTGGAGAATTTCCCACGGCACCCTGACAATATTTTACGGCACACCGGTGTGCCGCGGCACCCCGGTTGAAAAACACTGGTATAAACATTGTAGTAAGCTCAGACGCACGAAAAAAAGAGTGTTGCAGCATGCCTATTTCGGATGCAACCGAAAAATTAAAACATGAAAAATATTATTTCATACGGGTACCCGTACCGTACTCACTGTAAATATAAGGTACCGGTATAGTAGTTTCAAAACTCTTGGATTGATACTTTTTTAATTAGATATTAGAACTTTTGATGTCGCCGCTCGATAACCCGTTTGGTTCCCCTGTTCCCAGTGACTTCCCTTCCCCAGTAAAACTGTGAATTATATCTTTGTCATAATTTATGATTGTTATATTTTTTACTGGTTGGAAAAAATAAACTTGACTTGTGTCCACTTACCCGCAAACACATAAAATGTATCAAAAAAGCAACCTAGTAAAGAAGGACCAGAAATAAACAAACAAAAATGCCCGACAGTATAGAACTTTTGGACTGTCAGTCATACCTTAAAACACTCAGCTAATAATAACCAATTCAATCTGATACAATATATGCCTCAATTTATATTTAAAGGATGGAAATATAAAATTCAATTTTCATTATGACTGTATGAGAGAGTTGAAGTTAACCTTGAGACAAACAATGAGTCCACTTCATGTGCAGTACTGCAGTAAAAAAATGCAAAACAATGAAAACTTCAGCAAACTGTGCGGGTCGAAACGATGCATATGAGACGACACCATGTCCAGTAGACAATTTTTTGAGCGGGCGTGAAGCTAATTAAAAATAAAAATATTTGTTAGATTTTATCTTGCCCGCCTTATTTTGAATATTTACATTTCTTTATTTTGGGTGTTCCACCCACGTATTTTGAACGTGTTTTTTTTAATAAAACATACTTTCGCCTCACTATCTGTTATTTGTAGCTTATCGTTACTAATTATTTTTGAGATTGAGCGAAAGATTTGACAAGTTCTAAAAAGGGGTCGCACCGCATGGTTAGGTCCCCACTGTGGGATAAACATGTAAATCCTATCCAAGTAGCCTATCTTTTTTTTCATCTTACTGAAGGTACTTTGTATGAACAATACTGCAATATTCTCATCTAAAACATTTCGTATCAGTTGTTTTATATTTGCCACATCAAAATTTTATATACAGGCATATGCTAGCTGCTAGAAATGTTGGTGTGTTTTGATTTGCTAACCAATTGTAATGGAAGATTGTCACAAATCAACTACGAAGCTGCAACTGTATCGCTGCAACAAATGTTCACGTTCCTTCTTCAGCGATGAAAGGAGAACGTCTCATTTTGAAGCAAAACATTTAAATTCAATCAACATAAAATGGAAATCTCATAAAATTGTGGATGAAAACCAAAATGCTCCCATGGAAATATTAAGGAAAAAAACAAACATGACTAGAACAGAAGCTATGTTTTCAACCTTATTATCCAACTGGCCACCAGAGAATGCTTACCCTAAATTGCAATCTCGGCATCGTATCTCGAAAAAACGGTTGGACATGTTACTCAAACGATGGTTAAGTAAAAGCTACTCACCATTACTTCATGGAAGTTTAAATGCCAAAAAAGTTCTATCACAAGAATATTCCAAGGACAGCATGCTTACTCAGGAACGAATCAATGATTTGACTTTCTTGACTGGTTTATCTTGTAGATTCATAAAGTTATGGTTTCATTGGAAGAAAATACGAGGTCATTTATCATCAGGCGACCAACTTCTTTATAAATCATTTCTTAGCCAACCGTATCCAGATGATGCTTCTTTGCAAATGCTTATGACCGAAACAGGACTCCTACTTTCACGAATCCGACTATGGTTTCGAGTCTCCAGAGCGAAGTATCGGATAATGGAGTTTAAAGAAGTGGAAGAAAAGGTAGTTATTGTGATTCATATTTATCGTGTTACTGTTTTATCACTTAATTAAGAAGTAAGCTTTTATCCATAATTTTTGCGATCATAATCAGCTTTAAATTGGGAATCAGGTTGTACTTAGGATACTGTTCTGGAATGAATTTTTTATGGATGTCTCAGCAAGATAATTGAGCACGTAATAAATACGCACAAAGGTAATGTATAAAGCCATTAAATCATTCATTTCGATTCGAATTTCAGGATACGGTCTGACTCTGAGCAAAGCTAAAAAATGTCTGTGCTGATAGACAGTTGGATAACATTAGTTTAACTTGTGACGCTCGCTGATGAATATGTGGCCTAATAATGGGCTGTATATTTATTATGATATGTAGAGATGAACACATTCATGTTCCAAATGCACAGATTCGAAAACTAAGTTTTTGCAACAACATTTCTATTATCTATGTTTTTTGAATTTAATTGGGGGGGGAAATATTTTTACCCAGTAATTGGTTATGGAGGAGCTTTATTTGAATATGACTCTCACATTTTAGTTCTAATGCTCAGCATCACTGATTTCAAACTAGGTTTGACAGACTCTCGTACAGACTGAAGGCAAGTCAAGCAACTCACTCAACAGGCTGTTTCTAATTAAGCCATAGCATTGATGTGGTGACATCAATTTTCAGACAGTGACATTATGATGCAAAACTAAATCTGATAATGGGACTCAAAACCCTTCAGATTTATGGCATGTGACTCTGCCAAGTTGCAAATGATTACAAAATGACTCAAGCTACTGAATATGTCGATATCAGTAATCTTAATCGACTTTTCGTGACCACTACTGATACTGATACTATTCAAGTGCTCAAGGATATAGTTGCAATGGTCAAATCATTACTCCAGGCAATGGTATTTACAAACTTTTTTCCGAGATTGAAACTTCCGAGAACCTGGTCTGAAGCTTATTTGTAAGACTCAAGGAATGTTATGGTACGATTAACTGATTATTGCTACTGATACGAAAACCATGACAATTTAGTTTTTGATCATAAATAATAAAAAAAGAAAGTTGATGTTGTAGACCGGTACAGATTGGCAAATTATTGTATTGGTATAAATATAATGTAATCTAAAGTGTCGTTCATATTGGGCTCTGTTAATAATACAAAATTAGTAGTTTGAAATATTTCAAAACGAATATATATCATTAAAATAGTACAAAATTCACTAGTTTGAAAAGTTTTAAAACGAATATGTATCTTAAAATAGTGCAGAAACGTCTTACATTGGAACATTTGAAACTCGCAAATGAACTCATAGCAGTGCCAAAATGAATGCTATATTTCTACATGGCATTATGTATGCCACTTTTCATTGAAACAGGTTCATATTGGTGAGAGAAGATGTTTATGCAGCATATAGTTGATAGGCCTATCTGTACTAATATTCTAACCACTATTGATGCGTTACATCTGATCTGACTTCTTTTTGTATAAAGCTGCAAGCTCATGAAAATTATCAATGGAGTAATGTAGCTTAATAAGAACCTCAAGATAAATATCTCTGTTTTTGATTGTCTGTAATATTCACTTCGAAATTTATTTTGTGATATTTTTAAGACATTCCTATATGTTTGTCCAAGTTTAATTTTTTGGATCTCTAAAATTCATCAAAATCTGACTTTTGCTATTTAACAATTGATTAATGGCAAAGTCGTTCAGTATTTTTCAAATATGAAATTAAAAAATAGGACACAGAGCACAATCAGATGTTGTTGATTTTAATTTTAATGGTTTAAAAATTACAGGTGCTCTGGGCGTGGTTTTTGAAAGGTGCAGATTCAGCATTAGAAGAAAAAGAGATGGGAGAAGTTGCCACACTGGTAGGAATGAATATCGAAGATGTCAAAACTATTTTTAAATACTGGAGTGATGCTTGGTTCATTGCTGATGTTCCATCGAAAGAAAAACTGTTGATGAACAGTCAGGAAATATGCGATAGGCTTGGAATTGATGTAACAAAACATGAAAATGTGTTGAATGCACTGGAAAAGGCCAGGAATAACCAGAAAATGTTCGGAATTCCAATTTGTTGCAAGGTTATTGAAACTGGCAATTCTGAGCAAGTCTCTGCTAACTTTCCTTTTTTAAAAACTTATTTTGAATCTTATTTGGAAAAGGATAAGGTAGTGCCATATCAGTCTAATGAAGACCTTGACGAGAAGGACACGGATTCAGATAATGAAGAATGTTCTGCAGCAGATCACTCGCAAAATGAGAAAGGTGATACACCATCTTCTTCCAGTGTGTTACACAATGATACACAAAGTAAAAAACTTCTTGTAGTTCAAAGTGATGTATTAAGACAAACCCATTCTGGATCACCGAGAATTGAAACTGAAAATGAAGAACAAAATCTTTATTCTCTATTCAACAAAGCACCAAGCTATTGCGGTGAGCATGAATTTTTTGAAATCGATCGACTTTATTAGAGTTTAATTTGCTAATGATTTTTTATATTGCAGTTGAAACTGACTGTACATCTTCTTCTCCAGAACAGCATTCAAGCTTTGCTGGTTATAACCTCAGTTCTTCAGAGTATTGTTCGACATCTTCTGAGGTATATTATGTTTTTATATTGAAATTTTATTATATGAATTAAGATAGTATTCACTTCAGAAAATTAATATATTTGCTAATTGGCTTTCATTTCAGGGGACTGACTACTGGGTATCGAAATAATATCAACAATAATTTTAGCACATATTCAAATAATCTGCGTATTGCAGGACAGTAATATTTCATAGATGTAAAATTAAACACTTATAGTTGTAGATAAAGTTCGTACATATTAAACTAACTAAACTTTCATTGACAAGGTACGTAGTTTCCATGTATTATTTTTATGTTTTAGGTTGAGGAATCAACTTGTGATAGTGGTATGTAATTTATTTTAATGTCATTTTTTCATCATATCATGTGCAAAGCCATAGGCAAACAGCTACACGTATAAATAGCTACTGTGAAACATTATTATATCAGCATTGTCTGTTCAAGCATTTTTGACTAAGTTATTAGTCTTTGTCCATTTTCAGTCAGTATGATGTTTGATGTTATTGATTCATCTTTTCAGCTCAGATTTCACTTCAGACGTGCAGCTATTTGTGCAGCGTGCATCGCCTGAAATAACAGTTTTCTGGCTTAAGACTAACTAATTTAACATTTTTTTCTTGAAGGTAATGAGTCTGATAGCTCAGATGATGATGACAATGAATCCACAAGTGCTGCTGAATATTTTCCTGAGAAACTGGATCATAAGCCATATACATTTATAGACTTGACATTGGACTCTGATCATGTAAGTACATTTTGTTGTTTTCTCATTTTTGAGCTTTGTGATGTCATTCAATGTAAGTAATTTCATATTCAATTAAAGAGTCTTAATGGTGATCACAAAGGTGTGTTTCAGGAGCACTAAAACAATTCAGTGCAAATAAGTATTAATTGTATATTGCTGAACTACTAGAAAAAGTGGTCATTTTTTGGTGTACGCAATCAAATTAGTTTACAATATGAGTAAGTGTGAAGTTAAAAAACTATCACATCGATTTTTAAATTTTTAACTGAATATTTACTTATTAATTTTATATAAAAAATCCCTAGAATATTGAGCTATTCTTTTTTCTGCACATTCCTTTTTTGCTTGCTTTAATTTATTGATAATACTATCCTTGCGGAATTAGGTTATCCCCATTTCAATTCCCAAGCACTTTTACTTGTGCTAATGCATTCCATACTTACTTCAGAATTCCAGTGATCAAGAGGAAGCAGCTGGAAACTGTTCACAAATTTCAGATGCAGGTTTGAACTTGGTTTACGTCTTTCATGGTTTGATTTTTAGACTGAAAATTTAAATTTTTTTAATGTTATTTCAGTGCCTGACTCGAACCCACTCAATGTTTGTGAATTTGAAGAGATTACAGATTGGAGTCCATTAGGTGAAGAACATACAGTTGGTGATAATCGTGACAATTGCCAGTCACCAAGTAACCTTGTAATTTGTGAGTCTGATGAAGAAGTTATGTCCATTTTGCATAAGCCAATAACTGAATTGACACAATCTATTAAGACTGATTCATCTGGTTATGAAAATAATATGGTGACTATGAATGTTGATGATACAAGAACTGATCCACAGCTCGACGTGTCTGTTGAATTGTCATTGACGAATCCAGAAAATGATGTCAGTGCGAAATTGCAAGAGCATCCTTCTCCAGAAATTCCCTTTTCCCATTCACATAATACAATCATTCCCCCAACCAGTTTGCAAGCACGTTTAAAACAAGAGTCTTCGTCAAAAACAAAAAGTCAGGATGTCATGTTGATTGGAAATAGTTTCAAAAAACTTCATTGCAAGAGAAGAGCTATCTACATTGAGCCAATTTCTCTTTCTCGTCGATCAAAAGAAAAATTTTCTCCTAAAAGGCCACTGCATCATAGAAAACCAAAAAGCACTACGAGGAGCAAGCATCTTCACATTGCAAAAACTCTTTTCAGTAAATCTTTTTCTCAATGCAAATTGTCACCATACACTGAATTGAAGAAAAGCTTGCATAAAAGAAATAAATCGTAGGATTTTTAATAAGCTGCTATATGAATGTGTTGAAAGCTTGATAACTTTTCATTATTTCTATTTTGAAATTAAAGTATTACTACCTGTGATGTATTTTAAAGATTGTGATGTTAAATATTGCTCAGTTTTCCAGCTTTTGCAGACTCACTAACTCATCTTGCTATTGAGATGAATGACTGCTGATGTACATAACATTAAGCCCTTATAAAGTTTTTGTTTTTCAATCATAATGTTGTTCGTCTTTTAGTCACATTTTTTTCAATGTCCAAAGTTTTATAACATCAATTTATCCATCAGATATTCTGTTTTTCTATCAATAGAATATTACGGACCTGACTTTCGATAAATGCCACAGTTTTTTGTTAATACTATTTTTCAAACTGAACTAGTAATTCAAGTTTGGATCTAAGGTGTGCTGATCTTTCCCCGTTAAAGGCTTCTATTAATTTTTACTTTTTATATAGCTTTTAAGAAGCAACAATTTTTGTTTGGAATTTTATGTGCCAAGTATTTTCAAATAGATTTATACTCAGTTTTCCTTTGTATTCTTAGCATTTGCCAGAGCTATATTTCATGTGGCGAGCTGCTTTACGATTTAAACTTTAAATACTGTGTTATTATATATTCACAAAGCTTTACTTTAATGGAGAGAATATATATATTTCATTGCATGCGCCTAAAGTATTTGATTTCTTTACATGAAGCGTTTAGGGCGACGGCGATCATAATCAGTTCTTCAGATGATCTGGCAGTCAATATTTAACCTAATTCGCAACTGAAATATTTCGTTGACTTGCAAATCACCACGCTTTTGTAAAGGGTATGTTCAAATATGCCGATTCAGTGCACGTGGAAACAACTTGAGAATATCAAATTTTGGTTTTTGGCAGACATTTATGTTATTTAGTCCCAGCCGTCATATGACATACACCAGGGGTCGGCAACTTACGGCCCGCGGAATAATATAATCCGGCCCGCGACGCTTCATTGAATTATAGTAACAAAACAGCTGTTGTAACGTTTATATTCTTTACGTAACAGAATTTATTGTGAGACACGTGTAGAATAAATTATATTATAACCTAACAAGTATATAATTTACAATTACTCGTTTAATGAGCCTAATGTAATTATAATTAGACAAAACGCAGAAAAGTTGATGCTAAGTACAAAGGGTTCAATGGCGCCGAAAATATTCAAATGGAATTTTTTTGAGGTGAGGAGGAAATTTAAAAAAAATCGAGAGATGTATCACTGCTTGATTTTTATTATAAAAAGTGTCATCCGGTCGATTTTCAACTTTCTAAAAATATGTGCGGCCCGCCAATGACTTGCAGCCCTTAATTTTCGCCCGCGGGCGACGAAAGGTTGCCGACCCCTGACATACACCCTAAGGCTCAGTAAAAGTGTTTGTAGTTGGTAACAAACCATTATAAATTCGTTAGACCAGGGATCACCAAACTGCGTCTCTTGGCGTCCTTTCACTTGGCCCGCAATCTAAGGTGCGCCATTTCGCAGTACCACTAGAGACCATTTGGGCAGTAAAATTTGAATATCAATCACGCGCTTGCAACATTAGTTTTCAAAGCATGGCTCGTTATATTTTTCCAAGTCCTAGCTAGAATGTTCCATGTTTTCAAGTTAAATGTGTACTTTGTTCGGATTCTGATAATATATTCTCCCGTTGTAACATGTTTAACATGGTCTGTAGAATCTGCTCACTAAAACAAACATTTGCTCAGTGTAACATTTTCTTAGAGGGAACACTGCCTGCAATAACACGAAAGAACGGCGTTTTTTTCCCTAAGTGATGTTTCTCCGAGCATCGTCTTCCTTGTTTATTTCGTAACATTGACAATCAACTGGATGCAATAAGGCGTAACAATAGTCACTTTCGCATCCGTCCAGAAACAGCTGTGATAAAATAGGCTAAAATTCTCTACCGGTACGCAACGGTTTCTGCGAAGGATGTACTTGAACACTCGTGCCGCGTGCTTTGCGAAACTGTTCTGTGTACGTTTCTCGGATACGTTTTAGGATAGTTGTCTAGAAATCTTGTATATTTGTTTTTCTATGATGTCCTTGAACTATATTCTGCGAGATAGAATTAAATATTCAAAACTTTTGGAATGTCGGATTCATATTGTTGAATAAATTGAATGAATTTCCCAAATTTTGTGAATTTATAGTATTGCATTGACAAAAATATTTGTTCGGCCCGTTTTCAACACAATTTGATTCATACCTGACCCTAGGTCAAAAAAGTCTGGTGACCTGTGTCCTAAGCAGAGATAAAAATATTTTATCGCGTTGCTCATTCCCAACTCGCATCTACAGTTCAAACAAATTCGCCCGCTAAATTTCAAAACGGGCGTAAACAAAAAGCTCTCAAATCCCACTCACTTTACGCCTAACTAGGTTATACGAAGAAGATTGTTAACAAACAGTAATTGCTATGTCACACTCTGTCAGTAAAAGGGAATCCAAAAGATTGCCATCTTTTTGTGGCAAATATTCAATCAACAAGCCAATATTATCAACGTTTCTTACTGAATCGATTCTTCTTAGTACTACAGTATTACGTATATATTTATTGCAGATGTTATGTGGTACATCTTACAAGACTGTATGTCTCATTTACATGTTGTTCATCATAACTAAGAAATGTAAGTTGGATATTTCTATCTTTAGTGATTCAGATTTTGTACTCCCGACACAAATTCATTCTAGTTGGACAGACAGTAAATTACATAAATAATAATTTTTTCCCACAGTTTTCGCGATGCATTGTATATACCTACAGCGCAGTGGTGGGATTCAGCCGGTTTGCACCGGTTCTATAGAACCGTCTTACGGAATTTTATGGAATCAGCGAACCGGTCAGCATTACTGGTTACTGTCAATGTTCTGTTTGCAACAGAACCGGCTGAAAAATATGACTTTTGTGAAAGAACCGACTGACAATAAATTTGAATCCCACCACTGCGCTATAGCTACAGACAGTTCTCCTATTTTATCCACTGAAAGACCATGTTCGTATTATGACACCAAATTTTATTCCCCCCGGGCCCGATTGACTGAGAGCCATTTGAAAATCCGCATCGCTAACAATATTGTCAATCGCGTAGTATTCTTGACCATTATGCGGGCCTTGTAGGCGATTGACTGGTCCGTGGGGTGCTTTGTGAGAATGACCGTGGAATGCTTGACTGTTTCTTCCGGCGTTTCCATTTGTATTACTGGTCATTAGACCATCTAACGACGAATTTGATCTGTAATATTGAAGAAGATAGAACTCGGTGTAAGCATACAAACAAACTAAACTGTTACGAATACAAAACCAAAAAGAAGTAATCCTTATAACTGCTATATATATCGTATATGTATATATACCTGCTATTCACTTTGTTGTTTTCTACTACAAACGCCATATTTGATTACATTGGGAAAAGTGCCGGTATTGAGAACGAATAGATGACAACACGTTTACTCTGTTCCGCCACTAATTTTCCAGGTTTTGGATATGGATTCTTACTCGACTCGATGGCTACTATTTTGTAGTAAACTATTCATGTAATAACATTTGAATCGTATACCTTTTGGTAATATGCTGTACATCGGCTAATGAGTTTCGGCCTCCAATAATAGTTGGTCTTGGCGACATATCAACCGGTCGCAAAATACAAGGCTTGCGTCGAAGACGCATCAGGATTTCTCCATTTCTTTTGTATATCAGAATAGAAATGCAAACTTTTACGTCGCTTTGGAGTTGTCTCTGTCATCATAAAGAGTATTGGAAGTCAGGATTTAGCACAAGTAGTATTTTGTTTCCAATTTAAAGATAGGCGCTTATTTCAGCTGTATTTTTATTGCCCGTTCAGCATTCAGCGCTGGGCATTTTCGAATGCCTGATGATTTCAGAATCGAATCGAATATATTTTTTGAATCGGATCTCGAATACTTGGGAGATATATAATTGAAAGCTACTTTTTATTGTAATTGGTCCTGTCAAGAAATGAATCATTGAAAACATAGAATAAATCAACACACAATAGGAAACACGTTTTATCAATAACTCGCTACAGAAAATAGTGATATATATGTCAGAATTGCGTTAAAAAAATATGGCTTCAACAAAAAAACGAGAATATCGGTTGGAAACCGAAGACTTATCGATCGATAGTTAGGGGATCCCCCAAAACAGAAACTGCAGTTTCGATTCATCCGCTCTTGTAACTTGCGCATTGCACACACACACTCGGCGGGTTTCAAAATTCTCTCGCTTTACAAAAATCTAGATCACTATATCAATAATTGATTGATAACTCGCTAATTATACGACATAATTCGCCCAAAATCAATAGGCTTCTGGTCCGAGATAAGATGAATGCACATGCACAATCTGGAGCAGATTCAATCTCGCTTTCGTGAGATATCGCGTGCATCTAACAGACACACAGACAGACAGACATACATACAGACAGACATACATACAGACAGACATACATACAGACAAATACCTATCAATATACTTACCGATCTTAAGATCGATAAGTAAAAATGAGGAATTCACCTCGACCAATGGAGAAAAGAAAAAAAAAGATGGCGGCGATTGGAAATTTTGATCTAAACCGATTCGAATAATTTACTATTCGATTCTAATATTCGTTTCGAAATGCCCAGCCCTAGCTTTGTATTTTTAACGAATCATATTCATACATATATATATATATAGACAATCACGCAGCAGAATTTTCAGCAGAATAAAAAAAGATTACTTTCAAAATAATCACGACATTCACAGTGTCGTAGTAACGTCGTGGTTGAATTTCCCATCTCCCGTTTCCATATAGAGCTGAAGGAGCCATACGTTTATTTCGAGTCGGATGAAAATTAATACAAACACACCATTGTTTATCAGTGTAGTCACGTGGTAAATATTGCGGATCTTGAAAATCAGAGCACTGTCTTGCTAGAATTTGATATCTGAATAAAAATCAGATTGTATAAACTAGCTGAATAAATATGTTGTAGCCTATTGAGCCCGATGTGATTAAGAAAAAAAGCATTTCCCGCGTGGCATTTACTTACCTGTAGGCATCGCCGAGATATGTTCGTATGATTGATCGATAATGAAGTCCAATTGGGGATTCTTCAACTGCAAGTAGTTGAGTGCCGTGCATCTGCGAGAACCTGATGTGTGGTAGTATCTAAGCAAAAAGAAGTACATTTCAGTGGAAATATTGTTCATCGTGCACATTGGTCCATATTTGTACAGACTAGATCAGGAGTGTGTAACCTTTAATACAGGAGGGCCAGATACAAATAACAGGGTGGGCCGCACCTTCATTCAACATAGGATTTCTGGTAGTTGCAAGCACAAAATTTTTTGTTATTGACCATGAGTGTTCGGTATAGGCTTTGCAATGCAAAGAAATCGGGATTACTCGCACGTACCATATTGAACTAAATAAAAAACTTGTTTCGCAGGCCGAGCACCCTTCAAAATTGACACTTCTCCGCGGGCCGCACAATCATTTCTTGGGGGCCGCAGGTTGCACACCTGGACTAGATCATACAATGTAACACTAAAGGAGATTTTGCGCTTCCGGCAGTTAATCCGAAGGTTAGTGTTGTTCATATTAATCAATGCTGTTTGGCCACAACTAGCACGGAAAAATTGATAGTTTGCCTGTCTCAGATCTTCTCCAATTTCATCATCGGATGCTGATTTTCTTCTTGCCATGAACCAACGTTGTATAGCTTCAAAGAGGAAAAATTCATCAGGAATCAGTAAGCAAGAACTTTGCATGATAGCTTCAACGCATTCTGGTTCAAGAGATTGCCAGCCCGGAGAATCAACCAACTCTTCCATGTTATCTGCAATTGCTCCATCAACACACTTTGTCGCCAGGTCCTGTAAAGGGCATCGATGTGAATATACAGTGAAAATATGCACATAGCCTACATGGAAACATATATATATTGAACAACTAACCTGTAGCTTGTAATTAGTGGCGTATTTCAACCATTTTATAGCACTTTTGAGATCGCCATCTTCAATCATATTTGCGATGAACGCGTCACAAGCAGATCTTAGAGCCTCAACTTTATATTTTGCAGCAAGCACCAGTAAAGGAAGGGCCGTATCGCTTGTGAATGTAATTTTCCCACAGTAGAAAAATCGTAAAAATTGGGGAAATACAGATTGACAATCTTTTGATTCACTCAGCTCCAATTCCTAATAACATAAAAATTAAAAAATATATATATGTGTGAATTAACTGTTATTATTTATGTTATTTTCATTCGGTCAAGATTTTAAGACCTTTTCTAGGTGTGGATGAGGAAACTTAGAGATTGCACCTCAACTAAAGTCGGCGGTTGACATGCTTATTTTCAAGTTACTTGGAAAAATATTGGTTTTATTTTACCGAAGCCGTTATCAAATCGTAATGATTTGTGTAGCGTCAATCGAAATACCTGTGCTTGAGTGTGCGAATAAACATCTGATGATGATGATGAAATAGAAATGAATATTTCAGCCACTTTGGAAACACAATATTTGAAAACACTCTAGCCAGGCTTGGAGTTTATACGATGAATATTCCATTCAACTCCAAACAAGCACCTTTAGAAATTTGCTTTGACAATAAAACTGTGACATCCCGAATGCCTATCATATGTTGAAATAGTTGTGATGAGAAATGTACCTTTTGAAAGTCTGGACATCCAGTACATCTGTCGCTGACAATCATCATATCCCGAAACACGTCACTTTGAGAAGCGAGAGCAAACTTGTGAGCATAGAATCGATGTTCTCCAGTCAAAAGAATAACATCACTCAAATCAGGATTGTCAAAATATCTGTCATGTTGGGATATAATAAATAATTTGTGATTTAATGGATTACTCAAAATCAAAGCCACACAGTTATTTTGTAACATATATAATATATTTATAGTCTTGATGAATAAAGTATGATTCGTTTGTGGTTTTGAAAAGTGAGTTACTGAGAAGTTCACGAGTTTTGTTAATGGCTAGATTTTTTTCGATTCCCCCTTTTAAAAAATGTCCTTGCTTTCCCCCTGCTTTTACGAAATGATCAGAATTATATTTTAAAATCTATGCCTGTGCTTTTAAAACAAACATCGAATATCGCGAAAAAATGAAGTTTTCTTTAAAACAGAACTATAGCCGAATATAGAAGGATTATTTTTGACAAACCTCCCCAACTGATTCAAGAACACATAGCTAATAAATTATATATAACTAAAAGCACGGTGGTTTAGTCACCTCATTGTATTTGTTGTAAATCCATGCAAATCTCCGACAACATGACATCCAATCGGCTCTTTCTCCTCTGTAGAGCAAGGTACCAATCCTGCACTGCTGTGTGGAAAAGAATTTTTACGTGAGCAAACAGATGTACCAGCAATTTGTTCAGGACATTTTCGTAAAAGGTTCCCCCTTGAAACAACTTTTCTAAGATATGAACTGTATTGACCCGAATTAAGTAGAACAAATTGGGAACGTTTCTCCTCGTTTCCATTTTGGTATAACTCTGAAGACTCAAAATCGTGGTTTTTCAACTTCAACGCTGGACTAAAAGTCAAGTCTTCTACTTCCATTCGATCTTGGCGAAAACTTCTCGTCTTATCGTACGTACGTTTATTCGACTTGTTTTCTTTTTCTCCGTGGGGCAATGACAAAATTAGAGGCAAGCGGAAAGGTCCTCTTTTTATAGATATATCGTCGTCAAACGGGGCTGTTATAAAAGTGGCACGGTCTATCTGTTTTGAAAATGAAGATGGCGATGAAATGTCATCTTCATTCAGTTCAAATTCAACATTTCTTGCGTACTTCATAGGAGATTTGTATCTGGGAGATCCTGAACTTTCTTTTATATCCGGAAAATAGGGAGACATTGGTTCGTAGTCTCGTGGTCTCCTACGGCTCATCCTACCCTTTTTGGTTCTCGAATCTGGTGATCGAAATACTTGAAGGGATAGACTGTTTTGCCAAGACACATGACCACACCCTGCACTTTCACTTGAACCTGCTAGTTCATCACCGGACTCATCCTCTTTGTAATTATACGAATGCATTATGAGCTCACTACACACGCAAAAATATCTCAGTAAAGTCCCGACAATGGCCAAGCTTCATGAAAAATAACTCTGTTGTTCCCAAATTCCAACACGTAAATGACTATTGCCAATTTCACTTTCGAATGTTCACCCACTTGCTTTTATGAAGGAGCTGTCGCACTCCACTTGAGGCAGGCAATTACATCCTTACAAGACAAGCCAGAGTCACTTGAAGAGTGGAAAAGTTGGACCAGCTCCACAAGAACCATTGACGACATTATTATTGATGACATTTCCGAAAGCTGACCTAATAAAATTAAATTCCTATTTGGAAATACATACCTTTGCTTGCAGACAGATGATGCCGACATCATTTGTGCAACAGAAAAATAAAGACTTGAATGTTGGCTTCTTCGTTATTTCTAAATAATAAAGGTTCTTCTAAATCGTTTTTCAAATGTTCGTCACTTATTTATGAGATTGAAATATAGTAAAAGAATATTTTATTTTATTATAAATGAATATTTTCGGAATATGTGTCGCAAAATATGGCCTCTGCCGTGGCAGTATAGGTGAATGGTGAATATTAAAAAAAAACGGAAAATATTGCTTGGCAAAGTAAAGCTGTTCATACCCAGACTTTCAGCAATCAATAAAACTGTCTCGAATGCGAAAACAATTGTTGATTTTGATACTAGATAGAGATGAAGGCAGTTGGTTTCAGTTTATGCCACGGTTCCGCAAATATTCGGGTTTCGAGATCAAATCAATATTGATTCCAGAGAGAGTTTTTTTACCCCCCATGTTGGCGTAAATTTGGAGTCTACGTAATATAAATTTTCGTACACTTGTCAGACTTTTCCAACCACTCCCAAAGTCCTCAAATGAGAAAGTTGACATAACTTCGAAGTCTTAATTAAGAACAATTTTAACAGCATATATATCCTAAGAGCACAAGCCCCACCGCATTGATTCATTAAATTCATTTGGTACTCCCGTAGTGTGTGTACCAGGTTAGGGTTGGGCCATAATTTTATTTCGATTTTCCTTATTTTAGTTCTATTACGAGTTTGGGGACTGCCTGTGTTAGCCAAGTGAATATACCCCATGCCCATAGTAATCAGTCCCTTTACACAACTTGATGTAAAGTAGGCGAACAAAATTAGTTACCCTCATATTGGTACACACACTTCTGGAGCGCCATTTATTTTGCATATATATTAATGTAGACCAGGGGTCGGCAAACTACGGCCCGCGGGCCAGATTCGGCCCGCGGAACAATATAATCCGGCCCGCGACGCTTCACGGAATTATATTAACAAAACAACTGTATTGACTATTATATTCTTTACGTAACAGAATTTGTTTTGGGACACTAAATTATATTATAACCTAACAAGTATATATATAATTCGCAATCACTCGTTTAATGAGCCCATAAATTGATTATAATTAGACAAATGGCAACAGGGGGTAAAAAGGTTGAATGGTACAAATGGTTTAATGGCGCAGAAAATATTCAAATGATCAATCTTCGCGCGCTGCTTGAAATTTAACTGAAATCTGTGTGAAAAAATGTGATTCATTGGCCATTTCTTCGGTTTTTAACTTTCTAAAAATATGTGCGGCCCGCCAATGACTTGCAACCTTTAATTTTGGCCCGCGAACGACAAAAGTTTGCCGACCCCTGCTGTGGACGTATAACTTGGTACATTCACAAAACATTGGATCATAGTACCTCTGTGAGGCTGGAACTAATTATAATGACCACACACAAGACTATAGTGAATGAATTTGGCAATTATAATGTTACTTATTGCCTATCAAAAAGCAACGAATAAATTATATATATTCTACATAAAAGGAATGACAGGAAGAATAAATCCCGACATATAATTATTGTATACTCACGGTTTCTTTTACTTGTTTCAATTTGCAGGAATAAATAAAATCTCTGTAATTTCCATCAACGTATCGAACATCAATACAACAAATATTTTTACCAGGCTGATGATACAGGATACGACAGATCACTTCATGCGAGTGAAGTACTTGCAGCTTGTTGGATTGAAACATATGTAACGTTGTTCAAGCCACGCAAAAATAAGCTATTAAAGCATTAGTGGTTGTGATATTATTGTCGGTATGTTGGCTATCTAGAATTTTATTTTCCGTGCAATATTTCACAATAACGAGTTAGGGTATGATTTAAAAAAATTCTTCCGCTTGGGGCAGCATCTTGTATTCCCAAAAAGTTAGGAAAGGCAGATGACGAGCTGTAAATCATGTTGTAAATGTTGTAACTCAAGTCTATGAGATGTACCGATACCACTTTTGTCGCCGATACCGATCCGATACCAGCTAAAAACGCCGATACCGATACGCCGATACTACAAAAAGGCCGATATTCCGATACCGATACTATGTAATTATTACTTTATTAGGTATGCTGTGTAGGGCAGACGGGTTAAAACAATGGTCTTTAAGCGTTGTTCATAGTACACATTATTTCGGATTGAAAAAAAGATATATATATCACATAATATGAAATTAATGTTTGGTATCCATATGCTGTAACTGATTAAGATACATTGTACAGTAACGCTAGTAATCTCGGTGTTCAATTAGAAAACTCATAAGCCGGGATGTCCAATTTGAATTTAATGTTAATATCGCGAGCTTCAAATATCGTTATTCGTGTTTAAAAGAATATCGAATATCACCCACACATTCTAGCGCCGCCGCCCTACGTTCAAATTAAAAGCATTTTACAAATATTTAATTTAGTGGCTAATCGTAATCGTCGACGCAATAAGTCAAAGCCGACATGAAAGAATATCAATCAGCAACGACAAAAAGAAGGCCCACCGATAACCGTTGAGGATGTTTTTTTACTTCACTATTTTATAATATTTTACAATTGCTATCCTATATTTTGAGACAGTCTAGGGCTAGGCGGTCAAGTCAATATATCTATAAAGAAATCGTGTAGTTAAGCAGAATTGAAATTAATACCTGTGTAGTGGGATAATTGTGTCGGAATTTAGTTTATCGATGTCGACGGACTAAATGACACTTGTACTTGACGACAAACAGTCAGAATTTATACCCGTGCCAAAAGTCCATGTGCCGTTAATAAGGAAGGACCCCAATTCCACTGTATGATTTAAAACTGGGCGCCTAGTTGCTTTTTGTTATGTGCTGTGTTGATATATTTCTTCATAAAAACTATGTAATATTAAAAATGTCAATATAAAATTTGGCAGCGAAAAAAGCCGAATTAGTTGAGCTAGTTTAGCTGATAAATAGCTAAAAACACGTGAATCCTATTCTCTCGCAGGGGTGGGGACATGTATGGCTCATAGCTCACGATCTCTCCAGACAAAAATAAATTAAAAAGTAGTATTCCAACTTATCTTTTAAAACATTCTGGACCATATCAAAAAGGTAAATATATCGGTAATATCGGCCTTAATCTGACCGATACCGATACATGGCCGATACCGAAAAAATGGCCGATATCCGATACCGATACATCGGTACATCTCTAGCCTATACCGCAAACACCTGAAACTCGTTAGACCCTTTTCACGCGATGATAAATAAAAAAATCGATTCCTTATCATGGCGACTTTTCTGGAAGAAGGGTTATGAATGCACAGGAAACTCCAGTTAAAATGCTGGACTTGTATGCTAATTCATTGGTTCTAGTCGGCTCATCTCTATTCCAATTAAGTTCATTTAATATCTATACTTGGATTTGACTTTCCCGAGGTCATCTACTCACTCATCACTTGAGTGTAGTTCTTGGGTCAAAGGTTATATAAAATGATATTTGACCAAGATGATCCCAGCTAAACCACTCAATTCGCTTTTCAACAATTCATGATTGTTGAATCTTCGCAAAAAAGAACTCTCTTTTTCTTTGATTTTGCATCATAAAAGTATCTGATGGATGGTTTATTGAGGCGTTAGTATAACCAATAAAATGAAAACAGATATATTATCTATTTGCATATACAATACAGGTAAAAGAAACAAACCAAAATAATGATAGCAATTCGAATTAGTAATGTTTATTTTATGTGCTAATTTGTGGAATTTACAGTCTTTCACAAAATTAAAGTAATAACTATTAATTTAGCCATAAATGTGTACCAATATGGACGTAACTAATTTTGTTCGCCTACTTTACGTCAAGTTGTGTAAAGGGACTAAAATCCAATGGGCATGGGGTATATTCACTTGGCTAACAAAGAAAGTCCCCGAACTCGTAATAGAACTAAAAAAAGGGAAATCGGGACAAAAATTATAGCCTGACCCTAACCTGATACACACACTATGGGAATACCGAAAAAAGTGCTATATATATTATATATAGTTAAAAATATAAAATTTATGTCATATGTACCGTTTAGTCCAATTAAGGTAGGACGTGCATTTTGTTTTTCTCAGTTGGGTAAATTGTATTAAAACCATGGCGCAAAAGAGCTCCCTCTGAAATGTGGATGTACGACAAGGGAATTATAGTTTTGGCTTGTTAATAAAATTATAAAAATAGTTTCGATTAATAGATTTATACAAATATCGTGCAAAATTTTCTTATTATCGATTTAATACTTTAGACTCTAACTCTTGTAGCATGGTAATAATGTTGGAAATGGCTTGCAGGCAATCATGATCAGGTCCCGAGTATAAAGTCCTATCACCATTGAATCCCTTGTAAGTACTGTGTGCAAAATCAATAAGTTTGACTTCTATTTTTCTTTCGGGTTCTGTCATTTCATTGCTGGACTGATTTTCGCTGTTACTTGAGTCTTGAATATCGTCGCCTTCGTACAGGACTAGTAATGAACTTGCATGGAAGCGGAAAGTATCTTGTTTTTCTAAAATTTTTAGCAATGTTTTCAATTTTTCTATGATCGGAGGAATGACTTCTATCAAATATCTTGAGCCGTTGTGCAAAAATTGGTTTACGCTTTCTTTGAATCCCGACGCTGACAAACCACGTCCGTAATATTTATCTCTGCACAAATAATGACCAGTATTCACTTGATAAACCTGAAAATAAAGACGAAAAAACACTTAAAAATAAAACATCCTTTCATTAGGTTATATCGTGAAACAATATTCAGATTTTTAAATACTCCGTTATCCAATAAAAGATTTTTACCATAATACAGAACACCCGCCGAAACTATGGGTGCCCTTCGGCGCATATATATATATCGTAAGAATTCAATTCTGGCATTCCATGTACATTGATCAAATATGTTTCATCACGGTTTAAATACCTCTGATTCGATCACAATTATTTGCTGTTTAACCATCAGTCGTTCAATAAACCAGGATGTGAACAATTGGGTGAGCTATACCGAATCAAAAAATTCGATTCTTGCTTGCCTAGTCACTCCCTACATCTAAGTGGGTGTTGGTCAAAAGCTTCATTTGAAGATCTGAAACTCTTCACATAATCAAAACACTATGGTATATTTATAATGCGGGTATTGCTTTTTTTCGCAATATCGAAATTGTATTATAGGTTGTGGTGAGAAGTCATCTCCTGTATTGGACACGAAGTGGCGTGGATGGTTTTGCTATATCGTTGTTTTTGTTGTTGTTATTCTTCTTGTCGTTCGAGTGACTTTTTGATGGGAAAATCGTAACTAAAACTCCTAAAAAACTAATCGTAACTAAAACTCGTGACCAATCAAATTTTCAAAGATTAAGGATATCAAATTTTCAGCACTTGATGCTGGAAATAGTTGCCAAAAGGCTTTCACTTTATTTGCATTTTTTAAATACTAGCCGTCAGCCTCATTCGGTGTAGGACGCACAGCTACCAAAACTGGTCAGTAATTGGAACTTCGTATCGCCGGTATTTGAGCATTGTTCTCGTGATTTTTAACATTATCTCTAATCGAACAATCATATGGCGATAGAAAACATACACTCGAAGTCCAATTCATGATTAATAATATATTCACAACGTCATACAATTGCGACTGTTACGGTACTCCTTGTTATTAATATCCAATTTTTATTGGTAAAATGTATTCATTGTGGTGTGACATGTATATATGAGTTCGTGCCCATATCGAATGTACTTTTGACTTAAAAAAAAAATTGGATCGATTTAAATCGGATGAATTTGGAGAAATAGTTATACAATTAGTTCGTGAGGTATGCGATTTTAAAGTAACTTTACGAGTGATGTGTTTACCATTACGCTTATCTTAGGAATGCATCTGAATTGCGCTCGAGAAACGTTGCGATTGGGGGAAGTGATCAGAGTATAGCGATCTGAGATGTATCTTTCTATCGGAATAGGACTGGAAGAAAACAGGAGAACTCGCTTTCTCGCGACTTCTGCATAATATTCTGTATCAGTTCATGCTGTGATAATCAGCATGTTCGTTATTATTATAAAAAACACTGCGGAAAAGGCGATTTGTATGTAATATGTCCATTCTAGGCATGGAAGGTGGGACACATGAAATAGAAACATAGGGCTTACATTCTACCGTACGAAGTGTAACAAATTTATTTAAAATTATATAGATAAACCAACACACTTGGACAGAATTCTATAATATATTTGAAACTTAGGAAAAGGGCGAAAAATTACCTGCATTCCGGCTAATCTAAGCATTAGTGTTCCTGTGCTGCTGTTCTTCGCAAGTTCAACGTGCTTGTTTTTCTTTTCTTGTGAACAATCGTTTCTCTCGATTTGTCGACCAAGCTTGAAGTCAATGACGCTTGGATGTCTAAATCCTGTCGAGACATCTTCCAACATAAGGTAGCCTGAGGGTATAATTTAGAAGTTTACGATTATTTCATACGTGGGAAAGTTATTACCGAGGACGACAAAGGTATGAAGAAACCAAGTAGTTTTTAAATTATGCTACAGAGTTTCGTCACCGTGAGTGCGTCATATCAAATCTTGTGTTTCATTGAGTTTTTCGAGCCTAATATGGTCGCAAATGAACAACGAAAAAACGCCACAATGCACAATTCCTCCTATACAACAGATGATGAATTCTACGTGGGTTCGTTAACAAAACTATCACCGCCCTAACATCCACCCACATCCAGTCCACCAACGCAAACATTTAATAAGTAATAGGCTTCGAGGTCGAAGTTAAATAAGGACTGATTAAAGTAATACAACATAGGATTTATCGGTGTTCTTTTATACAAAATTTATAAAATATATCTTATATGGAATATAAATACTACTGTTTAAATAATATTTAAATGCATCATGATGGTAACGAATGTTTGTAGGTCGAAAACGCCCACATTTTATATAATTTCGATTGCATATCTGGCGCCATAACAAATGTCAGGTAACTGACACCTAGTACACGCACTATCGTTACAAATCTAATTTAAAATCGAAATTTCAGGTATATCAACAGCAAAGCCATGTATTATGACAATACAGAAACGAAATTTATTGTGATTCAGTCGCTCGGCGTATCATGCGTCATAAGTAGATTCGTTCGAAAGGTGACGTTACTTTTTGTCAAACATGTCGTACAATAAGATTTCATTCGATCCTATGAACCCGCGCAGGTTTTTCAATGCCGACCTCCGATATTGAATTTTCGAGGTAAGCATGGTTGGTGGCGCAGGTTTAATGCATAGTTCCCTTTGTTTGTAAGATAAAAGTTGTAGAATTTTGCCACGTTTCCTACTAAGAGAAACGTGAAGTACGTTACGTACAAGTAACAACTGTTTGTTGTGTGAAAACCCGACCAATCCGGAAAATTCGTATAACAATGACCGCACACTTCTGCAAGTCTATCTTGATTCCTTAAGATTATCAATCAATAACATGAGTAAGATTGATTACTAAACGATCAATACAATCGAATTATGTTTGTCATTATTGTTTGATATAAAACGATCGTGATTTACATTCTCACGCTGTGAATAATACCAAAATACATTTTATTGATTGTCGTGATTGTTTAAAATTACAGAATGACGCACGTAAAACAGGACTATAATTAAACCAAATTCTAAGAAGATTGGCGTGATATTTTCTATTTTGAACAATATTTAAATTGGGTGTTAAAATTTAAATATCGACGTTTTTGAAATAAATCTCAAAGATACAAACCTTCGAATTTTTTAAACTTAGCGATAACGATTTCCACACTGTATGGAACATAACGGTGCTGCTAAATCGCACCGAATTTGACTTATGGGGCAGCAATTTAAGTTTGGTTTAAAGTCATGAAAACTACTTAATTTACTTGGTTTTCAGCATGCGTTTGTAAAAGCAATTATCCCTTTCCATACCATTACATAAACACGTTTTATGCTTTTATCCGTGTCAAGTGAGACAGACATTTCCAACAGTAATTATTTCGACAATACCTGAATTAGAATCGACAATTACAGGCATTGTTGTTTCAGAATAAACTTTTCAAAATTTTCCATCAACAATAATTACATCTCTAGCGATCATTCTGCGAGTTGTAATATAGATTACAAATTTCTTGCTAATAAATCGAAATCAAAATTTATGTCAAATTTCATTTGTACATTTTGACAAAGATGAATTCCTCCACGCCATATAAATTATTTTTGTTTTTTGACAAATAAATGCTCTGAAAAACATTATATTTCGTGATTTATCACAACTATTCATGTCGGCATATGGAAATACCTAAATCAATCACCTCTGACAAAAATTCCTGGGACGTGGGAACTTGTCACAACATCTTGCACTTTATTTTCATTATGATCCAGTGACTTCGTATCCGTCCCAGATTCATCCAGTGAAAGCATTCGATTTATTTCACGTTTGTGCTGACGAATTGCCCATGGATTGGCTCCAACTGATTCGGTTACAGCTTCAATGTCTTTGTCAACGGTCCATGGATGACTCGTAAAACCATGACTCGAACTATATTCAAATCGTTCAAGCCCTTTGAAGAGTACTTTGCTGTAAAATAAAGTTGCAATTAATTACAAGCTTAAAACACGCCGATAATCGGGAACGGCAACTCAAGTTAGTAGTTCAATAGTATTGAAGCAGAGAGTGACTACTTCGCCAAACCATTTATATGATGAGTACTAGGTACTCCCGTAGTGTGTGTACCATGTTAGGATTGGGCCATAATTTTATTCCAATTTTCCTTATTTTAATTTTATTATGAGTTCGGGACTGTCAGTGTTAGCAAACTGAATATACCCCCTGTCCATAGGTTTCAGTCCCTTTACACAACTTGATGTAAAGTATAGGCGAACAAAATTAGTTACCTCAATATTGGTACACACACTTTGGAGCGCCGACTACTATAATATGCAGTTTGTGCAATCCTATTTTGCAAAAGCTTAGTACGTATATAACGAGCAATAATCCAAATAAATCTTAATATTAACATATGGACCTGATGCTATACGTAAAATCCGAGGTATTGGATGTTATTAAACAAAAATCCTATCAATCCGAGCATTAAAATAGTGTTATTGAGATTAAATAAAGATTAAAATTTTAAACACTAAAAATAATTCTTTTGTGAACATAGGCTCGTCTTTAGGGCTGGATATACTGGTTGATAGGAAAATGGCGAAAATCAGTTTAGGACATTTAAAAGTAGCATTCAATTAACCAAAGTAAGGACCTAAAAATATTATAAAAGTGAATAAACTTGAAGATATTTCTTTAAATAGATTAATTGAGAAATGGTAATCTGGTGTCTACGCATTGAATAAATTTAGATATCTGACGTTTGGTGCAGCAAAATCAGTTTAATGAAAAATTTGATATGTGTTGCTATTTCAAGTAATCATCGAAGAAATATTTGCAGCGGAGAATGGTGCAAAAGAGTGATGCTGAGCAGACTATGTAAATTTTTTGCAGCATAAACTGCTAAACACTTACTCGTAAGCAGGCACCCAATCTCTTCCGTCACTTCTTAAGCTATGGGAACTTATGTTAACGGGATTTGATTTCATGAAAACTTGAGATGTTGAAAACTTGTAGTCTTTGTTTTCTTCTGATTCTGCCAATTGTGCATAAAGAACACCTGAAAGATATTTTTATTAATTCTTCTATCTGTTTGAAACTACGCATGGAAAATAAGACATATTGCATGATTAAGACTGATCACCGGACTACGTCGAATTGAAACTTCGAATATAGGAACTAAAAACAAATCAAAATAGTCACCAATGTATGTAGATTTTGAAATAAATAGAAATGACTTTGAAATATTATTTATATATTTTTTGGCTTATAATACATGAACAAGTTTATCAAAACTATCGGTTAATGTCATATATATCAGGTCAATAACAAATCGATTTTATAATTACACCTTTTTATCCACTATTTCTATAACTTTTGACACAATTTTCTATATATCTTTAAGATATAAGCACATTACTAACCAAACGCATTTCTCCTTACAATATATCTTAGATTAATTCCGGATGTTGCAAAAATAACTCGAGTCGTTTGGAGATAAAATGAATAAGATTAAGATAAATCAATTATTTGCTTTCGTAGCCTACGTTTCGACATGAGATAACAAGAAAATTATTTTTTATATTTGAGATTTGCACGAATCGGTAGAGATTTGGCAACTGTTCCTGTTTACAATATTTTATTAAATCTAATCCACCATGACCATCAGTGTATGTACGCCTATTATCACAATTTAAGAGGGAAATTGGCGGGTGTCACACCCAAATATTAACTTCCTCGGGAATTAGTGTACTTTAATTATTCAAATCTATGACTCAGAATTTGAATTGAAATGAAGTCATCCGTAAGCTATCGGTTCAAATAAAAACCGACTTGAAACAAGCCAATATATGGTTCTTCAAACCATGATTTTATTCTGAAAATGAATCATTTGCTTTCATATTATGAAGATTTCCCCTAAACCTTATATCATTTTGTCATCTATATTGCTTTCATACGTCATTATAAATCATCTGCCTAAGATCAAGGCTAGCACAGCACGTTGACCTAAAGCCAATTTGCCTAAACCAATGGGGATTTTATAAATTTTACCTTTTAATGGCATTTTTGGTAGTGTTTCAGTTTAGAATATCGATTTTTCAAATTTTGGTCATCGCTCGACAGCACCCATAAAATATGAATTAGCATAATTTCATTGCTTAACCGAGAAAAGTCCTCGAAAATGGCACTAATTGCCGTATGAGAAACATTTATACCAAACACTGATTTGTTTACATCAGAAATATTTTTACTTGCCTTTTACATCCGGTACAAAAGGTTTGAGATCTTCTGGTATGCTCGTGTAAAATAATAATTCTCGAGGAATGAGAGACTTACATATGGTGGTACTGTTCAATGCAAGCATGTGGGAACGCCCAGTCACCTTAAAAATATTAATTAAAAATTTACTAATTACCTCTCATGAGCTGAAAAATATCTTTTCCCCCCTAAAGTGTAACCCTTTTTTTAAAAAAGATGTTTTTTCGATATATGTTAAAATCAGTTTTTGTTAATTGATGAACAGTTCGTTCTGATTGAACAATATAAATATTTACGGCGATTGCTCGGTCGTATCTTGATGTGACTACAAAAATATTAGAGGGTCATATATATTTCTATAAAAGATATCTCTCGCCGATTTTAGAATAAAACTCTCTCAATAATATCACCTCAAATTTATGACATATATCAACTTTTATAGTGTGAAATAAATGATAAATCGATATCCAATCGTAAATCAAATCAATAATACATTGTGCTACAAAACAAATCAATATATTCATGTTCTCGAATCTAAATGATAATTCGTATTCTGAAATTCTGTTACTTTTCGGATTGAGAACTTGGAAAGGTTGTAATCACACATCAATAACTCGCCATAACACATCTGCGAACCTTTGTACGTAAAGTATAAACTGTGGAAATAATTCAAATTACCTGGTGAACATAGGGTTCAAGGGTCACGGATCCCGGGCTTTGCTCTGACGAGTTAGTTTGAAGATGATTGGCTCCTCCCATTCCTGAGTGTCGTCTTCTTTTTGCAACAGGTTCGTCGTCTTCCTCGTTGATTGACTTATTTTTACAGCCGTTCGATATATGCTTGCAGTGTGATTGACCCTAGATCACCGAAAAGATGTTAGCACTATGTTGTATTTATTGCACATAAGCATAGACCGGTTCAAACTCAAGTAACTACATACGTTCACAGATGGCTTGATCAATCGTTTTGACTCGAGGCGAGAACAACTGTTATTGCTGAGGTCGGTGTGTGGATGCATTCCTTCTAATCGATGGTGAAATGTTATTAGTTATTACAATTACCGTAGGTACCTATCACGCAGACATATCTGTCCAAAATCTGTGAATATTCAAGATGGTTAATTTTTTTCAGCCTGTCAAGTGTGCCAAATTTCAGAAAAGATTTGGAACTGTGCCCCAAATCGGCGACGACTCGATTTCAACTTATAAAGAATTTCAGACCCAATGAGAAATCTGGACTGAGAGTTGTATCAGTACTACGGTCTATCGACGATCTGGAAGGGTTGCTTATGCCAACAACCAATTCATAGCAATTGTGCGCAATGGCAGTGTCTGAACAGTGTAACATATAAAAAAAACGTTACAAGCCTGTTAGGACAGACCCCCTATTGAAGGGATCTCGCTTTCTCACTTGCTACTACAGTCTATGTAAGTGTGAATCGAACACTACCGGTATCCGTTTGTCCTCTGCTTCTAGCAAAAGTGTATTCTTGCTTAAATAAACCAAGTCACATATCCGAACTTAAACTCGCTGATAGGTAAAATCAGCACCACATCAGCTATGTATATATCTTTTTACTTTCGAAACATACAAATAATCTTTAACTTATCCCAGTTTGAAATGATTCCAGTTAGATCTCACATACAAAACATACTGCTCTGTTATTAAGTGTTACTGTTGCCAATTTTAAGTATTCTTCGTTATCTGACTTCGAAAATCAGACCATGTCTCTGACTGTAATTTTGTGACTAGCTTTTACTCAGCTGATATGCGCACGCAATGCGATGCTTATGCTGCTCAAGGGCATAATGAAAATAGCGTATGCCGTCAAAAGAAACACGAAACCTTTCGCTTTTGATGGTTACTTCCCAGATCTAAACCGTCTAATATAGCACGAGTAAACATGTCTCGCATTCGCTTCTTGACCTTGATTAGAGTGACGAAACGACACAAGTCAAAGGCGAGAGCACGAAATAACCCTTTCCCCTTTTCTCTTGACTTCTAAACATTTCTCCAGGCGACGTCGCCGACGTTTTCACGCATTCTGTGTTAGTGATAGCAGATCTTATCCCACACCAGTTTTCGTTCAAAACATGATTAGAATTATTATTAGAATTGTGTACAAAAGTCTGGTTATCTAGAAATTCCGTGCACTCGCTTTCTAAATTTATATATGCTAAATTTTAATATTATTATTTGATGGAGTTAAACTAGACTTAGTATATATCGATTTCCATGGTATTTACTGTAATTTTTGCATGCCTGATAACTATTTTTCACGTCAATAGAAATTCAAGTTTTTTGCCTATATTCTTCGGGTACTACTGTTACCAAAGGTGACTTGTATGACACGGATAAGAAATAATTCGTTCAGGTGCTTCACAGCATCGAGCCATGTCCTAATACATTTAGTTATCCACTCTGCTGACAATTCCTTGAAACGTAGTTGCAGACGTATCTTATTCTTCTAGTGTGCCTCCCGGGGCTATCTATAATATATTATTTGTCATCATAAAATATCTGTTTTTTGTTTATGGCAGAACTTGATTTTAAAATTAGTTTTACCTCCCTGGTCCAAATCGTTTTGTCGTCAATCTAATTGGCTGAATTGTTTATTCATTTATTTAATCGTTTATTGTCGATCTGACGAATTAAAAAAAAAAGAAACTAACTGATTTAATTTGGGGCATATCCAAAACAAATTATTTGCCACTATAAAGTTTATATTGTGCGTTTATGGCAGAACTTGATTTTAAGATTCGTTCTGACCCGTGGCTAAATCATTTTGAAAAGTTAAAATGTGGCCAAAAGTAGTTTTGCTCTTGTGTGAAAACAAACGTTAGAAATATAATAAAAAATGCACGTATGCCGAGCCTATAACATGGTATGGAAATTTCTATTCTATCGCGATTTCATCCCATAATCTGGTGTGAGAGGCTAAAAATAATAAAATAATATAACCAAAAAAAAAAATCATTTTCATTATGTTAGTATTTTTACTGTTTTCAAAGTAAATATTTTTAGTACGATCATAGCCTAAGCCCTAATATATGCGTTAAATTCCATGCTGCTTCAGCGTTTATATTACCCATTACGGAATTCAGGAAAAAGGCGAATCCATATGCACGGCCGCGAAAACAATATTGAACAGCACAAATTGCACGGAAAAGAATTTCATGAATGAAATAATTTCAAAAAATATAAAATGAGTAAAAAAGTTTAGACAAGTGCTTTTTCCATGGAACGCATTGGGCGGTGGGTGGTGACCCCTGTTACATTGTAAACGTACGTTGTTTACAAATTTGTCGAACATTTTGCTTCTGTATGCAGTGCATCTTGCGCTGCCTTGTAACCAATCATTGTAGGCCCATTATTAATCTTTTTTCCTTTTGCTTGTAGCGTAAATTAGTAATTTTATCTGTTGTCTGGTTTAGCGTTTTCCTTTCGGTCATTTTCGCATCACGTATTCGTCGTGTAAGAGCGCAGATATTCGCCCGTATTGAGGACTGTTTACTTATCTATTATATATATATTATTGTAATTGTATTAACCACCGGGATCAGAAAACGTTTGGTAAGAATTTTGCCTTTTGTTGTTGATATATGCTTTGTGACTTAAGTTAATCAATTGTGTTTTATTCATTTAAGAAAACCGCTGTTCTTTGTCAAGTGTATAAAGAAGCTAATTTATGCGTGTGTCTTGTCTTATTCGTGGATAAAAGGGCTGAGAGTGGCGCGTTCGATACGTTTTCATTGTGTCTCGTCTATATAGATTCCGGACTATCAAAAGACGTGACATCCCCCTCACTAGAGTATTCAGGAGTCGAGGCGTAAGACATTGTTATTTGTATGTTCAATAACAACTGACTCAACGACCCTATCGTCGTCTATCGTCAAATATTGCTTTAATGAACTACATCTTATATATTGATAAAATATGCGTGTGTATGAGGGATTACCACACATTTTCGATACCTCGTCTGATTTAGTATCGTACAGAGCTGGTATTTCTATTTAGAGTTATAATATTTATATTAACTGCTTACTCTAACATTTAATCATGTCTTCCAATGTCTAACCTCCAACACATCAGGTGGATTTAACTGAATGGCAGAGTTAGCAACCCTGACATGGGAAAACTACGGCCCGCTGGGTAATTCAATCTAGCCCGCATGATGCTATCACGACCAAACTAAAACCAAATTTTAGTGTTCAGCTAAAAAATGCTCAAGAAATTTGTTGAGATTGCGATTAAATTCAGTTTTGTCACGAGGTTTATTGTTTTCCACTTTCGCTTTTGTAACACTGTGAATATTGTTTATAAAATGTGACTTTTTACGTCAAACTTGTATGGCCCGCCACTCTAGGCCCTTGATCCATAAACCTTGCCCACTTCTGATAGACTATTTACGTCAATTTACACAGTTCAGCATTTCTGAACTTTGTTTGTCCGACAACAGAAATTCAATTACATATTGAACCTTGGGGGCGTCGCTGCTCGATTTATCAATTTTGGTTTCAAGCGGCTTTCCTTCCATGGTAAAAATGTGTGTTCAATTTTAATTTTTTATTTTCGTTCATTATTATTTTGTTTATTTTATTTTTAGTTATTGGCCACCCTTTCGAAATCTCAAAAACATCAAGATATGCATGGATGGAGGAGTTATTACGTAATGTGTATGTTATGTTTTATGAAGAGTTCATACCCCATAGTAATACACTCTGCGCCATAGCATTCTCCGGAATGTGCTGCGGCGTTAGTAGGACGGAATAAATCTTTTCATTTCCATCGGCGCAATGCAGTTTTGAGAAACAACATTCATATTTGAAGTCTAGAAACAATTCCAGAGAAATATTCGATGAGGCCAAAAACATTTAACAACAGAAAATCTACCTTCTCTCTCCTCTAACATCACTGAAATTATACATTTATCCGAAGGCAAATCAAAATTGTTCCCCAAATTAACTTCAAATTACTGCAGTCTTGATTTGAACCTAAATAATCTACCGGAATTTTCTAAACGTACCAATACAAAATTGAACGAAGTTGATATAACAGCCGGCATGGTTTCCCGAGCAACTGCCGCGTTCATCTCTTCCACTGCTTTCGAGCCAGACGGTATACGGACGGACGGTATGTTCTGGTTTAAAAAAGGTTCTCCTGAGCTGTCTCCGATATTGCCAAAGATATTCAACAAATGAATATCTGAATCCTCTTTCCCAGACTTCTGGAAATTGGGTACCATTGTTCCCACCTGAAAACAGAGGTGATTGGACGGACCCTGGTAAAACAAATTGTTTTTCGTCGAGGACGTTCTACCGCTGACTTGTTAACTGTGATAACTGAAAGAATATTCCCGCATTTAATCGAAGTTGGAGACGAAATCGATTGCCCTGCATATTTCAGTTGCTTTTGATAGAGATTGGCACGCCGGACACATTTTCGACATCATTATATCGTTTTTGTTTGTTCGCAAAATCAAATCAAGATTTTTCGAGTTTGTGAATAAGATAAATTAACTGCTTGTTTAAAACGCTTCTGCAAGGTGATTATGAAGTAATCTCATTTTGAAATTTCATTTCGAATCTTTAAATCGCCCAAACTGAAGCTTCCTGAGCAAATGAGCTCAAGTAAGCACGAGCTTAATATCTCACCACAGCTATGCTCAAAAATTAAATTTCAACAACCTGATTTCCAGAGCGGAGGAGAGGTTGGGTGAAGCGATTTTAATATCACCGACAGGCATGGCCGTACGTGTTTAGTTCAAATCTGTACGTTGATATAGGATGAAATTAATTACTCTATTAGATTGGCTACACTGATCGCGTTACCCTTGTTGAGTTGTACGTTGAATAATAATAAACTTCATTTCGCTCTGAGAAGAGTTGTCTCCCTCCCTCCGATTGCAGGTCTGGGGTGATGGCAGCGATATTTACCGACTTAACACATATGGGATCTAACACGTATATGATATATATATATATGACTTGTTTAGGAGTATGCTTTCGTCTGAGTGACATACATTCGGTTTTGCTTTGCCAACGTCGAACCTCCACAATTGTTACTTATCGATCTTAAGATAAGTATTTGTCTGTCTGTTTGTTTGTCTGTTAGATTAACGCGATATCTCACTAAGGCGAAATTGAATCTGCTCCAAATTTTGCATGTGCATTCATCATATTTCAGGCCAGAAGCCTATTGATTTTGGATGAATTATGTCGTATAATTAGCGAGTTAATAACGAGTTATGTCGTATAATTAGCGAGTTAATATAAATAATTAGTGAGGAGACACGCGGTGTCACAGTATAGAGTCACGAATCGAAACCGCAGTTTCGATCGATAAGTCTTCGGTCTCCGACCGATATTCTCGTTTTACTGTTGGTTACTGTCGTTTGTTCTGTTTCGCTAAAAAAATTTTGTTGTTTGTCAACAAAACTAACAGACCATACAACCACGCAATTTCAAAAGGTAAACCTATACCTAGTTCAAAACTTCTGATTTGATTTGGTGGACTTCGAATTCAGATATCTCCAATTTCAACAATATTATACAATTAGTGTTTTGTGTGAATCTGGTGCGGACACTAATATTCTAGCGTACTCTGATACCATGCTAATGAAAATTTCAATAAACAGACCACACACACTTTTCAAGCAGGAAGATGATCTTGTTTATCTCGATTTGATTATCCTCCAACATTAAGAAGAACCTCCTTTGCGCAGATGTACTATGACTGTGATTCTGGCGAACAATAGATACAAGGTTGTCTTAGTACATTTAAACGATACTCCTGTGGTGTGGGTACCAGGTTAGGACAAGGCCATAATTTCATTCCGATTTTCCTTATTTTAGTTCTATTACGAGTTCGGGGATTGTCTGTGTTACCCAGTTGAATATACCCTCTGTCCATAGCTTTCAGTCCCTTTACACAACTTGATGTAGAGGATATGAACAAAATTAGTTATCTCCATATTGGTACGCACACTTCTGGAGCCCCCATTCAAACATCCAGATAAACAAACATTGTTTCTTATTATTTTCTGATTTAGAAAGCCCTGACACACGGACATCAATCGTGGGAACGCCGGAAAACTTTTAGCTTCAGCTTGCTCGACAATTGAATGCGATATCTCATTCTGTAATCATTTCTCTCCTATACACAATATAATGTATGGTGCTATGCCATCCCAGAAGTCCGAAACTGTGTATCTTGAATTGTAATTCAGATACATTTGATAGGTAGCCTAGTTCATAATCTAATCTCATATATTTTCATGTAGTACTGTGTAAAAATTCATTTCTTTCACTGTGATTAATATATTTTCTTTCTAATTAGATTACGTTTTAGTACATAGTGCATATAGTGTATATATATATCCATAGTGTATATTTTATACTGAAAGTGTAATAAAAGAGAACTTGTGTAATTTTATTTAGTGTTTATTATTGGCAACTGACTCATATCGTTTTGTTGTTATTGTTATTAATATGTTTTGTTGTTCCTGTTGGTATTTTTCTTTTTTTCCTTATGAAATATTCGCTTTTCTCATCAACTATACTGAACCAATTGCTTCGAAATTTCGAAGGGGTAAAGATAGTACTTTTTGTTGAAAGATTATTCCTTAATTTTTTTTTTAAAAACTTTCTGTGGGCTTTATGTGATTTGGTTTTCACTTTAAAATTTTGTGTGATGACCTCTTCAAAATAAATAGAAATTGTTTGTAGCGGTTCCACGAACTTTCTCGTGCTACGCGAAAATCGCAAGTTGTTTTTTGGCCGTACGTACAGTAGACTAGATGGAGTACTGTCAGCGCCGGATTAACCATTAGACCATATAAGCACGTGCTTAGGGCACCAAGCAACGAGGTGCACCACAGAAATTTTAGAGCAGAATTTTATATAGTTTATCAGTGTTTATTAAAATATTAACCTTCTTTATTAAAAATAAACACTGAAACTTATTTTTTTGGACTTGAGCCGTTTTCTTGAATTGTTGTTGTTTTTTCTTTCTGGTATTCTCATTGTTGCTGCATTTTTGTTTTAAAAAAAATTCTTTTCTCTTCAACAATTGGACAAATGAACTATTTACACTATGTGTCGGTTCCACGATCGCAATCCAACGACCTAGTGGTCAGCGAAGGGAGTTTTTTGATCAGGTAGACCAGGGTGGTCGAAACCCTGTCATGCTGATAGATTCCGTGCGGCTCACTAAACAATTTTAGCGTATATTTGTATCTAATGGAAGAACGCTTTTGAGGAACGTTAGCTATTCCAACTGGGGTCAAGAACCCGAGATTCAAACCTCTTTTCTAACGCTTTGTGCCTTTATTTTAGTAAAAACACTCCTCCGTTTTTAAGCGCCGGCCATTTGGACAGAACACAGTGGTGACGAAACGCAGAGCCGACTTAACGCCGGCGCAATCCATTTTTTTTAACTAGTTCCCGAAATACCAACTTAGACGGACTTGGTGGTTATTTGAAGATGGCAGTAAGCTTGCTCACACTGCAAGTTTTTAAATTACTCAAATATAACAATTCGTAATAAAAGGATTGTCACACGAAAAGTCGCATAAGGAAAACACGGCGGAAACGTATTTCCTTGCCCATCACACAGTGTCTGGTTTGATTTCAAGTAATATCTGTCACGAAAGAATATAATTTGAAGCGACATCAAACGCGAGATGCGGAAAATAAAACGGTAATTTTAGGGAATTAATGGTCTGATTAGAACGGTAAACTCTAGTTGTTTATTAAATTAAAAGTAAGTAAACTCGCGATATTTCGATCACTTTTGGGTGTTCTCCGACTTGTGGCCCGCGAGACCTCCTCAAAAGTTTTTGCGGTCAACCTAGAACCACCCTGAGGTAGACTACTAGGTACCGGTAAAATTTCAAACTACAGTTGTGACTTGTATACTTTGGTATTTCGATTCACGCTGAGACTGGAGGCATGAATCTTTATTGTCACACTTCTTCAGGTTTAGAGCTCGACCGTTATATCGGCCCGATGTTGTGTGTTTGCCGACATATAAATATATCGGCTATATATAACGGTTAAAAAATCTAAAAATGTTCGTAAAAGTTGTTTTATTTACTGTTGGTTATGATTATTTTTAATGGATAATACACTTATGTGGTTTATTGTTTTTATATTTAAAGTACACATAAGGGGGCACCAAAGTCTTCAGTGCTTAGGACACCGAAGGGGCATAATCCTCCCCTGGGTACTGTAAAAGGTGAAGTAGACTACTACTTCGCTTTGGCTTTAGTGTCCATTTATTTGAACATCGCTCTCTTGTTATCTATAAAAATATTTCTTTTTCTCTCTCTCTTGTTGGGCGATGGCCATTTCAATCATAACAAAGAAGCGAACGCCATGCGAAATGTCTTTTTCCAAGTCCAGTCAAACTATCCACTAGACGACTCTGAAGAGCAGTTTTTGCACCTGATCGTTGATGCGTGTGAAATTAATGTTCGCGGAAATGTCGAGCAGGTTGAAAACGATAACACATGCTTGCACAGAAAACCTATTCAGCCGATCGACGCGGCGCTATGTCGCGGCGGGTTTGCACTGGGACGACTCGGCCCCACTCTGTCCATTCGTTATCTTTGTCAGTCTATTTACAAGTGTCGTAGTGAGTGCATTCATACTACTGGATTAGTTAAAGTTGTTAATCATTTACCGCGGTATTAAGGTTCAGGTTCGGAAAAGGAAAGTCAGTTCAGAAAGATTTTTATCGACTTCTGATGATAATCTTCGACATAAAATTGTTGGAGATGGGTATTTGTAGTTGGAAATCAAAGCATGGTAAGTGCGAATTATTAATTTGTCTTGAAGGATATCAACGATGACCTAATTTCGCCATTGGATGACTCAATGATTAGCTTGTTCACGTTCCTTACTTCCCCTTTGCAATTGAAGTTATTTTTACAAAATTGTGTTGCAAAAAAGTAATTGCAACATTTCACCATTGTAAATCATATTAATTTCGAATGAATTGCTGTTAAGTTATTTTCTCTCTGTTAAGAATTTCGTAAAAAATAGTTAGGCTTCATTGCATGGCTCGTGGTATATTTAATCTGCAACGACCGATGCATCCACAATCTTATCGGACATAGTCGTTCGCGTCAGCATGCCAAGACGGAAGCAAGACACACCACAGCGACTGAAATGTATGTAGTGTTCTTATATTGTTATTTACTTGTTCTGTTAATTTGTCAGTTATGCCGTACAATGGAGATATATTCCAAATCGATAAATGTACTTCGCCAATCACGTCGCTTCGCAATGTTACGCTATTTAGTTTTCGCTTCGTATTGCTGGCTATCAACTCTATTGTCAAAGAATGTCGTTTGCTATTACTCAAATGACGCGCACTCAATTTGACATCCCGAAGGCGAGCAAAGGCTGTAATTATATAGGTCTGTTTCTGGTAGTTCAAATAAGGTTCGTGACCTACTCATAACGAGAATGGCAATTAATTTAACGCTTACTATTTCGTTCCAAAATGGAATAACCCTCGAACGCTTTGATGCGTTAGAGTTGATTGAATGTATAGAAGAGCCGCATTTAAAGGAGTGGATTGAACATTATTTATTGCACGTACACTATTTTTTAATATGTTCATTTGGCTGCAGTTGAGTATTGACTGCGATGAGGCATTTCGTCCACATTTCATTCAACATGAATTCAACTTCGCTGTGCTGGCACAAGTGTCAATTTATAAATGTCTGCCGATTTCTATCATTCGGAAACTAGCAAATACGGGGTTGCATACCAGTGTCCGATTGATTTGACAAGCAATTTCAGAGTGCGAACGGATTCGAATTGCGTTTCGCAATAAATATGATTTAGTCGGCACTGGATTATGTATCACTCGCTATGTGTCAAATCAAGCGTCTCGTAGGCTATCAATGGAAAAGATTTGTCGGAATTTGCTCTGGCCTTGATTATTGAGCCATGCATTTTTTTGAACCGATATATCTTTTGTCAACATTATCGAGCAATCAATGTCTACAAATTTATTTTGAAGCTATCTCCAATAATATTCCGCAGTGGACATTTTGGAATCGTATGGTATTTATGTTCCTAAAGGTTGTTCCCAACTTTAAAATTAATGTCACCTAGTTGGCAGTTCGGTGCATACTTCGGCGGGTATAATCTTGATTTTATGACTTGTATTTAGATATAAAATATTTGTGTTGGCACTGATATAAACTTTAGTTTAGGTGGGGCCGGTGTGTTAGAGATATTTATGACAAATTAAACCGTTCTCGCAGTAGGTTCATTCAAATGCCTCTAATAATTACATCAGAGTCCTTACATATCTAGCAGTGAATGTTGTATCTTTGTCAAACGCTAACGAAAACATTATCGGGGTCATGTTTAGGCCGCTACTACTGCCCTATTCATTACGTTAGTCAAAATGTAATTCTTCCAAATAACGAGCAAAATGACATTCTCGGTACGTCATTGGCCATGCATATGCCATAGAAAACATTGTAGCGTATAAATGGATGAACAAACATATACAGTATGATTGATATCGTCCTGCCATCCAGATCTTGACAATTTGCTGGTGATGGATAATACGCAGGATTTCCCGATAATATTATTTACCCTGTCAAAATCTTACACCAATGTCACAGAAAAACATGCGTGGTCCTAAGATAAAGTACATTATCTGTTTGTCAAAGATTAATATTTTCCCCAAAAAACATGTCACTTACTCACAGTCTAAAACCCATGTAATTGAGCGATAACCAAACGATTTCCTCATGTTTTATAACCAACGCAGATTTTCGATAATTCAAATTTGCGGCCAAATAAAACAGCAATTCAGTTTGTCGTTCATACCTACCATTTCACCCAGAATGTAACGGTAATTGGTTATATTCTATCCAGAACTGGATAATATATGGTTCTTTGGTGCCCAGTAGATTCTCACGCCTAAATGTTACGACTGCCTGTTTTTTATTGTACGAACAAACAAACTTTCAAGTGAAAAACTACAGAATACATGATGTCATAAAACAAACCTAATAAATTTAAAATTGGTCATTGTTGTCTACTGTCTTATATGATATGATTACCCCTTGTTCACGACACAACAGTGTAAAATATAAATTTCATTCTGTAAGTATAATTTACTATTAACTGCAATGTATGAATTTACAACTGAAATGGGTATCCAGGGCATGCCTAACAAGGATCCCTTGTTCGTTCGTTTCCAATTTTCATCGGTTTTTCGTATATAAAATTCGGTAACAATTTATATTCAACACTAATTTGCTTAGCGTCAGTCAGGAAGCTTTTGGGATAGAGATACAACAGGCTGACGCGTCTTTATTCTAATTACTTTTCCTCGTAGCAGGCCATGTTTGACAACCGCCAAACGTGATTTATGTGACTAACTCATGTTATGTTGGGCGCTTTGTAAGGCGACATTAATTATCGCTCCGAACGTCATGTACATAAATCGGAAGGGGCTTTCAACCGCCGAGGTTCAGCCATTTAATTCGATTGGAACAAGACGCCGTCTGATCTTGAAAATTGTAGTCACCTCAGAAAAGGCCTCACTCAGAAAAAATTATTTTTTTACTGAAACGATTTGCATCTTGTATATGCTTTGTTAATCGTTTCCAAGTCTCAGAATGTCTCAATTCCATAAGCTAGAGATGCTGTTGGAAGACGGTATACCATTTGTTTTTTATTCCCCATATGGTAAACCAATAGCCCTCTGCGAGGAGGTCACTCAATTGGCGATTGTGACCAGATATCCACCCATATTCCTATAATAGGATATATAGCAAATAGCATTTTTTACTTATAATATTTTCGAAAAAAATTCACCTTTGTTGCACAATCATTGTTAATAAAATCATGCTTCCAAACGCCAAGGGAACTTTTTTACATATATGTCTGCATAAGATTCATTAAATATTTCTTACTGGACAACTTGGTATTTCTTATATTGATATTGATATTGACAAATTACTTACTTTCAATTAAAGTGAAAACAGTTTGTTAAATAGTATTTCTGTGATTTGGAAACTTCCCTTCCCTATTTAAAAATAAAATCAAAATTATTAACCTTTAAAGTTTGATATATTTTCTTCATGGGTGGGTTGTTTGTTAAATTTTTTATTTCAGTTCAACAATGATGGATTCGTTAATAAATTTATTACGTTATCAATTATTATCGTTACCTAGCAACCGTTCATCGTTATTCGTGATAATCACAACGCGGAAATAACAAAGATTAATGGCAGAGAGAATGAATATTACACATGAGGAAAGAACTATTTTCAACAAAACATCAATCAAAATGTCGAATTTTAATCGATTGTGCTCTTCCGAATTTAACTTTGTTCGCTATCCTGACGGGCATTCACCACAGTGTTTATCCAAGGGCCAAACGCGGCCTTAGATAACCAAACGAATATCTGATCTAAATAGTGGGGTAAAATACAGAGAGTGCATTCAAATGACTACTAATAACATTACTACTGCAACTATTCTAATATGAAATGGAGGCAAGTTAGCGGCGCAATATTCTGTTATGCGTACTCACTTTTTGGGTGTGGATGTGCCTGTTTTATTATCTGACTTTCAAACTATGCAGCACTATGGTGATATCAATTAAATACCAGTTTTCTTGCGTGATTTGACACAAATACGATAGCAGCGGCGTTGTGACCTGAAGTCTGCATGGTTTTGGGTAACCACGAAATTTTCATGAACTGCCCGAATTCAATTGTTCCGTCACGTACAAGCCTTTTGTATACGCTTTTCCTAACGCGGGAAAGTTGCGAGTTACACGACAACTGTCGATTGTGATGTGTATGATTATTTCACAATTGAGTCAATCTAACGAAATCGTACGTTTCCGTGTTGACTTTCGAGCTAGTAATCCCCAGTGCGACATTCAATCCTTCACAATAACTTCAGTCTAACCTCGGGAGCGATTTATTTGTATTTAAAATTTTTAAACCCGAAATTAGTCCGCGGCGAGACCCACGTCGAAGTTTTTGACAGACTTGTCAGCTAAAAACCATATATCAAAATTTCTGTCGACGCTCAAATGTTGTATTAATGATCACTCGACATGTCTGCAATACAAGTTCGGTTTCCTGATGTCAGTTCACGCTATTGTTCTACTTTTTGCAATTAATTCAAAGTTTTTGTCACTTTTTGGTCATAAATTTTAAACTACTACAAACAGTTTTGTGGAGAAGTGGAACGAAAGCTTCACGTCACCACCTCAACCAGCCTACACAAATCTGCGATGACGTATGTGATGTGATGAAACTGGCCCAGGGACCCGCATCATATGTGGTTCAATGTATAGATAAATTAGTAAATCATACCATATTTTAAATATGGCGAATCGAAGTTGTCACTGATTTGCATACCTTTTCTCATTTTCGTGGCTTTTGTTTTGGTTGTTTACTTTGTGGGTATTATTTATTATGAGTCCGTTCTTTCGAATATGCCAAGAAAGTGTTTTATGCACTTTACCCGACTGACTCATTCTCTTGTTCGATAAAATTCGCTCAAAATATCACTTACTAGAAGTGTTTTTCTGATCTCATATTCACCAATTTTGATTTTGTCCCAGTCTCGTTGACTTGATCAGGTCTCTTGAACCGATATCTGTCACGCAAAATTCTGATTGATTACACCAATACCCAGTTTTTGCACATTGCAGCAGTTTCTTGTGCTATTGATTTGGTATACGAGGGAATAAATATTTAGCCTTTTTCTATGCTTTTGTGCGGTGGAACCGTATGCTTCTAATGCGAAAATGCTATAGCAAGATGGAAGATAGCAACGATCTATGATTATGAAAATATACTTGACAATTACAATGAAAGAAGCAGTGGAATAGAGTTTTTACCCAAAATTCAAAATTCTTATAATATTTTGATAGTTTGCCCATAATCACGAGTTTCTTCCAAAAAAACTAATATGAAATTTGCAACAAAATTAAAAAAAAATACTACGCATTTGTTAAAATTGGTTTAAATTTCTACAAGCCTTATTGTTAACCAGAAAAGCAAATTATTGTGATCTGCGTAGGTTGGCATTGAAACAATCGCTTCAAACAGAGGAAATGCAATGTACATCCTATTTCCAATATAACATATTGTTAGCAAATAAGCTCTAAAAA